CTCGCTAAGATGCTACATGAACTCATCCCGTCACTACGTCGCAGACATGCCCATGTTGACAACTAGCTTTTCAGCACCGATGCACGTCTGGTCTGATTCGCATGTGCTCCTCTAGAAGTGGAAGCAGATCTACACATGGGGACACACCCCTTGACTTGGCACTTGTTGCCTGTCACTCACCACATGCCTCGAACTTTCTATACACCGCAATTTGAGTTTATGAACTAGTCGCCCATTTGAGTACTGGCCGAAATCTTCATGACCCTTGTGGGGGTCATCTCCATTCGGACGTTTATCCGGGCATCCTTGATCGTATCGTTTACCTATCGCAGCCTGGTACGAATCATTGACATTTAGGAGCTTGACATTTTCGACATCAACATTTGCAATCAGGTTTCTCCTGTACATGCTGGGGGACTGCTTTCTACATCGCATTGCAAGGCGTGGAGAGATTCCTGTTGCCTAATGTCGATCGTTTAGGTCGAGGCAGACTGATGCTGACTGTACGATCGACAAATTCAACCAGATATCACCTCAAACTCCAATTTACCACCATTGCCATGATGAAGTGGTCTCATCTGTTGGAACGTTACTTCTAATCATCCAGTGCTGTAGTAATCATCTGACTGAGCTCAATTGACAGTATAGCCGCCTAGGCGCCTAAGCGCAGGCGCCCCCAGATTGTGGTATTTGAGTGTCTGCGCCATCCGGAAAGCTGGATAACCTGAAGAGATTTGGCTCGGGCTGATTTGCTCCGATATTTCAGCCTCACCGAGGGGGCCATGCACACTGGCTTGGTTAGCTGTACGACAATAGTTATCATGTCAGCAACGAGGGGCTCGAAATAAACTCCCGAACCAAAGGATTGTACCTGCAGAGACGCATGCCGTAGCAAGGTGGTCCTAAGAATGAGAGAATGTCACAAAAAAGGAGAGTATCGGAACATTTGAACTGATCAATCATACTCCTCGGATTACTTCGCCCAACTGTCGTACAATCCCGTAGCTACCTTAGACAAAAAGAATCCGCGTTCAACAGTGCGCCGAGGTTACATCGTAGTCGCGAAAACATTCGATACATAAAACAAGCCAGAACGCCTTGTATACCGGTCCTGTATTAAAGCGCACAGCCGAATACTGATTAAAATAATAATCCAAAGTCCATTGCGCAAACATCTGTTGTCCCTATCGTGGTGACCCTGCCTCCTCTTCCTTCTGGACATTTTTAACCAATCTCCCACATTTGCAATCTGCATGACCATACAGCTCCATTTATAGCTTCGAAGGAGCGGCTGCAGCTGCAGCTGCGGTTGGAGTGATTGATGAGTCCTTTGGCGATTTGGCGTGTGTATCGCTCTCTTCAGACTCATCGTCGCTGGGGGGTCGGCTGCTATCGGTAACATTTCCTCGGCTCTTGGTCATCTAGACGATCGTTAGCTCAAGGTGGAAACTGTGGTGCATGTCCACTACTCACCCATCCTCGGACACCACCAACAAGACCGAGAGCGTAGCCAGTGATGAACTCTTTGGGTGTACCAGAAGCGCCTGGCGAACGTAGTGCCTCTGAGCTGCCTGCACTGTTAAATCGGGCGGGGCTCTGAGGACGGCTAGTAGGCCAGAACTGCTTGAGCTCACGACCGAGTTCTTGACCAGTAGTGGTCCAGTTGTTTGTGATGTTTTCCCGCAGGTCCTGAACATGTCGCTTGAGATCCAGCTCGTTCTTCTTGAGCCAGCTCACATTGAGCTCCTGGCGGGAAGTACCGCGCTTGAATTGTCGGGCAATGTACTTCTCGTAGTCGCGAACGATTCTGCGAGCTGTTAGAATGTTGGAAAGCATGGGTGCTCGCTAGCATACCTTGTGATGAGACCAGTTGTGCTCACACCTTCTGTTCGCTGTGTGACAAGGAACTTGCCAGCAGCCTTGATGGGCTGGTAGATGTCGTCGCCCTCGTCCGCGCCGTAAGGAAGATCATCGTGAGCGACGTAGTCGAGCTTATTCTCGTCGAGAAATTCGGGGGTAACAATCCATGGGCAATCCTCGATTACCTCATCGACCCATTTGCAGTGGCGGAGAGTTTCGGCACGCTCAGCGGCAGACATCACAGTCAAACCTTTGCGCTTGTGTGTTTCGTGGTCGCCTGTGACTCCAACGACGAGTGTTGTGTCAGGGAAAGCCTTCTTGGCCTGCTCGAGTTGTCGCATGTGGCTAAAGAGTGGTCAGCAGACAGTTCAGTTTCAAGAAGTTGGTCCTTTGACTTACCCAAGATGGAAGAGATCAAACACACCATCAGCGTATACACGAACAGGTCGGCCAACAGGAGGTGGGTTGGTCTTGTAGCCACCGGCAGGATCTTGGAGCTTGCCAATGGGAGGAGGAGGCATGGCCTCAATTCTTCGCTGCTCCTCTTCGTCAAGCTCCCTCAGAGAAGGCTTGCGACCCTTGCGACCGACTCGCTCAGCAATGTCGATGCTGGCTTCTGTCGTGTCGCTTGGCTCACCAGGATCCAGGGCATGGTCAGCGGCTGTCTCGAGGACACGATCCGAGCTAGAACGCTGTCTCTTAGGAATTGGGCCTCCAACAGCTGATCCTCGGCTGTGAAGTCGTCCCGACTCAGCGGCTGTTGTGTCTCCTTCCTCACCAGATGCATCACGAGAGGATGTCTGGATGCCATTATCACCAAGATCAGCGGCCGACTCCACGCGAAGGGAGTTTCTCTTGCGCTTCCCGCCCTGGGATGAACTTGATGGCGAAGACATGGCTGATAGATAAGACTGGCACTGACTTTGACTGTTGGGGGAAGATGACGTGGCTTCGGGGTCGGGTCGGGTTGTGGGAGAGGATGAGAGAGACCTTAGGAGTAGGGGCCTAGGTAAGTCTGGTCTTAATTATGTGCGTGCTGAGGAACGAGACGGGGAAGCGACCTGGAACTGCTGTAGCAGTAGGTAGTTATTAACCTGGAGAAAAACGGTTACGGCTACCGAAGCAGTTCCACGTTGACGCGAAAAAAACCGGGTCTTGAATTGGGTCTGGACTTTCTCCAGAGCTGATTGGGTTTGGGGCGTAATATTCCCTGTAAAAATCTGGGGTTCTAAAACTTGGCTCGCCTTACAACAGCACTTTATATGCGAGACTCTGAGGATACCGTCATCGGAGGCGATATATGATGATTGATAAAGAGCAGAAACAAGAAACAAGGCATGATGCATTGATCAAGGTTGGGACAGAGTCAAAAGCTGATATCTGTAGATAAGCCACTGCTTTCTTCCTTTCGAGTTCCCCTATAGCTCTCGATGGAACGAACGACATCGTCTAATTAAAAAAGTGGCCCGGCTTTCTCGTGTCAAAAAAGGAGTGTAATCTCAAACACTTAATAGCGCAACTACCATAGCCATCACACCTTAGATGAGACAGGCAACTGCTCTCGTGACAATGCTTGTTCACTTGTAATTGCGCTCAACATGAATTTTGTGCATCTTAATAACTGTTTTTGAGCCGAATCGTCGCGTCAAATGTCAATTTCTCCAACACGATGTGGATTGTGGCGTCATTGCTGTCACCCCTTTAGCTGATCTACATGAAAAGGGGGAAGAAGCTGGTGGAAGAGAGCTTGCAGTGGTCACATGATGACGCACGTGAGTGGTCGTAAATGCGATCAGATACTCGTATATTCATTCATCCAAGGTTCCTCATGTTGCCCAAAGAATTTAACAAAGCTGAGCCAATGGCCCAAGTCAGTCAAGCTTCCCCCCAGACTACCTATAGATTGCTCTTCGACTCAAGTAATCTTAAAAATGCAGCTTATGCTTATTGTTGTCAATACAACATGCGTTTCAAGGAGTCCTCAGGAGGGGCATCCTCACAAATCTGGAATCATTCTATTCAAGCAAAAGCAAGGTCAATATTATCGGGCAACCTGCTAGACCTACCGTGTAGCAATCCTCTCCATACAGGATAGCCAGGTAAATACGCAGACCAAGAAGATGCGTTCGTTACTTGGGCCTGGTCATCGACCCCAAGACCCTGGAACCATCCAAGCCCAGGTGATCGTAGCTAGGAATAGAGTTTGGACAGTATTCCGGATACTACCAGCACAATAAACCAGAGAAATATAGAATTGTTCGGGCCATCTACTGATTCATCCTGGCATTAATTGGTGCTTCTGGTGAGTTTCTTTGCCTCTTCAGGGCCTCTCAAACTCTGTGCGTTTCAAGCTGTAGCTCCATGGATATAATTTCGATAGGCCCTTGCCTTTTCGGACCAAGAACCCCAAACCAAACAAGTTCCTTGTCTGATACTCAGCCTTCATTGGTGGTTAGCAAATACCCTAGTCATTAGCACCAAGGCATATCTTGACCTACCCCCAAGAACAAGAATCAATTTGGCCTTGCTACTTCTCATGACAATGGAAATCTTAAACAAATATCGGCTATTTAACTTCTAGTCGTGAACGCCACCGCAAAACTTCCCTTACCCGAGATCGCTGGATGCCGCTTCACACTCCCTGTTTCGAATGAAACAATCTACACTTGGCTCTTATCTGGCTTCTATGGCTTTTCCATAACAGAACAGATGGCCTGCTTTCTTTGTTCTGTCTGTTTCAAATCAACCAGGATGTCAATCACAGCCGTCAAACTTGGAAAAGTCCGCCAATCCAACCAACTCGGCTATCAGACCCTTCGAATAAGCTTAGGCTAAGCCTTGACTGCAAATGGCGAGAAGTGCCTATCCTGAATAAGCTTCCCCTTGTCAAGGTTTCAGTGACAAACTGGCAGCGGCTTGTCTGTCATTAGCTCCGTTCCCAGGATTGACTGGCCTGCGGCTGGAGGTCTGGGACGGTATCATTGCATGACAGAAATCCTTTATAGGGAGCCAGACCTGGACGAACAACATCTAGCCCAGCAGGATATTCTTTGCTACTTTCTTTCATCTTTGGCAGTCCTGGGCAGGCCCGCAAACCCACATTCTTTAACATTTTCCACTTTATTCTCGTTTAAGTGATCACTCGTTTAATCATTTCCAACATGCGAAAAGCTGCGCTTCTCACCATTGCCAATTTTGGCTCTGCCTTTGCCGCTCTACAGTTCTACAGCCAGTGTGGTGGTGGTGCTTACACCGGAGACACCACATGTCCCTCCGGTTCCACATGCGTCGAAGCCAGCAAGTGGTACAGCCAGTGTATTCCCGATGCCAAGGCTGGTCCCTCTCCTAAGGCTGCTGCTGTCGAAAAGTCTGATGTTAATCTTCCCAGCTTCGGGTTCCCCGAGTTCCCTGAAGCTCCTGGAAGCGGTAGCGGCAATCAAAACGGTGGTGAGAACGACGAGAATGCTTCTCTTCCCCCTATTGTCTCAGCTCCAGCGGAGGAGGCTGACGAGTCCAGCAAGAAGCCTGTTGAGACTGCCATCGATGGCCCCGTAGCTAATCCAACTGAAGCTCCTGTCGCTACTCCTGATGCCGGCTCTGGATCTGGCTCAGGAGCTGGAGGTATCACACGAACTATCCCCGCATCCAGCGGTGCCAGTGCTGCTGCTACCGCCATCCCTGTTTCTGGTGAATTCGATGGCAAAATGACATACTATGATCGTTCCCGTGAGTTTGGTCTTCTCAACTACGGCCCATCTCACTAACATCATTCAGCGGCCGTATGCCAGGATCAGGTGGAGACTGGCGAGGCTGATGCCATGTTCATTCTCGAGGATGGTGCTACTCTCCGCAATGTTATTATTGGGCCTGGCCAAGCTGAAGGCGTCCACTGTAAGGGAACCTGCACTCTTGAAAACGTCTGGTTTGAAGACGTTTGTGAAGATGCCATCACCCTAAAGCAAAAGTCTGGCACCTCCACTATCCGTGGAGGAGGTGCTTTCCACGCCGCCGATAAGGTTGTTCAGTTTAACGGTCGTGGCACTGTCGAAATCTCCGACTTTTATGTTGAAGACTATGGCAAGCTTGTGCGATCTTGCGGTAACTGCAAGGATAATGGCGGTCCCCGGAATGTTGTTATTGACAACGTCGCTGCTGTCAACGGCGGTGTTCTCTGCGGTAGTAAGTCACATCGGAGACATCAGTCGAGCTTGTGACTAACAATTTCTTAGTCAATACTAATTATGGCGACACTTGCACCGTCTCCAACGCTTGCCAGGACTCAGGCAAGAACTGCGACCTTTTCGAGGGTAACTCTGACGGCAGTGAACCCTCTAAGCTATCTAGTGGCCCTGATGGCACTTCTTGCAGGGCTGATAACTTCTCCGAGACTTGCTAAATTAAGTTTTGAATATGGGAAGATCTCAACGGGACTTGATGGACATCAACCTTATGTTATTATATCACAGCAGATTCCTGTGAATCAAGTTTCCAGAGCCGATCAAGACACATGTCTTTACCTAAAGCAAGTGGGATCCAGCAAAATCGTCGTTGAACCTAGACCAATTGCACTCACTGTGGGTTCATAACGATCGTAGTGTGTATTTTCTGCCTGTGAAGGCAATATTCAGTTCGAGACAACCAGATCAGCGCTGGCGGTCAACTCCAAAACATACCCGACTTGACGCGGGGTTGTTGTCACTGCAAGGAGACTGAAGTTTTCTACAGAGCTTTTTATCCTTGTTCTGGAGCCACACGGCACTCACATATTAGTCGTAACTGACTTATATTATCTCAGAGTTCGCCCTTTTACATTAGTCACCTCGTAGACTGATGTGAGAGCATGAGTAGCATTCACTACTTAGCCTAGTAACTAACCTCCTCGGGGCCATCTACTAATATCTAATATTTTCTGTCAGTGGCAGCAGCTGTCATGATGTTGGTTGCCTGGCGCCAACTTTTGATTTTAGGCAACTGTCTGTTTATTTGTTTATTTTTTTTTTTTGTTTACCCTTTCTATCTCTCCCATCTTTTTTTTTTTTTTTTTTGCCCCTTCTTTTTCTTCTTCTTCCTTTTCTTCCTCGCTTCCTCATCTGACCGCCTCATCACCCCGAGCCTTGCGCCCGGGGGACTTCACCCCTCGGAAGCCCTTTTTGGGCCGCTATTAAGAGAACCTGGTGAGTAATCTACAGATTGACGTTGTTCCTCTCATCTTGCAGCTCTTTTGTCTGACTGAACAAACCTGAGTAGTCGCGGTGGACGAGAGATTCACAATGCTGAATGACTTCGTAAAGCAACACAGCACCCTAGGCGCGCCCATCACGCCTAGGGATGCCCTGTCACGATAATTAGTTTCTGGCGGGAAGGGGCATACGTTCGGGCGCAACGTATGAGAGTTTCCTCGCCGTTCGTCGTGTTGCACCCTCCTTTGGGGGGGCCCTCTTCGTGAGGGTCGACGTTCGGATTTTCTTTTTTCATCACTGTGAACGGCTGTCACCAGCCTTTTATCCAGTGCGCACCCACGAAGTCTTTCGCATTCTCTCTCTTTATCATCGCTGGATACTCACCGCCTGAGGAGTCCCAGAAGGATCCGAGGTTCAAATCCGAGCCTGTTCAGCCAGTTAGCCTGGCATCAACGTTGACTACCGCAAAGATTGCTTGAACTGCAGGCCGAAACAAACTGGCAGATGATGGTGCTCGCCAGGTATCCCAGGCCTCCGATAAGGTGAGTTTACCCTTCAGGGAGAAGCATTCTGTGGCCTTTTGTCTTGCCTATGTCGACAATTGTTGTCCAGGATACATAGTTGCTGAGGTTGACTTGAACCGTGTTGAAGCACTACTGTTGCAAGTTGCCACTCTTCGCACTTACTCACTCCAAAACCAGGTTCAGACACATACTGGTATCAAGGATGGACTCTTCGAGACCCAGGATCGCGATTTCCCTCATATATTCTGCACAACAACCCAAGAAGAGTTAGAAATATCATCCGAATCGAAAGAGCAACAAGGATATGGCTTTTTTCGATTTTGTTGACGGACGAATCTTCTTCCTTTTTCTCAAATCAACCAGAGATGATGCGAGGTCTCTCCTGGAATCCTTCAGCATGGGCGTATTCTACATGTGGAAACGGCCAAAGGACTGAGCCTTGATGTAGGGCAGCCTTTTCTTAAACTGCAACCATCAAAAGACTTCAACGACTTGACTGCGCTCCCATCTAGTCACCCGAACTTGGACAATTTCATGAAGGATGTCAAGATCAAAGAAGCACAAGAGATAATTGGCCCTGTTGCGGAACTTGCTTTTCGAAGATTTGAACCATTGGCACACCTTCAAATCTGTCACCAACTTCAAAGGCCGCGAACAAGTCCCTTCTTGGCTTTAGAAGCGTCGACAGAAACAAATACAGTCGCGTATGGAGGATGTTGTTTCATTTGCTGCCAACCGTACCAATTCGGTTGGCAAAAGTTTCAAGCGCGAAACCATCGTCGTCAACTCTCGTTACAAAGCAAAAAGCCTGGCGTGTCTGGCCCGGTTAAGCCCAGAAGCTTAGCGACCAAAAAAACCCAGACCAATCTGAAGGATATCTGAGCCCTTAGCAACGGAAGTACGGTAAATTCGAGAATGCCAAGAGCCTCCTCGACGGTTACCACCAAGCCCTGGATTTTCAGTCTGATAGATCTGCGAGGTGCCATGCGGCAGTTAGGCCAGAGGTTCAGTTGTCCCTATGATGAGACTACGGGGTCAAGTGAGGAAGCAAAATTGCAGGGACTCAGATGAAGGTCAGTTATGATGCTTCCTTGAAATAATTCTGTCGCTAACATGTCTAGGACCATACTTTATATCATCGATTTAGAAATACCTTTGTGAAATCTCCAGGTCGCCTAACTGTGCGCCCAACATCGCCAACGCCGGTCAGGGTATCGCCAAGGTACTGACAGATGCAAAAGTTCTTCCTTCACAGACCTTCGGTAAAGCCTCGACATTGATCAGAGTATAAGCCAACTTGCAAGGGCTTTAGACTGACACATTGTGCAACTATTCCCTCTAGCTTGTGAGCTTCACGCACACAATGATTTACCAGCACTTGTTTTCCATTACGACCGCTTTGAGTGTGAGCAGGCTGTTAGACACATTCTCTTTGACTCTTGTAAGCATGGCAGTTGGAAAGTACTAGTACGCGACTACAGCATCAAGCAAGGTGACGTCTGGTTGCATCCCAAGGACTTTTGGCTAACACTCAAGACCACTGTGACCAGTCTTTAGAGGATCATCGGTGCAAAAGACGATCTCGACTTGGACAATCCCGAAGAAAAGGACAATGATGTCGATGTTCCAGAGGTATCTTCTGGCGGTATTGAGCACAGAAACCCATGGAAACACTCGAGAACATCGTCAAAATCGCAGTCAAGAGCAAGAGCAAGATCAAGGTCGCTGATAGCTGGGATGACGACAGCGAAGAACCGTCGGAGTCAGAGGGCCTCAGGTCATATACAGCTAACACACTTGAGGCTCAACAGTTGGGCTTGAACAAGAAGGATTGGTTGATACTGGTCTTGAAGGCATTCAAGTTATTGGAGGTGGAATTTGGGGCCAAGTTCTACGAGATTGGAGTGTCAACGGCACGTTCATTTTGATCCGATGATAGAAGCACGTTATTCACATGTGGCGTTCCATAAAGCACACATAGCCCACTGCAATGTAGCAATCCCAGTCATTCTATCGATACTTGTACCAGTACGAATTCAGTGAAAGTTGCTCAATTCCCTTTAGTCTCGGGACCTTCACCCTCGGTGTGAGTTATGGTTGACCGCCTAGACATGGCCTATGGAGTGGGCTCACCGATCCATGTATCAAGACTTTCCTAAGTAGTGTGGCCCTCTTGAGGCTCCTAGCCAATGCTTACCCCCCCTCATGTTTCCTCGTGTTTTGAACCCCCCTACAGTAAATCTATATGACATGTAAGAATAATTGCTTTTTTTTCTTCTATGGCAAAAGCCACGATCCCTGCACTATCCAGAAGTTGAAACCTGGAATGACTCGTTTGAGACACAAAAACTCAGATGGTGCTGAGAAATGTATCGATTCACTGAGTTCAACTGAGTCAAACTGTCATCCTTTTCCGCCTTCGCGGTGAATCTGCCCCTCCCCCTTTTTCCCCTCGCATTTTAGATGTTCTAGAAACGTGCACGGAATCACCGAAACAGAACGCCCTGACCTTCTAGAAGACTTTTCTTTTGGCGGGGGGTGTTCAACTAAACTACCTACTAGACCTAACGTAGACCCTGGTACGTACCTGACATACCTACCTTACGTACAGAAACAGTGCCTCCCCCACGCATCTCTCGTGTGCAATCAGGAGCAGGCGATTTGTTTGTTGTATCGAGATGCTGCACGTAATGAATGGGATGCAGGAGAGGAACAAGGATTAAAGTACGAGGGCCTCAATGGCGTCATTGGTCTTCAAAGTCGCTCAACGCTTCTTGTTGAAGAGGACCATGTGTTGCACCCAGTAAAGATTAAGAACTTCATAATATTGTATAGATTTTGTATATAATTCAACTCCCTTTTGGGAGGCTATGCTTCTAAACATCCAGAAAAAAACAAAACGATTGTGAGCATGCACGTGTTTTCCTCCTTTCCTTTTGATCCAATATGTACTACAGTATGCTCAACAACCGTGAGTGGTATCTCCTCCAAATCCCTCCATGTAAAACAAGGAAAATTGAGATCCGTGATGTTCAAAAACAATAATAGAAAAATCATTTGCCATATAAAACAGCCATGCAATGCAGATCTTGTAATGACCAAAAACACAAACGACAGGTAAGCCTCTCTATAAGCGGAAATCAATAAATGACCGGCCAAACCAATAAACATCCGTCGACGTATATACAACAGGATTTGTGTTCGAGATTGGGGTTTGCACCCCAAAGAGGTATTCTTTTGTTGTACGCTGCTGGTGATACAGTGCACTGAAGCGAGTTGAGAGAGGGCGTTGGATAAGTTAGAACAGATCCAAAACACCTGTGCTTGACATGGCGATGCACCCATGTTTCTTCTCAGTCGCCATCGAAAAGGCGCAATCCATGCACCTGGGGGGATAGTCGCTCTATCCGTCGAGCCCATTTCGTTTGACTGAGCGTCTAATAACTACCTGCCAAAACAATGGCACTCCTTCGTGGTCTCTTATGGCGCGTATGAATCAGTCCCCAAACGCCATGTCATGATAATGAAAGTCATCAATATAGGTCTCCCAATCACGGCGGCAAATATCGTCGACTCTATCACTGCCCGTGTGATGAGTTCATCTGTAAATGATGGGGCATAGATCGTGGATGTCCTTGATCGCCCATCTGATGGGGCATCTGAGGCGGCGCGGCCATGGGAACAGGTCTTGGAGTATGGTAGCCAGGTGCGCTTGTGCCGCTCGAGAAGCTCGAGTTGGTCCTCGGATCGTAGCTGAAAAGATCTCTCTGTAGGCCTTCAAGGATGTGCATGTCAGTTCGAAGTGCACTCGTTGCCGTTGCCGACTGTCGCAAAAACTGGATCGTCTTGTGGAACAGTGTTCGGAGTAGTTCCTCATCTACATAGGTGTGAAGGATTGGGTCACGGAATGCAGCTGACAGAATCAACAGGTTGCCCCATTGCCTAGAGCGTGGTTAGTTTGAGGCGCATCAGTTGAAGATGAAAGACTTACGCGTGAGCTGTGCCGAAAATATTGGTGATGATCGGCCTCCTATCTCCCAGACCGTGGAAAGCACGGGTGCTTTCAATGAGCGCTTTGATACCCTTCTTAGCCAACTCAACGACTTGAGGATCGATATCGCCATGTGTTCTAGCCTTGGGATGAATAACAGGTGCTGTGATGTCCTGTCGAAATTCGGAGCTGACGCTGGGAAAGTTGGGGCTCGATGCATGATTCTTGATTGAGTGCGAGAACTGCAGAATCTGTCGGATGAATGGGCGATAAGTGATCACCTGAGCTCCCCAGTACTTTGCCCGCAGTCTTGCTGCCAGAATATCATCTGCGGGGGGATCATCCTCTCTGAATGCAAAGCTAGGGGCAACCCAATGCATACCCGAGACAGCATCAGACACGACGCCGACATTGCGGAACTTGTCTTTGCCAGGTTTGGCCGGATCTTCAGGGGCGTAAAACATTCGGTGGATGCTGTTGAGGTGGGTACGCAAGTATAGTTGACCTGGGTAGCTGTCCAAGATGCGCTGGTTGAAACCTTCCAAGAGACTCATGTTAGGGTGCGGCATGTCATCTTCATATGAGAGCAGTCCTGATGGGGGAAGTTGCATCTCTGCAATGAGGTCACTCTCGAGCTGCAGACAAGTCCAGAACGTGAGAGCAAGTTGGTTATACTTGGTTTCCTGGATGAACTCGCTGTTGCGCTTGATTCGTCGCATTTTGTCCAAGCTCCTGCAATATTGTCAGCCACTCCTGATCTGTGTTCTACTAATACTCACAACACTTACGGTCTCATGATGACTTGGAGCTTGTGGCTGGCCCTGTGGATGAAAGCAAAACTCTCCATTGGTCTGCCCAGCTGGCCATGATACAGCCCGGCAAAGATGTTAGCGTACACATTTTTCATGTTGTTGTACGCGCCGGTGTGGTTGCCAAGGATATCCGTAGCATATGCAAAGTACTCCAGGCCAGGAATTACCTCATAGTTCTTCTTCAGACTGTAGCCAGAGCGGAAAGCACCTGTGCCATGGATAGAGGATCGACGACTATGAATGTTCCGGTCTTGCTCTTTAGGTGATGGCAAACCTGATGAATGGGAATGAGATGAGTACCCTGGGGGGGAGCCTTGATTGGGCGATGGCGGAATGGCTCCATTGCGAAGGGCAGGGCTTCCATGGGGAAGAGGCTCTGTAGGATGGACGACATCCGGCACGTTATCGCGGTGAAGGCAAACTTTACCCAAAGCCAGAACCGTGAGAACTAGAGCGGTATGGATGGACCGATCTGGTCGACCGATACGTTGTGGCGCCGGGGTGGGTGGCTCGGAGCCATCTGGTCCTGGCGATCGTTTCCTCTTTGAGCCTGCAGCTTCTGGTGTCTGTGAGCCTCCTCCAACGGCGAAGGTGGGCTTCGATGTTTGTGGCTTTGCTGAACGCGGCTGTGATGCAGGAAGGTTATCCAGAAAGTGCCTAACCCAGTAGTCCAACAGCTTTGGTTGAATGATGGGGTGCATGTTGAGAATGTTTTCCTTAAAACTTTCCACGTACGCCCACACTTTCGGCTCAGAGAAATCAGGATTGCCATCAACCAAAACACCTCCCTTGTATTCCACTTGGTCCGGAGGGCTCAGTCCACCGAGCTGGCCCCAATCAGCCGCGGGCGAAGGAGATGCCATATCGGATGAATCGTCGGCCATATCCAAGTTGCCATGGTCGGTTGGTTCTCTAACATGTCGTGAAGGGTGGGAGTCTTCACCTCGACCATACACTATCAGAACGCCTCTGTTCTGTTCTTGGCTGATGGGATATTCGCTAATGTATCGAACCCCTTCGCGCTCAACGTGATGTTTTGTAAGCTCCCGAATGGAAGGCCATTCCAAGAGCAGGCCTGCCAATGTCGTATGATTGATGGGAATCGCGGGCTCGCCAGGGGGGACGGGTGGGCCTGGCTCTACCTCCATCTCGTCCTCGGCCATCATACGCAATGGCATAGGCTCTGAGGACGGGTGATCGCGATGGGCGTCATTATAGTACGGGTCCACAGAAGCGCCATTGGCAACGTAAGGCGATGCTGGCGCACGCTTGTACTCGTCCTCCACTGAAGATTCCGTCTTGAGAGTTGATGTCGCAATATGCTTGGGCAAGAGGGATTCCATCTTAATCAATCTCTGGTCAAATCGCCCCAGGTGTGTCATGATCGAGTTAAGCGACGTCTGAACAGAGCCGAGGCCCTCTAGAATGTCGGCTTGAGCTTTATCCGTCCTGTCAACAATTCTTAGTTTTTGCTACCAAGTCAATGTGAATCTCTCAAAACCTACGCCTTGGGCACCGGGTCACGGTATTTGCATTCCACGCCCTTTTCCTTGCAGGTTTTACATGGCTTCGTCTCGTCGCACTTAGCCTTCAGCTGCCGGCAGCTATCACACGCCTATATCCAATTAGAACTTGCGCGCTTCCAAATCACAAAAGGCCCGTACCTGGGAAGCTCTCGTGTTCTTCTTCTTAGCTGGGACGGATGACGAATAAACACTATAGAATGGTTCGTGAGGGGTTGAAGGATAACCTCCATGTTGCTCATAGGGCGTCTGATGGGGCACGGGAGTAGGCGGCGGGAAGCTGGGCGCACGGTAGCCACCCGGTGTCGGGGGCATAGAAGGCGCGCCTTCGTAATTCATGTGTCGCGGTGGGTTATCCGGGTATGCGCCAGGAGGCGGTGGTGGTGGCAGTGAGGTCGGCGGAAGATGTGGTGTTGACGACATCCCTTCGGGCGCATGGCCCGTCGAGTTGGGTCGGCGTTGATCCTCGGCTGGGTCCCGTTTTATGGGAGGATCTCTTGGACCGTAAGGCGGGTATGGGTGATGCGCTGGATGCGCCGGCGACGGAGGTGGATGTGGGTGCTGCTGTGGTGGATGTTGATGCTGCTGTTGCTGTCGGTGGTAGTCTTGAACAGGAGGATAGGGCTCTGGTTCATGATGGCGACGATCGGTGTCGTGAAGCGGTTGCGCAGGCGCAGCGTGAGAAGGCGTCGGCGGAGCTGAGGAATGCTCGATGGGTCGGGGAGGGTAATGTTGATACGGGCTCGGAGGAGGATGAGGAGGATGATGTAGAGCGCCGGGCGGAGGCGGAGGCGGAGGCGGCGGTGGAAGTTGATGAGCGTGAGGATGTGGTAGTGATACTCCTTGTTGAGGCGTGCCGACTGGCCACGAAGAGAGGCGTGGACGTTTACTATCTGGAGGTGCTGGATCCATGCTTGAGTACTATATATGTATGGTAGTACTTGCACACATAATCAGGAACAAGGCGAAGAGAAAAGCAAGGACCACGTAGAGGCGGTGGCCATGGATAGGTACAATACAATAGTAGAATGGTATAGGATAATGGCAGAAGCGAAACAAAAGACGGCCCGGGGAGTGAGGTGAAGCTTCCAGCTGCTTTGGAAGCTGGAGGGGCGGATGATAATTGGGCCCTTCAGCAATAGAGGTAGAGGTTGAGAGACCAGGACGGCATGGGGTGGGTGTGTCTGAAACGACTGGGTACAATTACATGTACGTGTACGAAGTACTGTACTGTATGTACCGTACCTAGAGGTGAAAAGTGAAGTTTGGAGAGAGGTAGTAGGTAGGCAGGTAGAGAAAGAGATGGGATGCCGAGTAGCCAGCCTGAGCCCCAGTGACGCGGTACGGTAGGATCAGCAGTTGGGCAGAGACGAGATGGAGATTCGACAAGTTCTCGCTCGGTACCTGGGAGATGGACAACGGTGGGGGGCACAGACACAACGGCGGTAGCGAAAGGACTTTCGAAGGATGGGATCGGATGGTTGGGATGGCGAAAAAAAGGGACGCGCTCGAGACTGAGAGCTGGAGATTGAGGGAAGAAAGGCGCAAATTTGGCGAGCGAACGGATCGATTCTTGGGCAGGTATGATGTCGACTCCAAGTCGAGCGCAATTCTGGGACCGACAGCCTCAATCCTCAAGGCACAAAAGACGGTCTGCCGGGGGTGGGCGGGCCAGGTGCAGGCAGTTTTGGAGCCAATTGACGAACCGACCCTGCCGAGTTGACAGTCGGAGGAGGCTAAACAAGGCCAGGGGGTTAAGGAACCTTGATGCTTGGCTGTGACTGGGGGGGATGATGTCGGCGAAGACTCTTCTTTTTTCTTTGGCGGACCCCTGCTGCCCGTTTTTTTCCCACCCCTGCACCTAGAAGACTACCTAGAAAGCAGAGCAGATTTTCCAGCAAGATGGAAGTCACTGTACCAGTACCTGGAACCGCGAGTTTTGCGTTGCTGGGTGCTACAGAGAAAAGACTGACGTCGGTCGCTACCCGCTGGCTTGGTTCGGGCTTGGGGTTGGGTTGGTTTGGTTTGGTTTCTTATGTTGTCCTGGCTGCTAGACAGGCCCTCTCTCCTCTGCTAAAAGGACCCTTTTTCTTTAGCTGAGCGAATATTGAAGTACGAGTCCGCCGGTTGGAGACTACCGCATATGGTCAACAAAGCGGGCGGAGGTGTTGCAGTCGCAAAATATGGATGATGTGAGAGCAGATCAAGCAGAAGCACGTAATGGCAAGAACAATAGTATGTGCCAGTAAAAGCAAAGAAGCGCGGTAGGCGAACAACTCAACACCGCAACTTTGCTGATACGGTACCTGCGCCGTACTGTAATGGATGCTCACGAGTAGCGGACAAAGTGAGAAGTAAAAAAAATTCAGGACCTTAGGTAAGTATCTGGCCATGGGACGGACCGCCCAAAAGGTACAAGCTTCAGACGGGAGATGATGGCTGGGTGGAGGTGAACGAGATTGTGGTGGTGCGCTTGAGTTGAGTTACAGTGGAGGCCTCGTGGCCGCGGCGTGGAGCCCAACACGTCTAGTAGCGCACGACGGATTTGCTCTACGCAGTGTCCACTAGACTGATTCTCGCAAAGAGATTTTTTTTCTGAAACTACAGTGGATACTTTAGCTTGGGAAAATCATACAGCTGACTGTAGGCTCCAGAGGCATTGAGGGCAAATCGTCTTGTACGTAACTCCAACTCGATTCAGTCACAGTGACAGTGCACTCGACTCAAGATGCAACGACTCGCCAGCAATGCACAAAAGTGGCTGATGTTACAGTACTCTCAGTACGTCAGAGTTTGGGTTCAGAGTCCCATCCATTCCTGGTTGAATCTCGGTTACTGGAATTCCATTCTCGGTACTAGAGTTCAGTGAAACGTCGAGCGAGCATTAGACGGATAAAGTAAGCTCAAGGCACTACTGTTGGAGCTCCTGGTCATTCCCGACCAGCTGCAGATCATGGAGAAGAAGGTTTTGCCGGTCCTTGCCCACACATCACGGGCCGTTAGAAGAGGTGAAAGATAACGGAAATCTTGATACCCAACGCCAATGCTAACCAGCAATGCCCGGACATGCCGTGTAAGTAAGTAGAAGCGAGCATAAGTGAACGCATGATGGACTGTGGACGTATAGAGGATAAGGTACTGTAAGGTACTTTGAGGGGTCAAAGTCCCTCAAGTACCTTACAGTACAGTACCACCAAGACCCTTGAAGATCTTTGAAATTTCCTGCGTACCTTACCTAGTCTATCCGTATTCTCGGTACATTCAAGCCCGACAAGTCTCAGATCTCTGTAGCTGTAAATAATTGCGCTCTGGTAAATTGCTTCAGTACCTACCTACTACCTTTAAGAGAGAGAATTCCCTCAATGCCCAAAGCTCGGGATTGCTGCATCAATGAAGCGAAGGAACATGTATGTACAGCACGGACAATGATCACCATGACGGGACCTATGCACAATCATTGATCACAGCAGCGGCAGCGCAATGCAACGAAACTCACCAGCAGCCCAGCCCAGCGCAGTTCAGCCATTGAACAGTGATCCCCTGGCCCTCTTCCTTGCAAGGTACGTACCTCCTGCGGAGCAGTTTCTCGGCCACGTGAAAGGTTGCAGGTGACTCCTGTAGCGGAAGCAAGTATCGATATGACGACTAATGATTGGAGTTGCTTCTTCTTGTAAACATGCGGTAACTTCTCGTAGACGGACAGTTTCCGCCCCAAGTGAGGTCGGCAGGGTCAAGTCGCAAGCCAACCTCTGGTTATTAACAGGGTAATTATTTCCATCCATGAATATTACGTTGCTATTATCATCATCATTATCAACACGAAGTTGATGCAGTTATCCTCGTTTTAAGCAGAGGCCACTTCTTGTCCAATGCTTTCCCAGCCGCCTCTCATGTTAGCATCTTGTCCAAACCTGCCAGAAACGTCATTTCGTTCCTCTGTCGGACTTTATTTGACAAACAAACCAGGTCATGAGGAACTATCGACTTAGCAATCAAATCACCTATCGTTCAGTCACCTGCCGGCAGGTTGCAACAAACAAGATCGTCGATTGTCATATATCAAAAAAAAGAATAATTGTGAGAGTTTCAGTATAAATTTGACTCCAGTCTCCTTTTGTAAACAAAAACCCGACGGGCGACTTATTAGTGAACGTGATTGATTAGCAAGAAGCAAAAATGGACGGATCACTTCTGGGGTACAGAGTAGCCAATAATTACCGACTGCATCAACAGCCGCACGTTACAGCTTGTGCTAGTCGCTACCCATGGAAAGTCCTTGTCGATCATCTGTCTGTCACCAGTCTAGAATACAGAACACTGTATCCGTACTTCGTACCAACTTAGCCTTCGGGTCCGAGCTGTTATAGGTGCTAGCAGACACACATCTGACTCAATAAAAGAAGAGTCATGATATCCAAGCGGACTGTCCAGTTGTGCAGGTCCTGTTTCTACTACGCAGTACTCTTCGTTTTAATATGACAGGGTTTCCTTATGGTCACTAGCTCTATGAGTCGGAATTTCACTCCAGACGGTCGACCAACAGTCCATTCACGATGCTGTACGTTTTGAGTTCGTGCTTCAAAGGAACACTTGGGCCTTCACTGTCACAAGCTGTGTCATGATGACGATCTTCAGCAGGACGTTAAGCACTGCCATATGTTCACACAACCCTGATGATCCCCCTCAAGTGCCGATAAGCAGAATCCTCAGTTGAAATAATGTAGTATAATGCGAATCTCCACAACGTGTCTCATATGACGCTGTATTCTTGGCGAGATTTGATGGAACTCCGAAGGACAGACGCAGGCACGGCCCAGGCGCGACAATTTGGATTGACCAGGGTCTTTTTATTCTACTTCTTCTACGACTCCTTCCAATATTGGACACGATTTATTAGATACAGACTCCGCTCAATACAGCCCGGGCCTTCCAGCGGTTCTTACATCTCTTAATGAGATTCGCTAACAGCTAACGTTCATTATTAAATTAGAATGCACCCAGGCGATGACACTGGATACCTTAAGCGTCGATGAAATCAGACAGATGTGAAGCCACTCTAGTGACAATCCAGAAGCTCCTTCATTCATTTTGGGCCAAGCCACGCTTTGACTGTCTCACAGCGAGCGAGCGTTAACCCGACCAAAATTTTCAATTACCGGTCTGCCACTTTATTCCAGTTCTTGCTTCGAAAGCCAAGCCGCGAATGGAAGTCGAAGCACAATCCTCAGCTTCTATGCTCTCGTGCTGACCGACAAAGTGAGATAATGATGGGCTTGGGAAGACCTAGGTCGCCGGCTAATGCGCAACTAACAAGATTGACGCTCCTCACCACGCATGAATACTTGGTCACGATGAAGCAACGGTCGTCACCGCTTCTTGTTCCCTTCACCTATGGATGGATACGGTGAATCTCTTCCTCGGCCAGTGGACCCATCTATCGTCACAGGTAGATTTATACACATGGAGCACGATGCACCTAAAATTGACTTTCTCCGTGGCATCATACATATACGTGACCATGCGTTATCTTACCCTAATGTTCTTTCAATCGTCCCCGAGTATCATGATTAAGGTATTTATCCATGTGGTTGGAAAAGCAGGGACCCGGGGCATGTTCACATGGTTACTGTCACTTATTCGAGGACCATCCGTCCCCCTGGCCAGAGAAAAAGCTTCTGGAACATCGAATGGCCTTATCTCCCTCCACCAAGACCCCATCAGCAACTGGGGACGGATGCATATAGTTAACTAATGGACACTTCGCCCGTTGCCCGAGACTACTGGAAAGGGCAATTAGTCTGTCGGTAAGAGCAGTGTCCGTAGTGTCCTGCATATGAGGTGCATGAGGCTACATCTATCGCTAAGTTTTTGGGTGTTTCTTTTGGGACATCCCTGACTGTACACGGGTTAATCCAGGGAGGATATTGTCGATGAACAGATATTACCGCCGACTCAAAGGCGCGCTGAATCTGACTCGCCGAACGATTCAAGACCGCTTGCTCCGTAATAGCCTCGACTTGGCTGTCAAATCGGCCGAGGGGATCGCATGTATGTACATCTGGAGAGAATCATCCCACAGCCAAGTATCTCTACCTGTACCTTGCATGGCACCGCACCTGGGATTGATACCCCTGGATACAAAGCCCTTACTGTAACGTCGCCTGCTAGCATTCATGGTACTTTCGTCAGTGAGCCCGTCGGACACGGCTGGTTGTATCTGCGCTAGGTGGGCATTCATGCCCAACATTTGCCTCTCGTCAAACAAGACACAAATTCGATATCGAGCCAGAAAAGACATACATGTCCAGGGAGCACTCCCGTCTCCATGCTTCCGAGTCCAATTGTGGCCAACATGGAGAAGGGTGTGTGCCCAGTTCGACTCGACGGAATAGTTTTCTTTAATGCCACTGTGCGTTACGATCCCTCAGTTGAAATGTCACACCGGCTTTTCTGCCTGTCTTCGGCATGTTATCCGCTTGGAATCGCCAGTTGGTCCAGCCCTGCTTCTCGAGTAAATTAACTTCATGTCCCGGCCAAACTATTGGTCTAAGGATTTATCTTCTTGACTGTGCTACTTTTGTAGCACGGATCTCAAGATCAATTGCTCAAAGCTCGGGCGACGTCAGAGGCGTGTCAATAATCAGAGTGATAGTCCACAGAGCAGCGAAATACCTAAACTACATGTCACAATTATTACTGGCTACCAAGGTTGCTGGCAATTTGCCATCAACCCAGTCGTTGGCGAGCTCAGGTGTCAAACCCTGGTTGAAAACGGTGGGAGACGACCTCTCTTCAGAGCTTTCCAGATCGCCGGGACGACGCTAATGGATTAATAACTCCCTTGGGGTTCGTCTGGGAACGTTGGCGTCGCTGAATGCGACGTCATGTGTATGCGAAGGCAGTGAAGCGATGCAGGGGGGTCGCGCCAGACATGGGTAACCGTATGAGTGCGTTGCAGTGCTTACACTGCTGAGCGGACATGAATGTTAGTCAGTAGGTCTAAATCAGTGACGTCTCTACTGTAGGACACTCACTACCTTACTGTAAGGTTTGAGAGGCGGTACGGTACGGTACCATTGGCGAAAGTAGACGAAGACAAGCCACCACACACCGACAAACCACGACGGGCACCGACAACATGGAACTGGGTCAAGCTGACCTCTCATAGCCGTCACCGACTCGGCAGCAACAGGGGGGAGTAAACGACTGGAAGAAAAAGCAAAAAAAAACCACGGCAACGAGTCAGTCACGGCTCGTCGGCGTCCCCAAGTGACCCGGAGGTCAGACACAATTCACAACTTGAAAGGTTAAGAGGCTCGGAGCCGCCTGCGGGCCGGTGCGGACGCGGAATCGGCTTCTTCACTTTCCGTACGCTACCTAAGTACATAGTATGATCTTAGTGGACTGGCCATCTTCATTTGAAGGCATCGTAGATGCTCGCGGTGATGGAGCAGCGCTAGAACAAAATAAGTGCAAGATTGTGACCTCCAATCGCATTGGATCTAAAAGTATCCCCAAAGGGGCAAATCCTTCTTCTGACGAGCCACGCGCCACACTATTCGTATGCTTATTTAGCACTTCTCCTCTCACTCTCCCTTACGCCGGTCAGAATAAGCTAGCCGTTTCGTGAAGCTCATTCATTCATACAGCAGAGTAACATGCAGATACAGATGATCCTCCCACAACTTAATGACACCTCGCTTATTTCTATGTGTTATTCTTGGTTGCCCTGAAACCTTCTTGGAGCTTTCCTGCCCTTGCTTGAAACTCAGCAAAGCAGGGGGCGGCCAATTCTTGAATCGAATCGAGACCCATTCAAGCCGCTGGAGGCTGAGACATTGCAGGTGCCGTGTCCATGTCGTCGGTGACAGCAGAAGCCGTCGCTTCAGCATGTCATCGCCTTCCTTGCTCGGCCGCCAGGCCCAAGATGGCTCTACGCCGTGGTGGTATTCACCAGTGTTCACCACTCACCACTCACCACTCACCAGTTGTTCCTCTTGGCAGGTAAACAAACTTGAATCGTTATTGGGGGTGACATTGGGGGGCTTGTTTACAATACGAGCTGTGTTCTTGATGCTGATGCCCCCATAGTTTTCAAATCTACGTTGTTACCCTACATTTCATAGCTACGACAAAGGGTTCGCAAACCCATACCTATTCCAGTGATAGTTGCTATTAGGCGCATTCCACCGTCTTTTCTTCGTTGTTCTAGAAGACTGACTATTTATGACCTGTCAGCTCTGTTCAGCTACCCCGAATACAGTCCTGGTATTGACGCCTCCAGTTATCAGCCGGGCATCAAGCCCGACTCCGCACAACCCAGTTCGTACATAGAATTGTTATCAACATTGCTCCAACTTCCGTGATTTGGCTCGTTTATACTATACAAGTTAAACGAAACAAACCTCTGGTGAGACGACGAACTTCCATTATGATCATCCTTCAGATCCATCTGTTTGGGTATGGCAACAGCAATCCCAGTTCTTAAGTAGCATTGATCATACCTAGCAATTCATTAACGGTCTACAAGAAATTGGTGCAACATACTACAAGCGCTGAAACATCAATGGCTGAAATACCCTTGCCTAGGTCCCAACATCTGACCTGCGGAACGTGTTTACAGGTTCACTACCCTAAACAATACGCAGGATGGTCACCAATGACAAGCATATCATTTTAATCCTAGGGCTGAGTTGCTTCCTATACAATCCAACGATGTTTCCTTATCGTGTGACAACATGCAACCCGAGCTCCAAATCATGGTTGAGATGGAACTCATAATCCGAAAGCGTATCTCCTTGCTAGGGACTCTCACCTGGAATCAAGTATCAATATTTGGATAAGGACAAAACCATGTCTCAGAGTCAAATAAGACGAACCATGCCACTATAATAGACGGGTGCTATCAGTCCAGGTAACCGACGCCACGCTTACGGAAGGAGACTGATACTGGGACGCGGATCCTAATCGCCATCTGCACTCTGCACTCTGGCTATTTGATACTTCACATGCTCCACGATCAACTGGCAAGCATATGTATCATCATCCGCACCATGTTACTGCAAGTCACGAGAGACAATTTACACACCGATGCGGGGAAAGTATATTGTTGGCACCAGTCACAAAAGTTGCAGAGCGGGGTTTTGAAAATGCCGTGAGGGCTTATTGATGTAGGAGTTCGAAGTACAGTACAGTATGTATCGAGTTGTTGTGATCAGCAACCACATGACCCTGAGATAATGCCCAACATGTGCAAAACTGATGCCAGTAGAGGCGCAATAGCGCGGGATGAGAGATTGATATCAGGCCACCTAAAAGGGTCCGAGCGGTGGACCAAGGTCAAGACCGTTTTATCAACCAAAACAAATCAACACACGGGGTTTGACGCTCGCAGCTGAATCCTGATGTCCATACTTCATGAGCAGATTTCGCAACGATACGCTTCAGTGCGTGCCTCTCTGTGTGTTCGTGTTCAACAACGAGACAGAGTAAGATGAGATGCCATATCGGTCCACACAGACCACGCGACGACGTAGCCAGGCCAAGGTTGCAGGACCAGATTGATCGTGTGCGACCTTGCTTCGGCCGCCTTTTGTTTCCAGCCATTTAACTCGTCACAGCTATACGAAGTCCTGGCGATGATACCTGTACCACCCATTTCAGTGTCTGGAGCATGCTGAGCGAACAGCTACAGCAGTGTTCATGGTATGGCTTATACATACATGGTCAAGGATCTCGGATGAGGTCGCGTGGCGCGCCAGCAGCCCACAACGCGGCTGTTTTCACCGTTTCTGGCTATGTCGCTGAACCTAGTGCCACGAACCGAGATTGAAGAGACCCTGATGATGTGATAGCGATAGCACTCCTAGGCACTCTGTCGCAAGCCGTTCGTGTGATTCGAAACCATAGTGAAAGGGACGTTCTGCTGATGACCTCGAGATGATTGGTGTTTATCGTGTTGATGGGATTGAGGCTTGCTAGCTGATACACGCAGTGCACGCACCAGTTCCAGTTCCAGAGTCCTTAGCATCCAATACACAAAGAAAAACTTTATGTCGATCATGAGCTGGAGGGGTTGGAAAGTATAATAACTTTTGAGGATCTTGGCCCAGAAGCTTTGCCGGGCGCACGAGCGCAAAATGAGCCGGTCTTTTGTTCACAACAATGTATATCATCATATCGAGATTAAGAAACATCATGGTCTCGCGAAACCTTTTCGGAGATAACCTAGGCAACTACTCCGTAGACTCGGCCTCGACAGCCCTATGATATCGCTACTTTGAGGTCAATGCTACATCATCATCGTCAAGCGTTGAAGTCGCCGACAAAAGGTCCGTGCTAGGCACTCTGAAAGCTGAGGCTTGCTTCGTTCCATGGACCGTTCTTGGCCGAGACGGAAGTAAATTGCCTCTTTTTGTTTCACGTTCAGGATCAAGATGACCTGTTTTTTTGGGTTATGAGTTCAAGAGTTAATTTGACTGTGCTATGTATAACGACTGCGGCCGTTGAGCACAAGAACGACGTCACAAAGATGTCGTTGGCAGTCAGTCCTTTTGCTCCATCGATTTCAATTGGCGTTTGTGACCGGAGGTTAGGAAACCATCGGTGACGATGAACTGCTGGTACATGTGTCGAATTTCACGACAGGGGTGCTTTGTTCAGTAGTGTGAACCGATCGACGATATGTCTTGATAAGATTGACCGACTTCCATTTTCTGAAACGGAACTTAGTTGTTGGGGGGCCAGTTCTGCCAGTGTGATGACTGCCAAGCTGTTCCACCGGGCTTCAGGCTGAACTGTAGGTCTGGGGATGAGCCCGATGGATTCAGCATCTGGCGGATCTGGTATGAGAAAGGCAGCTTCATGAATAGGCAGCAGTTAAAAAAAAAACAGGAAGTTACAATCGCGTCACCCAAGAATCCGGTTCATCCCAGCAAGCCCAGTCAGGCTGGAACACGATTATGATTCGTGTATCTCGTAACTGACAGAGCTAGACTATTGTTACTGGGAAGCTCGAACCTTCAAGGCAAAGGTCGAAATACCGAATCTACTCCTGATATCTATTTCTCTTAGGGGTTTCGCGCCTGTCCTGGTCTGGGTGGCATAGTTGCGTGACAGTTGTGATTAAAGATTTTCTAATGTCACCCATGCGTCGCCTCGTACTTCAGGGCCATTTTGCCTCTTCGAACAAGGTCCCTTTGCACAAGTCGGTTCCTCGGCGCGAAGATGCGACTCGGCCGTATGATGATCCTGTTCGTGAATGCTCATCGCCTTCCCGATATGAGCCGTTGACGTTATCTTGTGTAACCAAACCGATGCTACCTGCCCATGCCGCCATAGTTACGCAGCTATAGGTGATAAGGGACGTTGATAGGCCAGCCACATGTTTCGTGTCTTTGGCTGACAATTGACGTGAGGTATATGTCAGCTGTTGGTATAAGCAAGTATGAATACGCTATGTTTATTCCACCACTGAGATTAAGTGATTGCAGAGTGCACGACTTTCCGATTCGTGCGTCAGAGTTTTGGTATGATCCAAGCTTCAAGCTCAGACTCGTAAAGCCGATCCATATATGCCAGTTGTCTGGCGCAACAGGTGATACTATCTGAAAAATGGGTTCCCTGGCCGGGTTTGACGTCCGGGCAAGCTCCTCCGTTGCGAGAGCTTGGACAGATATAGCATGTAAATGATGGTCCACGCCGCCCCCTCAAGCTGTATAGTCTTTCAATGCTGGAGAATTCCCCCGTGTCATTCAACGTCACTTTCGGCAATCTTTCTGCGCTTAGGACGTCCCCGCAAGGAGATGTCGTGATGCCCAACGAGCCGGGTCCCATCTTGGACTGGCTCGGATGCATCAACAGGACCGTCATCTGCACCCTCAGTGAAGACTAGGTCGCCTCGTCGACCAAGGACCTCCTTGCCAGCTTCCTCTAAGAGGATACCAAACGCCAAGAGAGCTGTCTCATCCATGCTCCGTTCAGTAATGTTTCGGCTCTCCAGAGGTTGGCGCTCGCGGTTTCTGACGCTGTAGAAAGCACTGGTGTAAGCGTGAATGGCTTTGAGGAGGTCACTGTCTGGCAGGACACTCTGTCCCCCACAGGGAAGATCATGTTCATGAGCGTAGTAGATATCGTGCTCCAAGTAACGCACGGGTGCATCTTTCCGCCTGAATAGAATTTCGTCAGGAGCTAAAGGGATATCCTTTGTGGAGTATCTGATTGCCTTTGGGTGACGAGGTGTATACTGTAACTCTTCCGGTTCCGTTGCGGGACCTTGGTCATGTGAGACTTTGCCTGGTTTATGTGAGCTTCAAATCGGACGATCAGAAGAGAGGAAAATACCTGCTACAGCATCATAGACAGTTGCATGTCTGCGTTTTGATCCCTTACTGGGATTCTGCTCGGTAGCCACAGGATCTCGGTTGGAGGAGACGTCACTTTGATACAAAGGTGCTATGCGTGAATTGCTCTTTGAGATGTCCATGATGTGCAATGAAAAGCTAGGTTGGAGGTTGATGTTTGATCTGTTGCTCTCTACTGTTTCAGGGTGAAAAAAATATCGTGATTCTCAGACACTCGAGATGTGGGCGCAGAAGCATTGTTTGTTGCGCAATGTTGAGGATGTTTGAGTGAGGCGAATTAGAAGATCAGAGCGGAGTGGATAGTGAGTCTGAGAGGCTAGGTAGGCAATTTGGTGCTTGTTGTCAATGTTAAGTTGAGGCTGATGAAGATGGAAAGTTTGGGTAGTCAATTGTGGGGTAGCTGTAGAGATAGGGTAGGTACCTACCTAGTGAGTGGTCCCTTAAAGTTCAACAAGCACGCCTTGCAGCTGACATCACCACCAGCTCCAGGCTGAAGCCACATTCCATAGGCTGCGAGATTGTGAGATTACTGCCGTCGTTCACTGCTTTGCATTCTTTTGGTTTATACTTCAACTTTAATATTGTCTTTAAATTGTCATCGTCCTGGCACAGATGAATGCAGTCCAACCTTCTCGCTCGTGAAACGGGCGATCTCCGCCATGAAGACTTTACTCGGTCCATCACTTCTGAACTCCTACGTTCTTTTGCGCCGGCTCCTCAGCACCGCTTCAATGGTGAGAGAACGGCCAAGCATGGCCCTACAGATGTAGGCGAGCGTGTGCACAGTATAAGAGCGCATGGCGCAGGCGTTAATACACTCGCCCTTGAGAAGTTCAATGGACGTATCCTCCTCTCTGGGGGAGCAGAAGGAGGCATCAAGGTCTGGAATTTGGAAGACGCTGGAAACCCCAACAAGTTGCACACTTTTCGCCCCATGGGCAGCATCGCCAGGTCTACGAGAGAAGAGTCTTCTCCCGGGCATAGTCACGGTGTCACTCATGTTGCCTTTTATCCTTTCGATCCGGATGCTTTTCTTTCAAGTTCTTACGACAAGAAGCTGAAGTTATGGGCGACTCAGCGTTGCACTCTATCGGCCACCTTCGACCTGAACGCAACTATTTACTCCCACTCCACCAGCCCTGTAGCAGATCATCTTATTGTGGCGTGTGCCACGCAGAACCCAGCAGTTCGGCTGGTAGATTTGAAATCAGGGTCCGCTGTACAAGCTCTTGTAGCACATGGCGGTCCTGTTTTGTCAACTGCATGGAGTCCGCGCCACGAGCATATTCTTGTCAGTGGCCACGCAGATGGGAAAGTCAGGATATGGGATATTCGTCGTTCTGGTGGTGTTGTGGCGCTGCTCGACCAGGAAGATTCACTGGGCATCGTTCACAAAATGAAGCATCTCAGTGCCGCAAGGATGGATTCCAGTCAGATCCCACACTTTCGTACCTCGGCACAGGCGCACGACGATGCAGTGAATGGCTTACAATGGACTGACGATGGACAATACATCATCTCAGCTGGTCTCGACCGTCGCATTCGTGTTTGGGACGCTGCCACGGGGGCCAATACTCTCGCCAGTTTTGGCTCTCTTATTCAGAACCAACACGCGAAGACAGCAAGTATTTTGGTTTCTCCGGCGCATCTCACAAGTGGTAATAATCTTCTCTTCTGGCCAAATGATCAGGAAATTCTTATCCTCGATCTTCATGATGGCCATATTGTGACACGGCTCCGGAGCCCTGGCGTAACGAACCCTATAGGGCCACGAGGGGGCGAGATGGGAAGAAACAGAATCACGAGTATAGTTTGGCGCGCATCGGGGGGGACGGGACGCCCAGTTGGTCCTATTATGGGCGGCGGCAACTCCGTTGGAGCCGTATATAGCTCCCACATGGATGGGCAAATTCGAGCTTGGGCACCCCAAATACCTGGGCCTGAGGATGTCGCCGAGGAAGAAGAGATGCATGAAGAAGAGGAGGCTAAACAGAAGAAGAGAAAGGCTGTCGACGATGCATATAGAAGTCTTATGGGCAAGAAGATCACCTTTACGTAGTGTAGTTATCATGTCCGAGCCTGGCCTGTATGTGTCAGTAAATTTGCAAGTGTTCATAAAATTGGATCAAAGACGTAGTCTGATATGTCGCAATGAAGGTTCTGGAAGCCAGTGATTTACGCTGCAGAGCCAGTGATAAGGGCAGTCCCTAACGCCATCCATATGTCCTATTCGCTAAAGGAGCCCAGTATCCATCACAGCACAATGACAACCAGGCATATCCATCCGTCGGGGTATGAGGCTTCCCGCATCAGCTCCTCTAAGGGTGCATCAAATGGTACCCCAGCTCCGTGCATTACCACCTTCGCGTGAATAGGATCACGGCTGCTTGGGAATAGCCCTGGCAACATCTCTTTGAGAGCCTGGCCCAGTATTTTAGGTCGGCGGTCTGAACTTGTCGCTGGAACAAGAGATTGGATGACTTTGAAGGTGGCCTGCTCGGAAGACGCTGGTGACGACGAGTCCGAGGCGGTGGTAGGGATGTAGATGCGAATGGGAACATGTTTGAGTGCTGTTGGTGCGTTGAGCAGATGGCTATTGATACGGTTGAAGGATGCTTGGTCATTGTCTATGACAGCGTTCCAAAGCTGGGTGGTGTTGTCTTTTGACATTTTCATGATTTGGTTTGCATTGCCATTGCGGATGAAGTCAGCCTAAGCGAGTCAGCTCTGCGCTGTTGTAAGATAAGCAATTCCAGATCTCCGATGCGAATATACACACCGAGAACAGATATCTAGCTGCATGCTCTCATGTAGCATATAACACTCACCTCTTTTACGCAGTTGAGAAAAGTATCCGCAATATCCCAACCTACTCCATCATTCACGGTCAACCTCCACGGCAGGCGGGGTTGATACAGGTCTACCAGCAATCCCACAGCCAGGTTCCTCAACTGTACATCTTCAAAGTAGAAGCTGGAGCAGGGCGAGTTGAAGAAAGTCGACAGTCTCGGGATGAGAAGAGCCAGGTAGCTGAAACGCGGAATACTAGTGATGAAAGGCGTAGTCGGTGAGGCGGGATGGGTTATGTGCAGCGGAATCCGGGCGTTCCATAAAGCTTGTGTGATGGAAGAGGACATTATGATGAGGGCATGGTGAGGAAAGTGAGATGTTGTGAGGCTCGGTGAAAGTGTCAGTTTGGTGAGTCAAATCATAATACCTGGCGAGTCTGCGATGTTCGGTGCCAATGTGTAGGGTAGGACTCGCTCATGTGATTATTAAGCTGGCGACTTACAATGATACCTTTCAGTCACGTTGAATTGTAAATAACCTACGAATAGGTAAAAAATTATGGCAAACGGTCAATGGCGACATCATTTTCAAATAGAAACGGCTTGCGAGTTCAGTAGTTTGTATAATCTCAAGTTTAAAGCCTTTGTGATTGTTCTAGCTAAAGCAATTTTGAGTGGCACAAGCAAGCATATGGCTCACGGTTAAATCGCGAATGGTTTCGTCGCCCAGGTTGAACAAAGTAAAACCTACTATGCAGTTTCGGTTCATGAGATATCCAGCTGTTCATTAAGGTATGGGAGACAACAAGCGCAGCCCATGTATCCTCTTTCAGTGTCGCTTTATTACACAGGTTGGTTGTCAGCACCCTGATTTCATTGTAGGTAGCAATGCCCAATCATGCTAGAAAATTACAAGCCTCATATCTGTCGTCACCTCGTCACGAACGACGAAGCATTCGAAACGTCGGAGTACAGAAAACAGGCTTATGGTTCAGTCCAAACAGCGTCACATCATATACAGCTTGTTCAGCTATGGTAAGTCAAAGCGCTACCGATCAGCAACAAACTTTTGATAGTTATGATCGTTTCGTCAGCCTAGAGGTTGCATGAGGTTAAAAAACGTCAAGGTTCTACTAAATTACCAAATTCTGGTTTATTCATGAGGTCGTCACGAAATAAGAGCCTTGGACGATGCAAGCGGCTCAAGGGTAGCCTTCTTGGCGTGATGCGTGGCACGATTGGCGGCATCTCGGCACCTGAAGCTATGATTTCTTCCAAGACTCAGAAGCTCAGTAATTGTCCAGTCGAAAAAAAAAAAGGCCTTGGCCTGCGACATCATTTTTGTTTCAGAACAGAGAAGGGGTCCTTGTCGGGCTGCGATACAAGGTGAGGACTGTCGAATGGCAGATGTTCACGCTCACCACACCTTAGCTGAAGCCTGGTCCGCATGACCTCATCTGGCAACTCGTTGTGCTGGTGACCTGTTATGAGCCACGGTAGACGTGTCAGAGAGCTTCAGGGCCAAGACAACGGTCTCAAACAGGCTTCATTGGATCTTTTTGTTGAGGGAGGGCGTCATCGTCATGTGGTAGAGAGACCCGTGAGTTGTATTGCTAGATAGTATCTAGATAAATAACGAGCCTCGTCCCAAGGCTGTTGCTTGTAAGGAGAAGACAGATAGAATATCAGAAACCTCAACTTCCATCAGAGGATTACAACCCTACTACATCAAACCTCTCCTGCAAAGTAGCCATGGCTCTCGATCGTATCGTCAGCTTGATTCTGCGTGCTGCAGAGCTGGTATTTGCAGCCATCGTTGCAGGCGTCAATGGCGAATACCTGCACAATGCCCGCGGCGCAAGCTCATGGCAGCTCGGCCGATTCATCTACACTGAAGTCGTTGCCGCACTGGGAATACTGTTCTCTCTGCTGCTCCTCATTCCATTCTCGAGCACTTTTGTTCACTGGCCTCTGGACATCTTCATGTCCATCAACTGGTGGATCGTCTTTGGTCTACTCGTCGATGTAAGTCACAGCCTTGTTTGACACTCTACTCTCGGTAGTTGTACATGCACTAACGGCACTCAAAGCTCATTGGAAACTCTTGCGGCCGTGTATTTGACTGGGACAACGTGCATCCCGTTCACGGAGATCAGTGTGGGAAGACCAAGGCCGTGATCGCCTTTAGCTTCCTCTCGGCACTTCTCTGGCTTGTTTCGGCTCTCGTAGGCTTCTTCTGGGTGCGCCGACGCGAGCGTACCGTTGCCCGTGCTGAGGCGGCTCACCATAACCGCCGCCGGGGCCCCTGGTTCCGCAGCCGTGTCTAAGAGCAGATGCAGTTAGGGGTGAAGCACTACAGCTCCGCTGAAGAACCTTTGTGAGGGTTACTGGTTACTAGTGAGAGGAGAGGAAGATCTCAGTTGGCGATTTGTTGGCCTTGGCGACATGATTGGATTGCGTGGAACATTCCGAAATGCCGTGTCGGGTGGGAGCAAATACGTGAGATGGGTGGATTATTTCCTTGTTTTTCTTTTTTGTTGTCGTTTGAGTTGGAATTTGGCGTTGGACAAGGCAAAGCAAGCAACGTGAAGCTGAGCGGATTTGGATACCCTCTGATACGATTGACGGTCACAACAAGTCCTTACTGTGCTTACTTAGTTACTGAAATTAATTAATGTATACTTTGCTACTATTTTTGTCTCGCCTATCGATCAACGTGGGTACATTTAGTACTGTATGAGATTTGAAACTTGTAATAGTTGGATCCTCTTGATGTATTTCAACGTCATTTGTACGAATGCAAAGAATATTTCAAATATGAAACAATGGGGAACAGTGTCATGATCGGCAACTCAAAATGGACAATGGAATCTGATTTGAAGCCCCTGATGTCTGTTATCCATATTGTACACGCAGCACAGTATACAGCACCCCATACCGTACAGTCCGTGAAATGGGCGAGATTTGGTCACAAGCCTCTTCTTACCCGTTTGATCTTCCTCTGACCTGATTATCATGCAGGAGACGTGCCTAACCGCGTCAACTGTCCGTCTTGTTTCCATGATCATCGAGATCTACGACCAGAATAACCCCAGTCCCGTCCTCCGGTACGAGGTTGACTGCAAGCCTGAACACACTCCTATCGGAAAACTGGCGAACAGGAACAAAAGCCACCATGGCATGCATCCGCATAACAGAGCTTTCTTAGTCTGCGCGACTCAGGGCTGGATATTCCCGTCACTGTGGGACCTCGTGATCCTGGTCTTAGCCGTGTTACAGAGGTTCTAGAGCGGCCATGGCCAGGAGAGAGCTCTTGGCCCAGCGGATTCAAGGCCTGGAGAGGCACCAATGTTGTCATAAGTCGATTTCTTTGTCTCGTTGGACCGGAAAAACGGCCTTTCTCTTGGCGTCATTTTGCTTGCCTTGGTGGCTAGTGGGCCTGCTGCCAACTATGAGCCTGTGAGCGCGGGGTAGCTTGGTTTGAGAGCTGGGGGTGGCCTGTCTGGACAAAAAACATAGAGCTCGCTTCCACTGCGAAATGCACTAAGAATGCCGCAAGATCTCGCCGTTTTCTGTCACCTTCCGGGGTAGCTGACGCCACGCATCACAGTCATGATACACGCCACAGGCTCTGGCTTTGCATCATCTTTTTGTAGATCTCACTTTCAAGCCACGGAGCCTTTTCGTCATTCCCTTTCACATCCCGTCTCCTGCTCCACAACATCAGCTTGGCGCATTGGAAGAGCAGGAAATCCGATGTTCGATGCTTGTTACGTTTGTTGATTTCTTCCTTTGGTGCTTCTGCCCTACGAGTCGTCAACGTCATATCTCGCGTGGCATGACGCTAGATTGTCCCTGCAACGAGCCTTCACCAATCGTCGCCAAGCTCAGGGCTAGACTTCTCCAAAGATCGGGGTAAATGCTATGACGCAAAGTGAGGTCGGTGGAGGGGTGAAGTGAGAGAGGAGAGAGGAGAGAGGCCGAGATCTGAGGATCGAAAGGGTTTGGGCCTGCCAGGTTTGCTGAGGATGGCATCGAGATTGAGGCTCCCGGGATGACAATCTTCAACTATATAAGATTCACGATATCTCTCCTCGAAACTGTCTTTCCTTCTCATCATCAAACAACAACAGCATTCAAAGATACCCAAAGCATCTTCACTTTAACTCAAACCCCACACACCATCTTTAAGATACCCAAACACTTCAGAACAATAACTTAAACTACATTCATCATGTCTGGTCTCATCAACAAGGTCAAGGAGGCTATCCACTCCGACAAGGACAAGTCCCACGAGCAGCCTGAAGGCACGCATGGCGGACATTCGTCTCGTATTGCCAACGCCGCTGATCCTCGATATGATTCGGATAGAGACCATCGTGCGAACCCTGGCACCACAACCACTGGTGGCCTGGGATCTTCCACCCACAACACTGGCACAACTGGTGGCTTGACCGGTGGCTCTACCTACTCTGAGAACATGCCTGGTCACACTACCACCGGTCGCACTGAGAATCTGCCTGGCCACACCACTGCTGGCGGCCTTGGCTCTCATTCTTCAGGACTTCCTGAGGGAACCGCGGGGCCCCACGGAAGCCGCCTTGCCAATGCGGCAGACCCAAAGGTGGACAGTGATCTTGACGGTTCACGACGTGTTGGTGGCTCCAACACTTATGGACAGACTGCTACTGGAACTTCGGGTCTTTCAAGCCACGGTGCTGGTGCTCATGGTGGCATTGGAGGTACATCTGCTGGCTACAGCACCGGTCCTGGAAACACCGCTGGGCCCCATTCCAGTGATATGGCCAACAAACTTGATCCAAAGGTGGATAGCGATCTTGACGGATCCCGACGACTCGGTGGTTCTAACACTCACGGCCACCAGGGCGGTCTCGGCGGCAGCACTGGCACTTATGGCCAGACCACTACTGGAACTTCAGGCCTCTCAAGCCACGGTGCCGGTGCTCACGGCCCCACCGGTACATACGGTTCTACTGGTACTGGTACTGGTACTGGTCTCGGCGGTGCTGGTACTGGACCTGGACCTGCTCCTAAAACCGCGGGACCCCATTCTAGCGACATGGCCAACAAATTGGACCCTCGTGTAGACAGTGATCTTGACGGCAGCAAGACAGTTGGTCAAGAAAAGACTTTCCAGCAGTCGTAAGTCTTTCCAGCGGCCTGCCCCGGTATCTCGTGCAACGACACTTTTTTGACACCAATTTTCTCCAATAGCAACAACAACTTCGCCGGCCGGGATCCCACCGATGCCACTCAGGTTCCTCCTTCTGTTCTGCAGAAGCATGTTCCCACTGAGATCGCTCATGATGATCCTCATAGCGACCACAGCCGACGACACAGCAGCACTCACCAGGAGACTCACCGGGGTCTGTAAAAATGGAACTGAGGGCTTAATGATGATTTATGGATATGTATAGCAGCATTTATTTAATGAATGTTAATGAATTATCTTGTCAAAATATGACCGTGTATATCTTGCACGACCTTGAGTGATGTATTCGGATTAAGACGTGATTACAGTTAGCTATGGACTGACTTACTGATATGAATAATCGGACAAGTGCTTGAAGAGTGTTTTGTAACTTTGAACTATGGGAAAGAGTAGCCAATTTGTAGCAATCAAAGCACTGGAGGTGGTAAAAAGGATCCTTTATGGCTTGGAAAGTATCAGTGAAACTGTTAGATCTAAATTCACATTGATTTAAATATACTCACTACGCAAGAAAATCTTGAATGATCTCCTTTTCTTGACCGACAATTGATCAAAACAATATTGTCGCACTAGCGTTTGCTTCCTCCCAGATGCTAGGATTGTTTTGTGATTTTCCTAGTGATATTTCAAAGTACGACTACTCAAGGTCTATCAGCACAGACGTCCAGATTCTTACCGAGAGACTCATTCTAGTATAGATGACATCTGAAATCGCAATAGCTACAACTAGCGCACCAATTGGATTTGTTCTGCCGTCGCTGGGTTGCATCCCACGCCTTGCGGTGCCTGGATTATGGTTGTGCCTGCGATGGAGAAGGACCATAGAGTATAAATAGGTCAGGAAGACGGAGTGATTTCACAAGATGGCATCTATATGTGTACACCCTCTCTGGAAGGTTAGTCCAACTTGATGAAACCATTAAACATTTTAATGAGCTTCTCTGGCTATGGAATTCAACAATTTCGAGTCATGGCGAGAATCGGAGCCCGAGAAACTTGATTGTGCAATATTCTTGCTATCAAAGTTGTGCGCATATCCCAAAAACATTACCATTCCCCATATTCTACTTAACTTAGCTTCTTGAGCATTTCAAGCTCCTATGCCTCCAAATACAACTTGTCGTCGCCCATAAATCATCCTCAATATCCCTGAATGAAGTACCAAATTCGATACCATGCTGTTTGACATGGTTCACAGCACATGCATCAGGGCCTTTCTTCTTATTCCAGGCGGAGATGACATCTGACCAAGTCTTCTCTTTGGCTTATGCAATACTGCGGGCAAACTCGGAAAGAGGTACAAAGGTATGTTCGGGGTGTGTGCCTTTGAACTGGCGAGATCTGAAGCCACCGAGATGATGAGCCATTGCCTAGTTGACACTGGGGGCGAGAGTGTGACCCTGTGTATGAATACTGCTTGAGATGGGTGAAGATCTCGGGCCAAGAACGATCAAATGTCTCTTCCTGGAAGAACCATGCCTCGAGAAATGCGTTGCCTTTTTTCTTGAGCTGGCTACTCACAGCAGAAGCGATGTCCTGCATGGTAGAAGGGTGCAGCTTGAAGTTGCGCTTGAAATCCAAGTTATCGATGACAAAGACCTTGGACCAGTCAATGTCGATACGAAGGTGACGCACTTTCTTGGCCACTAAGTGGATTAAATTGACGGGAACTGACAGGTCAACGCCCTTCAGCTTTTCGCCAAGAATGTCGGAGCCTTTGACATGGTTTCCGAGCTCTGAAAGGTTCATGGCATTGATTGCACGAAGGGTTGCGAGAGACTTGATGCCATCTGCATCAATGCTGTTGAGGGTGACTACATCAAGGATATGGTCAAGAGGGACGATCAAGTCCACGAAAGGAACAGGTCGAGCACCATCGTGAATGGCGAACTTGAAATGCGTATGCGGTTGACGGAACTTTCCGACCGTGACGTGATATCGAGACGCACAATGAGGCCGGCGAACCGTCCGGCGGCAAGGCGTGCGATAGTACCAGCGTGGAAGCCGGGGAGAAGCTGGCCATCAATACTGAGGAGAAGATGGAACCAACCAGTAGACTGAGCTTTCATGTCGAAGGTGGTTTCGTTGCTTTTGTTCTCAGTCAACTGACCGACATCGAGTCCATGCAGGGCAGGGCCGCGAGGCTTTTCGACGAAGGGTTGTTGCATGATCACGGCATGGTGCAGACATACGTCGCTTGCGGCTAGTCTGGGGAACATGGATTTGTTGGTGTGCGCCTTTGGCATTTTGCACAATCTCAGCTACGACCTCTGCTTTGGTCATAATGTAACTATCTTGAGAGCGGAATATCTTGAAGCTCGGTCGATGACAGTGCTCCACGAGATCATCTCTCATGATTGCCGCGAGACGCGCAGTTTTGATAGCAGGGTCCTCGGGAGGAGGAGGGGGCGGAGGAGGATAGTGATACATCGGCATCATCGGCAACATCGCGAAAGGATGACGAGCGTCAAAGCTTGGGGTAGAGGGAGAAGAGGTGATGTGATTGTAGTAATGCGCAGGGAAAACTTGCGATGTGAAGTTGGGTGCAAAAGCAAGCGGTGGTGATGCGCGGGCGAGGAGAAGAGAAGAGAAGAGAAGGCAAGAGGAACGCGGTTTTAAGCAACACGGTGCTTAGGCAACGATGAATAAAAATTGGAGAGTAAACAATAGCAAGAGGGGGAATGAATCACTGGAAGGTGTGAGAATGCTGAAGGCTTCGGTGGTTGACACTGTCGGGCAGCTGGCGGCGGCTGTTGGCAGTTGTGAAAAGAAAATCTGGCCGTCAACCCGTGAGGGCCCCTCCAGAGGAGGGTGCAACTGACGACTGGCGAGGAACTCTCATACATTACGCCTGAATGTATGCCCCTTTCCATTAGAAGCTTTATCGCGGCCGGGCATCCCCAGGCGTTTTGGGCGTGCCTGGAGTGCTGGGGTGCTGCGTTGCTTTGGTGAAGCCATTCGAACATTGTGTCTCTCCTTCGTCCAGTTTGAGCATCTATTGTACTGCATGCGGGCAACATGAGTAGAATGGTTGAGAATGGTGCATGTTTGGTTCGGATACAGCAACTGCTCAGTTTATTCTGTCAGAAAAAAAAGAACTTGAAGACGAGAGAAAGCAATACCGCTGTAAAGTACATACAGGGTTTTCGTTCAAATTTGACAAAAGGAAAAGATGTGACCTTGCAGTAGGTAGGATCAGACGTGCGAGGAAAGGTTCCTCAGGCGGTAAACTGCTGGAGCATAAGTTCATCCTAAAACTCATCATAAGGCTCATCCTAAGGTTCATTCGTCTCGAATCGAGTCCTCAAAGCGGTATACCCATTGATGTCTTCTGCGCTCAGGTCAGACCGTGCATTTCCTTCCTCTGCTCTGAGGGAGATGCCTTTGGGTATTTGCCGATCACTTCAGCAGACGGTGAGCTGAGAAGCTGATTGACCAAGTGTCGATAATTGCCCAGGCGAAAAGCACTGGTAGTAATGATAGGAATGGAGAAACTTATGGCGGGTTTGACCTGTCGGTGAAGCGGAATGGTAAACTGCACGGTGAAATGAGAATAGTCCTCATTGAACTACGAGTTGCCGCTCTCCGTCTCCGAGGATTTGTCGAGTCGGATCGTGATCATAAGTGACTGGGTGGTGAAGCAAGCTGAAGCAACCAAAGAGCTTGCTCTCCCAACATCAGAAGTACCAGGTGGTCGTGGTATAGTTGTACATCACGGAATCCGACAAGACATATGGGCATGTGTGTATTGATTATAATACCATCTCCCTTCCTTCCTTGCTTTGCTTATCTCTCCTGTAACTTTTTGTAGAACTCGTACATCATCATCGCATACCGCCTATCCTCAATCCAGATATTATCACCCATCCAGAGAACCATTCAACAAAGCCTGCTGGTCACCATCCTCGCTATCCTCCTCGAGTTCCTCCATATCGTCAAGGTAGTCCTTGCACAATCTGGTCTGCGGAGTCTGCGGTTTCGCGAACACGTCCTTGCGCTGAGGCTTATTCTTCTTGACATGCTTGGTATCTTCGAGAGAGATTATCACAGGAGGGATAAGAGCATTTCGCGTAATACTGTCATCTGCGGTGATCATCTTGCTAGCAGAAATGGAGATAACATCTTCCTCAGCGTACTCCCATCTACATGACCCGTTCTCTCCCAGCAATCCTTTCCACGTGTATTCGAGATTCTCAGTTAAGGCTCGATTTACCGAAGCTTGCATCGGTTGAACAAGACGGTGTTGGTTGCCATGCCCTACCAGGGGACTGTGTGTTCAATTCGTCTCCCCTTGACTACTCGTGAGAGCCTCATCGGCATGCAAGCTTCGGCATGGATAATGTCGGAAGCAAGGACCAGTTTCTCGTATCTGGGCAGGTTCAGCATCATGTCCAGAGCAGGTGCAATTCTCGTGCCATCCTGCACCCATTTCTTGATGGCTCGGCTACTGAAGGCGAGAAGAAGCTTCTCGTTATGGTCGACAATTCGGATACGCTCATGGTAGTCATAGCGCTCAATGACTTCCCTACGGAGATTGGCAAGAGTCTTGCCTTCCTTTAGTGTAACGTGCGATTGGCTTACATCGTCTCCAAGCTCATCGCACCATTGGAACGTGATTGAGTCAGTCTCGGGGTTGACGGACACGACAAGCTTGACAAGTGCGCCTCTTGTGCGATGCTTTCCTAGCCCAAATTTGCCGGATCCTTGCTTTGCATCCGGAAGGGGATGATCGGACACGAGGGTCCCAGCATCGACGTGAGTGTAATCCCTTATGCGGCTGGGCAAAACTGGGTCGATAGGGCAATCGAAGTCAGTGTTCCAATCGTTGAAGATAGCCTTGAGTACATTATCCCAGAAACCATAAGTGAGTTGGTAAGGCGGGTTGCGTGTGTTTCGAATCGGCTGGGCTAGTATGAACACTATGAGTTTCTCTTCGCATGTCAGATGTTCATGGCTTCTGGCAAAGTGAGCAGCTGGATGAGCAGCGATAGCACGTCTGTCTTTCATAACGATGGCCTGGGTAAGCTCATCCGAATCGGCTGGGACGGAAGGCGAGCGAGTACGACGGCGTTGTTCGTCATCGTAGGAGTCCCGGTACCAGTCACGGCTGCATCCGCCACGAGGGTAGTCGCCGCGAGGAGAGAGGCTGCGACGACGAAGCCTGTCATTGTTGTTGTTTTTATTGTCAGCTTTAGTGTCCGAGTCGCTGTCAGTTATACCATACTAGGGTGATAACTCGGCTTCATCCTCTTCTTTCAGATCGCCATCATCCTCGTTCTCGCCCGGAGCGACAAAGTCGGCCAGGGGCGGCATGGCGATGAGAAAGATGGGAAAGAGACCTGAAAAGGATGAGATACTCGAACAAAGAAACGAGAGTTGAAAGAGACTCGAGACGGGGAAGAGCTGAACGGGTGGGCGCGTTGACAACTTGTGGTGTTGAGAATGTGAAAATGAGATTGCGGCAAAGGATATAAGCGCCCAATGTTCACTTCCCACAACTATTTTCTGCTTTATATTGTCCTTAGGGCTAAGCTCCGTCTGTGCTAAAAGCTTTTACGTCGCAAGGCGTTGCTGGCAGTTCCAAGTGCTGGCAGCTGGCAGGCAGTGCACAGGGCGGTGATAGCTCAAGGGTCGCAGAAGCTCTCTGTAATATCGGAACACAGCGATGTCGGAGAAGAGTTTCTTTGATGACGACAAAGAGGAAAATGGTAAAGTGAGAGCAGTTGACTGCGCGTTGTCTGTGGTTGTGCCAGTGATAGAGGGGGTTTAAGATGAAGAGTACACACTTCGATGCCAGCGCAAAGTGTGTTCTGCCGTCAAGGCGTGTGGCCGAACAGATCACCAATCTGATCTGTTCCGTTTACTTATTCAAGAGAAGGTTCGAGAGTAAGTGGCTGTATTACCGAACAGGACAAGCCTGTTCGACTGACTGGGTTCTTCCTCGTATATCTAGCACTAAACAAGACGTGTAGCGGTGCCTCGGCCGTGTGTGCTGTGATTTCCTCAAAAGTGGTGCTATTCTCGATGGTTTGTATCGCTGTTAGCAGAAATATTGAACCCTTTCCAAGGCTTGACCCTGGATTGTTAAGTGAATTGCTAGGCGCCAGGTCAGAGCTTGTTATTTTGATCCGGCCTTCAGGCTTGCTATGCCGTGTTATGAAGATGTTTCCTCGCCGGCATATTCCTTACCGAGTATCTCATGCCGGAGCAAGACAATGCCATCCGAGCGTCCGTAAAGGACAAGGTAGCCTGCAAATAGGCATAAGTTACGCATTTTCGTATTCCGTATATGGGGTGAACAAAGACATCCTGGCATTTGCACTTCCGCTTAACACGCTTGGTGTCTTTAGGAAAGACTACCACAGGAGGGTTGAAAGGATTTCGCATAATCACATCGCCTGCGATAATCGGCTCATTGGCGGAAGCGGAGATAGCATCTTCCTTAGCCTGAGGACAGCTGCGCGTGGAGTGGTTGGCGCCGTCACATCGCGCACACTTGGGTTGGAAAATGCACTTGTCTGCGAAGTGTCCTGGCTGTCAAAACTTGGCACATATGATTGAACACTCGTCGGTGAGTTCAATCAAGGCATCGCGTTTCTCGAGGTGCTTGACGAGATGACGGATGGGCCAGATAAGGGGGAACATCTTTTCCAGGTCCGATGAAGACAGTACTAATGTAGGCGCAAGAGCCTGCCACAGCCATCTACTCAGGCTCGCTGATAAAACCAGTATTGGTGGTTCGAGTGAGATCGACAAAGACGTAGTCAGCCTCATGACTGAGCGAGTCATCGATTATACGAACGTCAACATGCGTCTTGGATACTTCAGCAGCTGTGAGCTGGTAGATATTCATGCTGGCTGCTCATCAAACCCATCAAGCTTCCTGGCCCATAGTGCCCTCTAGCTACTGAGCTTTGTTGTCACCACCTTCCTCAAGCGCTGTGTCAATGGAACCCCTGAGTGGTCCGTATATTCTTCGTCTTCTGTCCCGCAAGACGAAGACGCCGAGAGACTGCCCTGGCGATCTTTGCGATCCATTTGGCACTCGGGGCAAATTTTATCGTACTGATACCTTCATTATTTTAGTTGCAACACACCCACTCGACTGAACCAGTCTCGCAGTTGAGTGACAAACCAAGACAGACCTTCTCGCCTTTCCTGCGCCATTAACTCACTTCAAGATCGCCAGATCGTTGCCTTGCAACTGAAGGAGGATAGTCCCGATTGAGCGTACCCACATCGATATGAAGGTGTTTTTCTTCTAGGTTGGCAGGAAGTTCCGGGCTGGGAGGAGGATCAAAGCGGGAGTTCCAATTGTCGAAAAGCGCGTTAAGGAAACCCTGCCAATCACCCACAGTCAGTTCATAAGGGGGTTTGCCGTATCTCGAAACCGTTAGAAGACCAAGAAGAGTATGGGCTTCTCGTGGGATGTCAAGTGTGTGTGCTTTGTTGCATGTTGACCAGCCGATTGGGTACCACATGTACATCTCTTGTACATCTCTCAAAACATACTCTTGAGTAAGCTCTGGCTCGGGATACTCTGGGAGATCATGAGGGCCATTGTCAGGACCGTCGTTGCTAGGACCGCCATTATCTAGAGCATTGTGACGAGGCGGTGGAGGGTAGTTGTGAGGACTTTGGTCATCATAGTAACCGTTACGGTACTCCTGGGGAGAGCGGCTACGACGCTGCATTCCATGATGGTCTCCGGGAGGTCGCCCACGAGAATAAGTAGAGGTCGAGCTGGCGCTGCTCGAGATAGTAGTAACCAGGGTACTGGCCACGAGCATAGCGATCGAGAGGATGCGGCTCGTTATAGTAAGGACCAGGGCGTTGGTGAGGAGGATAGCGGTCATGAGGTCGCACCTCGACATAATTCTATTGACCAAGCTGTTGGTGAGGTGGAGCAGGCTGCCCATGAGCTGCAGCGCCATAGGCTGCGAAAGCTGCATTTGCAGGGCAAGATGCGAGCAACCACATTGTCAGGGCGGGCCTGGGATGCTCGGTGAGCAGCATCGTCAACCAACTTGTTCTGGCCTGCGGTCCACGCAACCTTTGCGGTAGCGGGAGTGGGCTCGACGTTAACGAACTGATCAACCTTAGACAGGAACTTTGGTGCCGGGTTGTCGTACTTGGTGATAGGGGCCACGGCTGGCTCATTCGCCGGATCGTCGATTCCACCAACAGTAAAGTCCTTCGTGCCATGGACATGAACGAAAAGGTCCAGAACTTGTTGGGCGTCAGTGGACTTCTGAGCCATTTGCGTGTCATTGGAATCCCAGGTCTCGGCAGGAGGTGCAGACTGGTCCCATGCAGACTCGTTGGCCTTGGCCTCAGGCTTCGGGGCGGCTGGGGTGTCAATAGTGTCCCAGTTCTCGGCAGGAGGTGCGCGATAGTTTCGGCAAAGTCACAATCATCCTCATCGGCTCGACGGCGAAGCTCACGGACAACGGCCTTAGCAATAGCGGCTCGTTGAACATATGAGGGCTTGCCAGGAGACTCAGCAGCAGCAGCAGCAGTTGATGGAATCTTGATGATGTGGTTCACCGGCTCAGCGGCATGCTTGGCAAACGTACGATCGCACTTCTCAGTGATGGGTGCTTGGAGGGAGGCAATCTTGTCTTCGTCTGAGGTCTTCGGCTTGCGCTCTGCTTCAATTTCTTGCGCAATAGAGATGCGACGATTAGAAGCCTTTCGCTTACCATGGCGGAGGGCGAAGGCGACATCACGATTCATATGTGTGATCTGCTTAGCCGTGAGAGGAACCCTTATAGGAACACGCTCGCGATAGTCGGCGTTCAGGAAGAAGGTAACAGGCGCTCCGAAATCGGGCAGCATCCCAAGCATCATCTACGAGTGAATTCCCCAGGAGCAACCAACCCATGTTCATGTTTCTCAGACGCCTGAAGCCCAGCATCTGCCCAGTCTTAAGAACCTAATGCGACTGTCCAGCTCTTGAAGCGCCCATTCTCTCAGCGAACATCTTCTGATAGCGACGAATCTTTGCTGCCGTGGCCTCGTCTATCTCTCGAACTAACGGCTTCTCCCTGGGACCTTGGAGACTAAGCTCGCTGCTGTGCGCAAGAGGTATTCCAGATGCCTTAGCCTGAGCGGATGTTCGGAGTATGAGACGGCCTGTGTAGACGGCCTGTGTAGACAACCAGTCGGTGATTGTATTGTCCCATCTCGTAGCCCCAGTAACTGTCGTAGGCCAGTTTGGCTTCGAATTCGGCTCTGTCTACGTCCCAACCAGGCTCGAATGTGACCTTGTCAATGCTCCCGATTGACCCTTTCGCGTCTTTCCATTGGAAGCGCAGAGCGGACCCTTTGCCAACAGTGACAGTGAGGTATACAGGCTCTCCTTTCTTGCAAGACTCGCCTCGTTTTGATTCATCCTCGGCGATCGCTTTGGCTCTCTTCTCCTTGGCCTTGGATGTTCTACAGAGCGTTAGATATTGAGGTCCGACCAAATGGTAGAATGCTAGACTCCAAGGGACACTCACGATCCTTTGTTTTCGAATACTTTCGGAGGCTTTGAGAATTGCTCCAAATTCTCGCTCCAAAATCCGGCTTTGGCTCCAACCTCCTCGAGCTGCGGAGATGAGGGCTTCGCAGGGCGGAAGATGCGGTCCATGCTCGAGGGATCCTAATATCGATGAATCTCCCGCAGCAAACCCCTTTTCATCTCAGGGGTGACGTTTGTTGAACCCGGATGGAAGGCCCGAAATAGCTCTGTGAACATCACATATTTTACCAGCGTCAAGGAAGGGTAGTTGTCCATGACTGAGAAGAGATTCCTAGATCAGTAGCTTATGTTAGACACAAGTGGAAGGATACGGGCTTGCTTTTGTTCGAGACATACCGGCGGCAGACACAGAGCGTCTCAAATCCACGAGTGCAGCCCGAGAACACAGCCTTGAAGCCCCGTTGGCCAGTAGTCAATCCGGGGGAAGGAAATGCTGGGTATTTTGGTGGAGATGAAGAAGGCCGGCCGCCACTAAGCCCGTAGGACAAACCAGAGGCTACTGAGAACCATCGCTGCCGATGATATTGGCGATAGTGGTAGGGCTTCGTGCCGACATGGCGGCAACAAAGAAGATCGTATGGGACGAACGATGTCAACAAGTGAGTGGCGTTGGCACCTCACGGATGTTGAAGTTGCGAAGAGGAAAAGGTGGTGAAGGGCAAGGCCAAGTCTGTGATTTTCACCTCCCATAATCTTTTGCTTTCACTGATTGTATGAATTGTTTTTGGGGGCTGTTGGTATAACGATAGGTCAGTGTTGGCAGCTGTCAGCTTTATTGCTCATCTGAAAAGCACCGTGGATTTTCGGGGGGATTATGACAGGACCTACAATATCACTCTATATCAGTATCTGGCAAAGCTCATTTGTGTATATTATTTGCCAGTGCTTGCCAGTGCTTGCCAGCTTCACTTCTATTGTGACTCATAAATATCTTAGCCAACACTTTCACCCCAACAAACATGGTTTAGGCACCTTATGCAACCACATCCTAAACTCTTCATAAGCCTTTTGCAAATGCTGACTTCTTTACCTAAACTCTTCATAAGACTTTTCCAACCGTTTGACTTCTTGCCCTAAACTCTTCCCTCCTTTGGGTAGCGTAGGCTGTAAGCTACTTCATATCATCAGCGCTGGAACAGGGCTTTGTTTGTTTCTAACCAGTGTTCACACAGATCATCTCGTCCTAATACCCCGATGACCATCAAAAGTATCAGTTTGCGATGTCATGGCAGAGTTATAAGCAGCAACAAACTTCCCTACAAACACAAAGGTACGCAAGGAGGAAACATTCTTAGTATATAATCCAAGGCTTCCGCCTCCATCTGACTTCACCTTAGCAACTTTCGGAGCATATTATATACATACATATACTATTCATCCTGCTTGTCAATGTTCTCTGACAAGTCGTATACCTATTCATGATCGCACGTAGCTCAGGCTCTGGCAATGTCACAAGAAGACACTGATACTTTGACAGCCAACCGTATCAAACACCAGGACGAGTTCGCATCCTCACTAGTTGACATCACTGTCAGACTCCAGTGGTCATTGTAGGCCCGCCAACCACCCGCCCAACATGGAGAACAATGGCCATGGAAACGAGAGTTCGGCAATATCCAACGTGTAACCGACGCGGAATCTGTTGTTACCCAGACCCAGGGTCATTCTATCGCCTCCAATATCGCCATGGCAACGGCTCGCTATCTCGATGCCTTCAGATCTCGCCAATTTGAAGATAACCATCCTATGCATATCTTCACATCTCTCTGAGTTTGCCCGTGGCATCGCAAAAGCCGATAAGCGAACTTGGCCAGGTGTCATCGTAGCCTGGAACGAGAAGAAGAAAGACCCCGATGCCTTCGCTGTGAACCGCGTTAAGCATCAAGCTGGGTTCCACAGACTGATGGAGTATGCAGTGTCACAAGTTGACATTGTGGTCGGGACCCCAGTTGCTCTGGTTGAGTTTGCTCAGCATACCGAATTCGTCCCACAACTGATCGTCGTGGATGAAGCTGCTCGCCGGACTGAGAATCTATCGCTTGCCCTCCAGGCTCAATGGCAGTCTGCGTTCTCTGTCTACATCAGCGATACTCAGCAGTTCCCGCCTATCGGACTCACTGTTGAGCAGCGTGACTTCAAGGCTGTCTTCTCCTACCAGAGGCAGATCAGCCTTTTCCATCGTATGGAAAATGGCGGCAGAATTCTAGCGCGCACGCGTCAACGCCGTCTCGTAGGCTCAAACCATGTTCTATGGTGAGAACATGACTGTGGTTCACTGAACACATTGTGAAGCCAGCAGGAAGTTCCACGATTGGGTGAAGAAGAAGTTCACACGCTGGGGCTGCCTCTCAGCGACATTGTTGATTCGACCCGACAATTCTGAAGAGACCAAGAGTGGCAACAGTTTCTCGAACCCCGCCAACGCCAACTTCGCGGTGCAGCTCATTGTCCAACTCTATCAAGCTGCAGGGACCGTCGAAGCTTGTGACTTCTCCAGGCGCGCGTCAATTCTCATCCTGACTCCATACAAAGCTCAGAGACGAATGTATGATCTCTTGCTGCTGGAGTTGACTGAGGCCGAAGTCCCCAAGACTCTGGTTGAAGTCCGAACTATCGACGACTCACCTAGCCACGAAGCAAACATCATCATCCTCGACTGGGTATGCACTGTTAAAGAAGGGGTTTATCACTGATTCCCACCGTATGGCGGTCGCTCTTTCTCGTGCTCGTCTTGGTACCATCGTGATTGGTCCTGGCAAGAAAACCCTCGTCACTTGGCTGCTGAACCACCTCGTTGGTTACCTCGAGGAACGCAGGGCAGTCATTGATCTCAAGGACCACTGCCGCTGGTACCTAATGTGCCAGAACTGCTGTCAACCTGGTCACCTTGCCACCGACTGCAGATTTCAGCCCAAGTGTGTTCGGTGCGATGGAGCATCCCATGCGACTCGCAACTGCCCCCGCGCAGAGTAGACATCTGCTTCTGAACCAGTCACTGCTGACGATGGCATCCAGCGAGATGTTCTAAGGCCTCCACGTGTTGACTTCTCTGGCTCCAAGCGGGTCAAGCAGAACAGTGCCCAATCGTGAGGATGTTTTTGCGAAGCCTGACAAACACAAGAACGCCATGCGCAAGCACTTCTGCGATGCTATGCGAGGGCTTCGCGAGGTTAAGAAGGATCAAGATGTCAAAGAGGTTATTGAGAGTGATGATCAGGATCAGGCCGGCGATGATGGTAATGCTGATGAGGGCAACTGGTGGGGGGGCAGATGGTTGAATAGAATGGTAGAATATGGTGTACCCAATGTATTAAGAATGGAGATTATCCTAATTAAAACAAACTTCATCATAAGCTCTTCTAAACGCTATAAACTTATGATGGTCTTAGGGTAGTCTTAGGATAACATTAGGATCACTTTAGGACAGTTTTATCATAAATCTTTTATCATGTTTTTACTCCACCCTGAACTGAAAGATCGATGGTAAAAGGGGTTAGGCACTGCAGAAATGCGCAATGAGCCGCATCATCAACGACCTTTTTCTGGGCGGCAATCCAGGCAGCTCTGGGCTTGTTGGAGCTCTGGTCAAATGAGTTACCAGCGGTATCCTTGGCAGATACAAAGCCTTCTGCTTTTTTGTACTCGCCAAGCTCGGGCTCTTCGTACTCTGTAAGGGGAGCAGGCGCTTCTTCATCCACATCAAGTGCTGCTGGGACACTGACCATGCCTTGGATGTGAGTAAGGCTCTGCAGAACTTGCTGGGCCAAATCAAGTTCCGTAGAAGGTGAGGTTGCAGCGGCCAGCTTCACGCCAGAGTAGTGGTTGAAGTCAGTGCCGGACAACTCTACAGCGTGGTCGTTGTGGATCCAAATGGTGGTGCAATCATCGGTGGGAAAGATCACCTGCAATTGGTCTCCCTCGACGATGACATTCAGTCGGAGCACGATACCACGTTGGTCACCCCAAAGTTGGAGCACTGCAGCGATCTGGTCGGCTGTCAAGTTCGACTGGCCGATGTCAAAGAGCGGTGCCATTCTCTCAGTCATTTCTGGACCATTGAGAAGATCGCGCAGGTCGTCGATTGACGGTGCATGATCGGGCAGCTGGTGGGACATGCTCTTGGCGATTGCATACATTCCGCACTAAAGGTTGGCACCACTTGGAATGGGCACGACTTCATATTGAGGGATCTCTGGGAGATTAGACTTGTCGTCAGCGGGTGCTTCAGAAGTTTCCCATTGCTCGGCATTAGGGTCAGAGATATCGATATTCTCAACAGTACCAAAAAGGATGGCTTTCACAATATTGTGCACAGTGGTAGTCTTTCCGGAACCGGGACCGCCAGTGCAGAACGCATAGCCAGCAGGGACATCTTGAAGAGTTTCGACGAGACGTGCAACTTCACCATCGAATTCGCATTCCTTGTATGCACGGGCAAGGCCGGGGAAATTCTCGTGGAATTTTACCTTGGCGGGCTCCTTCTGGAAGTTGTGGCTATAGTTCCAGAAAGGAGCTGCCAGAGTCAAGTTTCGGGACTCAGCGCGCGAGTTCATCAACGTGACGGTGTCGCATTCAATCATGCCGGTTGATGCATCTGGCATAGTGTACATGTTGATTCCTACACCCTTGTAGTCTGGGATGGCGATACTCCCACGGACGTACTGCTTGAGCTGCTTGTCATAATAGCCAGTACTGAATAAGCGGTTCAGGAAGTTTCGCAGGCTTCCAACAGGGCGTACGGTGTACCGACCGGTCTTCAAGTCGACATGTGGCTTGACAAGACCCGGAGGCCGGTTCGTCTGCCGAGCGGTGGCCACATAGTATAAAGCTATGTTTGACTCGGTACCAGGAGGGTTGGGGACGTGAACACCACGGTGCTCAGGGCTCCTGTCTGTAGCGCCAACTGTCATCGTGGTCCTCGCATTCTTGGAGACCCAAGTGTTGATTCGGTTAAACCATATGGTCTTCCTCATCATCACGACGACGAAGCTCGCGAACACCAGCCTTGGCAGTAGCAGCCCGTTAAACAGAGGGTGGCTTGCCTGCAAACTCAGCAGAAGCGGCAGCAGCGGCAACCGAGGGAGTTGCAGTGAGACGGTAGTTGGGTTGCGCAGCATGAGTGATGAATGAGCGGACGCATTGCTGATCGATAGATGCTTCGAGGTCGGCAACCCTGTCGTCATCTTTTTTCTTGCGAGCGCCTTTGATCTCAATCTCAATTGAAGTGCGACGATTGGACGATGGTTCTCGTTACAATACTGTTAGCTCACCTTCGAGCTTCTCCATGCGACGGAATCGATCAGAGCAGCATGTTTTCCGCTGGTGATAACTTTTCGTATCATATGCTGTCGACAAATAGCCTGCTGGGGACTCCCGTCCCTGTCATCATCCGCATAGCATGACATGCATTGCATACATGATCTGCTCTCGAAGGAATCAAACTCAAGTGTACAGAAATTGAGATCCGATGTTGCAAGATGCTAAATCAGAATTCGGCGAGTCAGCTCGTATTTGGGGCGGTTTGCATGCGCAAATATATTCTGAAGATTTCTGGAGAAGACAACATCAAATTTACACTCTCTCCGCTTGAATTTATCCAGACACTGCTCCAAATCATATAAAGCGTGCAAGAGCTGAGAGCCACCTATCGTGGTAGATCAGATAGTGCTCTTGAAGCGTTCCGAGGAAAACCTACCATCGAAATCAATTCTCGCCTCAACGAGGCAGTACCGTATCAACGACTATCCATGGATCACAAAAGGCTCCTGGCCAGCAAGTCCCCCACTGCCGATTGCAAGGGGTGTCTGCTCCTGGTACCAGTTTCGGAGGATCTGTATGTCGTCCTCAAGATCCGTGGCAATAAGGACGTTGAATGTTTTGTTTTGAGAAGCCAGCCCACAAAGAAAAGAAGAGATATGAACAAGTGAGAAAATATTGGAGTCCAAAATGATAAGAAGAAGGGGGGAAAGAAGCGGCTTTGTAAAGTCGGGAGGTATTTGCTTGCCAGTGATTGCCAGCTGGCGATTCACCCAAGTGCCACAGGCCGCAAGCACTGACAGGAATTAGACGGAAGGGGGCTAACCAAGAAACAAAAACATGGCAAACATGTTATTCGAACACTACCTTACCTGGGTTACCTACCTAGTTCCTAGGGAGAAAAGCACAGCCTGAGTGGATTGTATTGAAACATATCGGGAGCCAGTGACCTCAGGTTGGCGGGATAGGACACTTGAAAGACGGTCGGTCTCTTGAGAGATATTTGCAGCTACATATGCCGGTGGCAAACAAATACTGTACTCATAACACATGCAAGAAACCGAATGTGATCAAACTAAGTCAAATATCTAGGCGCGGTTTGCACCAGAGTGAATAAGTCGTATGGCGGGGATATAGCGATTCCGTGAATATCGACCTCACACATCTAACATTCAATCCCTACGGCCGCTCTTCCAAGAGCAAGCCTAAGCCTCGTACTAAGTTCACATCCCAATACTCCCATTTTAATCCGCCGTAACGCCACGCGCAATGCAAACTGAGCCCAACAACCTCGGGATATAATATCGCACGCTTCGTGCCTGTCCATTAGAGGGTCCCGACCATTAGGCTCTCAAGCATACCCCCGGTTTGGCATGCTACTTGGGCTCTCTCCACCTCGACCCTAACTCGGCGGTGTAAAGTCCTGAAGCCCTCATGGAGCTCTGCCGAGCCACCCACGAACTCTGCGTAGAGCTCGAGAAGGTGAAGACCAACTTCCACGCAGACACTAACATATCGGGGGTCGCAGATGTGACTGCAAACCCATTTCAAGATGGGCTGGACTGTGTGCTCGTCTCGAGACTCCAAGGCATCCTGGAGAGCGCTCCGATGGCGGAGGGCCAGGAGTAGGGTAAGCACGTTGAGGGGGGAATGCTCAGGTGAGTCTTTGTCGAGGACCTGATCGAGTGCACGCGCATATCGAGCATGTCGTAGGTCGCTCTGCCACGGGCGCTCTTTTTTCTTGTATGTGCGAGACTCGTTTGCGATGACAACATCGGCCCCCTCGCCAACCATATCTAGCTTCTTTGCAGCAGTAACTCTCCTCTTCCGCTTCTTACGTTTGGCGTCATGGGCTTCAATGGTTCCAGCAACCAGAGCAGCCATTTCCTTCTCCCGTTCAGCTTCTCTGTTGGCCTCAGCTCCAGTGAGGCGGGTTCGCACACTGAGAACACCAGACTGCATACCAACTGCTAGATGTCGGTCGCTTGAATCGGCATCATCACTAGAAGGGATGACCTTGACAGACAGAACGGGAGATTGGTACTTGGTGCTCGAGACAACATTCCATCCAGTCGTTTCGAAGACTTTGACATGACCCTCGAGGCCACCACTAACAAGTCGTCGACCATTGGTCGCGAGGCTGAGAGAAGTGACTGTCTTCTGGTGGTTGGTGATCATGTGCAGAGGGCGCGCGGCAACAAGGTCGAGAACGCTGATCGATTCACCCGCAGCTGCAAGAACTGCGGTTCCGGTGGGCATAGACAGCACGTCTTCAATAGGCGCGGCATGCTTGAAAGTCATGACCGCGCTGTTGCTTCCTGCCCTGGGGTCCCAAAGCTTGACGGTCGAGTCGTAGCTTCCAGAGACAATCATGTTGGACATAGTGCCAGGCATGAAGTTGGCGCATCGAACGTAGTCTGAGTGACCAACAAATGTAGTCGTCGGGTCGTTGCTTGGGAGATCCCAAAGTCGCACAGTTCTATCGTCGCTTGCGCTCAACAAGGTCGTCAGCTCAGTCGGTGAGAACTTGGTTGTCCAGACTGGCTGCTTATGCTGCGTCCATGTCTTGAGGATCGCCCTAGAATTGACATCGAAGACCTGAATCTTTCCCGTATCATCACCAGCCGCCAGTACCCTTCCATCTTTCCTAATCTCACCGCTACGTGCAACGTCGCCGAAGCGTGTAATAGTCTTTTGAAGCTTGCGCGTTCGATTCGAGTAGATCTGGATGCGTGTGCCTGTGGTGACTGCGAAAGAATCGTTATTGGCCGAGATGTGAACGACAGGATACGACGTTGGTGACGGAATCAGAAGCTGGTTCTTGAAGGTCTTCCAGTATCGTTGTTCCGCAGTGATTGGCGTAGGGCCCGAAGGCAGCTTAAGCTGTGGTAGAGGTCCCACCTGAGCAGCCATTGTCGAGTATCGCGATGACGGGCTTTCACAGTGGTGGTGTTTAGAATTCAACTGCCTTGAAAGTCGCCATGATTTTTTTTCAGAACCTGATAAGATAAAGAATTCTGATGGCTAAGGTAGGTAAGGACTTTTGGGGGAGCGCTAACCCTTTTTAGGTTAATATCGTTTAGCATGAGCTCCACTGTAGACCTCCATACAATTCTCTTGCGATTGTCTCCTTGAAAAATAAAACCTTGAGCACATCCAATGGAGATACGATGTCACCTAGGAGGTAACATAAGTAACTAAGGTATTATAGGTACCTTGGGTACTCTTAGGTATTTGTATGAAGCTTCTGCAAGAGATCCATCATTAGATCCTTTGTCATTTCACGTAGTCTAGTCCTTGTGCTTGGTGGCTGCGAGGGTGACGTTTGGAATGAAACAAATCTAAATGGTACATATATATATATATGAATTGGTTTCTAATTTTGAACAATTTTCTTGATATCAATGCATAAAACTCCAGCATTACCTTACGCATCCTCCCAAGTGTTGCCTTATTCCAACGCCGAAATCATTACTACCGTGGATATAATATTATACATTCCCTCTAGGTCTCGTTACCTTCGTTGATTTAGTATCCTCCCCTGCGTCGGGACCTGCCTGTCCCAATATCAATTCGCTGCATCTCCTGCACTAATGCTAACTCCTGCCCTGTGCCGTTGGCACCGCTCATCATGGGCAGAGGAATCTTGGCTGGAATGGGAGGGCCACCATATGCACCCCGATTCTCGTCTTCAAAGTCCCATGTTCCTGCACGGGGTAGGCCGCGAAGCGAAGCATTTCCGTATGGAGCCCTCTCCTGGTAATTATCCTTAGAAATCGGAGCCAGTGGACTAGAGGCTGCTGGGGAGTTGCCAGCCGAAGTGCGGTTAGTGCGCTTCTGAAGACGGGTGCGACCGGCCTGTGGGGGTGTGCGTGGTTCATCGGAGAATGAATAAGATGGGTTGACGGCAGACATCGAATGACGCCCACTACGAGGTGGCCTTCGAGTGCTTGGAGGCATTGGTTGTGCCCCTGATAGCGGAGGGCGCGAGCGTGTTTCGCTGGGGGTAGACTCCGGTTGCTTCTTCTCCGGTTCAGGGGCCCATGTCTCCATAGGAAGATGGTCAGAAGGATCAATCTCCCGTCCGTCGTATGTGATGATTTTCTTTGGCTCCTCGTCCAAGAAATCCGGTGATGGGCTTGCTCCGTCTTTGGACGAAACAAGGCTGGGGTTCAATGCATCATACGAGTCTGGTCCGAAAGGGATATCCGACTTTCTCCTCTGATCTTCGAGCGGTGGCGCAGGACTGACCGATTTACGCTTGATCCTGTGCTGTGTGTTGGGGCTTGTGCGTGGGTCGGGCGATATGGCTCGAGGTTTTACAATTTGTTGCTCCGGCGGGTTGTAAGTGATAGCCCGCCGGTTGTAAGGCTGAACAGCATAAGCATGCTCGGGTGGCGGCTGGTTGTATTCTTGGAACGACTCGTTCCTAGGGCGTCCTCGAGGAGGCGTGTGCATGCTGGACATGCTCTGAGAATGCTGTCTTCGGTCATGCCGGCGGTCCTCATATATAAGATCCGTCAATTCCTGAGACTGGTTTGCATCCAAACCCGGTACGAGAGCTGCTGGGAGAGGCGGCGGCGCATAGTTGTGTGGGCTTTGCCTATGCGCGACAGTCATGTCAGTCGAGTGGCCTTGGTAATGACCTTGGCCACTCTGAGGATAATAAGAATTATCCCCGGTGTTTCTTGGATAGCCTCGACCATGAGATGGTGACACCGTCACCTGCCAGTCCTCAGGGTTGTGGTAATCTTGGGGGGCGTGCGATGGCGAGTAATCGTCCCGGAATGGGGCCGGAGCAGGAACGGGAGATCGCCGCAGGACGAGAGGTGCAGGGCTGGGGTTGTCATCGAAGCAAAGCTCATCAGAACGCTGGAACTGTAAGCCATTTTGGGCAAAGTTCTGACCAGGGGGGCCTGAGGCTTCAGGGACATCCTCAACTGTGGGCTGCATAGATCTGTAATGGGGATCATAACTGGCGTCATAAGAGCTATGTCTCGGTAAGCTATCATAGCTGTTTGTGTTTGGTGGGGTGGATTGATTGGCGGCCGGGGCTGAATCATACGCCCGAAATGCCGGGCGTCCAGGATAAGCCACCATTGACTGTCTCTGAGCTTCATGTCTCAAAACGTCATGTCTCATCTGTGGCATCTTGTTTGGTGACGTATCGAAGCTTCCTCTCGGCACAAGTTCCTGGCCTGTGCTGTTGTGTCTACTCCTGTGCGCGGGTGGTGGTGGAGGACGTTCATTTTCTACTGGCGAGTACTGCCTGGGATCGTCCAATAATGGCGGAGGCTGCTGATAGGGATCCTGTTGAGGAGAGTAATGGCCTCGAGGATCCATTTGATCTGGTTGAGGAGAGTATTGAACTCGAGGGTCCATCAGCTCTTGTTGTGGTGTGTATCTTGAACTATACTCCCGCTCATCGTACTGCTGGTGGGCTCCCTCATAAGGAACCATCGACCTCCGCGACTGGCGGGGTGCCTCACGGTTTGGTGTTATATACTCCTGTGGGACAGGCCCATGTGGAGATGGGAAATATTGCTCCGTGTGACGGCGTGATGAGTGTGACGGCGGTGTGTTGTACTCGACAGCTTGCAAAGGGGACTGTGTTGGGACAAAGCTTCCTGAGTGCGAGGCTTGTTTGCCGTGAGTTCGCACAGGCGTGCGGTGATCCGGACCGGTAGGTGTTGCTGTAGGCGCCGCTAAGGGAGCTGGTTGGGGTGCTGTTGTTGGAGCTGGAACAGGGGCTGGAGGAGTCACAGCTGGAGCCTCGCCAGTAACAGGATCAGACGGCAAAGGACGTCTCTTAACGGGCGTTCTTTGTTTGACAGAACCCTGATCAGGTTCAGCGGGTGCAATTTGCTTTTGTTTCGGTGCGGGCTTGTCTGGCTTTGGTCGAGTATCGTAGAAAGTGATTTCAACTCGAATCTCTCCAGCATATTTGCCTTTGCAAGTTAATGTTTGCCAAAAGTCATTTTGGCCGCCCCCAGGCACAATGATTCCTCTGAGGTCTATCCAGGACTCTCCAATCAGGTCTGTCCGCTTATCGTCTGTGAAGATGGATAGCTTGAGTTGGTAGTAATCCGGGCAGTCATGGACTGTGAAACGAAGTTCTTGATCCCTATTGCACCGATTAGTCTCAACTTGCCTTCGATAAGCTCCCCGTTTGCTGCTAGATCTTACCATTTTGGTGTTTGTCCACCTCTGACATCTGTCGTTGTCTTCCTGGCTTCCTTTCCTAATCTGGCTGCGCAGTAAGGGTCCTGCTTCCCGATCGTCTTGCGGTTCGGCAAGTTCTTGGCCCGATCGACGATAGCGACCAGGGTTCCAATCTCTGGGCCGTCCACCGCAATGTCGGCAAAGATGCCCGCAGTGTGCGCTGCGCTCATAAGATTCTTGACCTTGGCTGCCATTACAGCTATACGCACCAGCGCCCGAGTAAGAAAGCAGTGGGAGGGTTAAAGAATGAGGTGGTTGCTAAATCCAGGCCAGGTTTGTTTACATGAGCAATTGCTGCTATTGACCAAAGATAGCTCGATTTGGGTAACTCGAAAGTTGAGTTGGTGTCAGGAACGACTAATGGACTAGCGCAAAGCAAAGGCGACGCCTGGTAGAGAAATCGAATCGAACAAAGATGATGGAAAGACCAGCAAATGAAGAGTTGAGAAGACGAAGGGTAAGGTTTGAAACGGACCAGAAGGCGTTGACTGACAGTACCAGGCGAGGCTGGAAGGAATTCGAGTATGAGGTGGAATTAAACTTTCGAATAGTGAACTTTCCGCTCCGGAGTTTGGGTTGGGTATGAAATTAATCGAGTCAAGACTGGAAAACAAAACAGGCCGAGTAATGCAGCTAGAGTGATGACGGAATGATAGACAGAGAGCTGCTCGCGACTAGAAACCGCACCAAACCGAATTGCTCTTGAGAGTCTGAGCAATCCAGAATAGTGTAGAGGAGCTGTGAGGTTAGTAAACCTTTGTGGTTCAAGAGAGTGTGTGTGAGAGCAAGAGAAGGAAGAAGTCTTCTCTCTCTGTGACAAATGAACAGGAACGCGATGAAGCAGGATATCAAGACGTTGTATACGTCTGGCTTGCGTGTGGTTGGGGGCCGAAAGCGGTAGTCCAGTGGGGCTCTGTGGAACAATTCGAGTGGAGCCTCTGACGGGAGGCTGGGCTTGGGCTGGAAACGGGGAGGCTGGTGCAACTGCTGCAGGGGATGAATCTACCCCTAGAGCCGCTTATTCGCCAAACACCTCTGGGGGATTTACAGGGAATCTATGCCCAGATTAACAGGGGAGTTCTAAAGTTTTGGCGCGTCCAGGGGATTGGGTCCTTGGCAGTTGTTGATAGTGAGAATTGGATGGCGGATGGCAAGCAGAGACGGTGAGGTCGCGTCATGATAGGGCAGAGTCTACCTTACAGGTATCAATGCAATGCAATGCGGTCCAAGTCGATGCCGATGTCGATGTCTCTTCCGACCTCCCGCTCCCATCCGATTCAGGGGATCATGGATCATTCAGGGACGGAATGACTGAGGTGAAGTGGCTCCGGTCCCTTCGACAATTCAGGAACAGGCACGAAGACGGGCAGACCCAATGGTTTCAACTGAATACGTTACCTAGCTCGCCTCGTCCTAAGAGAGACCATTCGAGCTGAACTCATGATCCTCCAATGGCTGCACTGCCTTTTACTCATTCACCACACCACATTCGGGAATATGTAGAAAATGGAAATGGTACGCGCGTGTTTGGCGAAGTCATGGTCACAGCCACACAGTTATTGCGTACATCCAATCCTCCAGATACATACTCCCTCGGACTCGCGATTGCCAAGCCGTAGGCTGACGTTGACGTTCCACTCGCTCGATTCATTCCATACTGTTACATAGTAACTTGAATTAACAGTGATGATGGATCTCCTGATATCCCTTGGTTAGTGCTCAGACCATGATCGGTACGGCCTTGGTTATTTGGTTTTTCCTACCAAGTTCGGTTACGCAAAGCGAGTAATCCCGCTCAAGCAAACAGGAACTAACCTCAGGACCTTATGAAAGCATGATCGTGCGCTCCAGAGGCCCATCTAGACTGCGGGCCCAAGGACAAACCGCTGAGGCGCCCTTAAACCCAAAAGCAGAACCGGGATAATGGGCTGGACGTTGAAAGACCCCTGCTCCTCACGAGCATGTCACTCTTCATTAGTTGGCCCTTGATGTTGGAATAACCGTCCTCAACCTCTTCGAGTCCAATTGGAACAACGTCCCTGACGAGATCGGCTCTACCGATTGACCCACTGACTGGTGCCACTAGACTCTGCATCATCCTGTTCCTTGGCTGGCTGAATTTGCTAGAAACAACTTATTTCAGCCTTTCATCATCATGATACCGGATCGGGTTTGATGTCACAGAATGTTTGCGGCGTTAAAGGTACCCTGTTGCCATGGGAGACAACGACATAGTGTCACACCCCTCAACTGTCTCGAGTATGAATTCCTGAACTACTAAATCCATCACTCCAATTACGCCGACAGCAGTATGCCCATGTTTCACGCAAAAGGCCTATCATACCGTAGCGCTCTAAGCCTTCGTGTTCCACCACTATCCTCATTTCTGATATAAGTGGGTAAGAAACAGAATTGAGACAACGACGGATGTGCAGTTTTGTTAGAGATAATGACGGTTCGAACGCTACCTCTGCGGCGCAAATCAACACGAACTCAATTTCAAAAAGGGAGAAGGAGCGTCTACGGATATTCCGGGGAAATTTGGCGTTGGTGGTTCTACCCTGTTGCTTTTGTATAATATCGCTACCAGTCACAGCTCTTGGCAAGGAGAGCTGCCAGTTGCTCGAGATGGGCCTTGTCAACCTCGTCGAAACCGTTCAGCTCAGCACAGTCGATGTCGATGATAGCCACCAGCTTCTTCGAACCGTCGTCCTGAACAACCACAATAGGCACGACGATCTCGCTCTTGCTGTCTCCATCACAAGCAATATGTCCCGGAAACTCCTCCACGTCTCGGACTAGCTGTGTCTCTTGGGTCGCTGCTGCTGCTCCGCAAACGCCTTTACCGAACTTGATAGTCTGGCAGGCAACCTTTCCCTGGAAGGGGCCCAGAATGAGCTGCGGATCTTGGGATGATTTGTCAAGGACGTAAAAGCCTGTAGTTGAACACAACATGTCGTCGTTACTGCTTGTGTTCTGGGACTCGGGGTTTGTGACATACCAGCCCAGTTCACATCTTTGCTCGGTGATTCCAGAGATTTATATGCGTGCCACAATAGGGAAGCAGCATTTGAAAGGTTGCTGTTGAACTGTTAGCGATGGCCTGAACCAGCGAGCTCTTAATCTCCATACCAGACCTGTTACAAGAATGAGTTAGAAGGTAAGTCCAATAGTTCCGGCAACCGAGATTGTTTGACGAACCCAGTTACGCTGGTCAGTGATCAGGCCCTCAGCCTGCCAGAGCACTTGCTCATAGGCGTCCTCCTTTGTTATGCCGTCGGCAAAGTTTGATGCATCAGCGTGAACCTGCAAGAGCAAAGTCAATTTATGATGAGACCTTGCTTGACTAAAAAAAACTTAGGTGTGAACAAACCATCTTGCCCGTTGGAATTTTCGAATAACTTCCTTCCCGCGGGATACTACGGATCAATACAGCTTTCGGAGATTCGATAGCATAGACGAATATGTTCTAGAAGAAATTTCGAAGTTGATAATCAGAAACTTGGTGGAGTTGACGGGACTCGATCACCAGGATGAATTTGATACTCCCCGCTAAAATTTGCGTGTCATTTTAGCGGCTTTGATGCCAGCAATTCAACCAACAAAATCACAGTTCGATAATAAGCCTCAAATGTCACCTATTGCCATGCAAATACGTTCTGTAGCTATATACTTAGATATAAACTTAATGGCTAAGACCCACGATGGGGTTATATGTCGTATCTGGAGCCGACCGCCAACTGAAAGACATCAAACAACCTCATCATGATGTTCCGTTAGATCTGGTTGGCGAAAATTAGGGCCTGACAGACCCAGTAGTCAGGTAATAAGAGGTTGGTTGAAGGGTGAAGCTGAAGTTGCAATAATTAGGCATTACGGTGGCTGGTTCAAACTCCCCGATAATCGATCCATTATCTTGTAGGCTCTGATGGCACTCTTCAGCTTTCCTAGGGCTGGACTCAAGCCATGCTTGCTAGGGAAATCGGATGATTTCTCTTATTCTGGGGAAAATTGCTACATCTTCAATACTGTGAGACATCTTCTTCAGGGTAGTCCGGTTGTTGAGCCGGGGAAGATGACCCAAAAGCAAAGCCGTTAGTGTAAAACGTGTAACGAAAGAGTTAAGAAAGCATATTGATAATTGCTTGTCGTGCGTTGAGATTTATGTTTCGTTGAGGATACATATTTAGGTTGTCTATGAATTGAAATCCACACAAGCTGCACTCATGGGACAAAGGGACACAATTATGAAGACAAACAAATAGGGGATAGCAGAGCGAAATGAAGTCGCTACAATACCATGACAAATTTACTAGGTATTCCCGACCTTAGGCTAGCCAATGACAAGCTGCAAGCGGATTGTCTTTTATGATGATGGTTCCTGAAAATCGATCGGACCTAAAAGGGAAGGAAAGCCAAATTCGCCGACGTCAACTAACAGCCTGGCCAATGACGCAGTGCATTTTGGAATTTCCGACTCTTGGCCGCCAGGGCCCATCCCCAGCATAGACTTGTCTCAACCATAAACTCCTTGACCATGAGCTCTCGAGCAGCATGGCGACTCTGTGGGCGCAGTCAGAATACACGCCGTTGGCCACTCTTGGCGACCACCCCCTTTGCACAATCGCCAGCTGTGCTACGAATACCATCACGTCCCATCCACAATGACGGTCCAAAGTGCTTGAATCCACTGGTCAACCCCCCCGATGTCACGCGACCACCACCGCTGACGCTGCCTCGACGCCGAGACTTTGAATCGTCGATAAAATACTACTTCGAGCTAGGAAAGGGATACCTAAAATTCTACAAAGGGGGCATAAAAAACGTCTGGACGAGCCGACGTCTCCTTCGCGAGAAGCTTCAGCGAACTCCAGTCGATGACCGACCCTCGATATTTAGACCGCACTACGTCCCAAAGACGTTTTCCAGAGCAGATTGGGTTCTTCTCTGGAGAGTACGACATGATATGATCAGACTTCCCCTGTTCGGGCTTATGTTGATTGTCATTGGGGAATTCACTGTCCTGGTTGTTGCCTACGTCGACAGTGTAGTGCCGTACCCTTGCAGGATACCGACGCAGATCTTCACGGCGCTTGAAAAGGCTGAGCAACGTCGCAAGGCTGCTTTCGATGAGTTGGAAGCGAGACATCCTCATGGTGTCCTTAGCCCGCGCGTCACCCAGGCAGTCGCTCGGTCTCACGTCCTCAAGAGCTTGCATCTGAGCGGTGCAATCTGGGATCACTTAGGCTTCCTACCACCAGGCATGTGGCAGGCCAAGGGACGATATCGTATGGCGTATCTGGAGGGTGATGACAGAAATATCGTTGAGGATGGTGGACCCATGGGACTGCACTACGAGGAACTTAGAATTGCATGCGCAGAACGAGGCATTGACACACTTGGGAAAAGCGAGACTGAGTTGAGGGGGTGGCTCGGCGACTGGCTGCGTTTGACAGCCTCTGACGATATCGACGAAAGGAGACGACGTATGGCAGTGTTGTTCCTGACCAGGTATGTGCATCGAGTATGCGTCCGTCTTTACTAAACACGACTAACACGGAACCAGACCAGAGAATTGGCCTCAGCATAGAGATTTTGGCGTGCCTGAATGGCAACTATAAGATGTAATGTAGCATATGAAGTTAGGAACAATACAGAAGACAAAAGTGAGCAGTCAATTGGTGTTCTCGCGTGTAAATATAAACCACTCAATCACAGACTTTTGAGTGACTTATCCCAGCTGTTTGGAACGACTTAGTTTAAAACCGCTGACAGTATCTTGGCTGGTGGGTAGCCAAGTCGACAATACGCCCATAGCATACAGGGAAAAGGGCCATATAGATCTGTTGACATGGATCTCAAGTATCATTCTGAAAAGCATGTCATAATAAGCTGACCTTGGATTCCGTCCATGTCAGCTTCATAACCCACGCACGTATTTGAGCCACAGATGGAGTCTAGGTTCCGAGTTGATCGGTTGTAGTTAATAGATGACTTGGATTGAATTGGCAAAAAGCACGTGGTCACCTTCTGCCGATGACTGACTCGGCCATTGAGTGTTTGGGAGCTACCCCCGCGTGTAGTCTAAACCGATTGTGAAGCAGTTTGTGGGGGAGAAAACATGTGGATGATCTCATGGCAGATCCGCCGAGGTTCACATCACATGCAATATCACTTAACGTTGCAGCGCACCCCCAGATTCTTTGGAACTTCAATCCATCCACGACTATCTGTCGCGTTTAAAAACCTCGGTCGATTCCCCCACGTTTTCCTCGCTTTCCTTCTTACCTGGCTACTATTTTTTTTTCCCCCTTTCTTTTTCATACGGTAATCTCCTGTAAATCTATCCAAACCTTTATTCGCAGCCATGTCTCTCAAGAACGGTACGTCAGGACAAGCCACACCATCAAGATCAGCGTTCCGGGAACACAAGCTGCTCGTTCTTCCCCAGTTCCTCGCCTTGAAGACCATGGGAAACTGACTGCCCGCCACAGACAAGTTCCCCGCCTCAGCCGCCTTCGACGCCATCCAAGCGGCTATCAACGCCAGTGATGCCGATCGCAAGGATGCCATCAAGCAGGGCAACGGCGTCTACGCCTTCACCCTCAAGAACGCGAGCGGTGAAGAGGCCAGCTGGCATATCGACCTCAAGGAAACCGGCAAGGTCGGAACTGGCACCGGTGCAAAGCCTGATGGTACGTCGCGACTCTGACGCGCTCCGGCGCACTCGGAACATACATGACTGACGAAGATGCCTCCAGTCACACTCATCCTCTCCGAGGAGAACTTTGGCAAGCTCGTCGCTGGCAAGGCCAACGCTCAGCGTCTCTTCATGGGCGGCAAGCTCAAGATTAAGGGCAACGTTATGAAGGCGACCAAGCTTGACCCTGTGCTTAAGAAGGCTCAGGACAAGGCCAAGTTGTAGTTGAAGCGTGCTTTTCTGACGTCTGGATAGCATTTTTACTGCTTTTTGTATGATATCAACTTGCTTGTCACTAATCGCTCCGTACTGCCTGGATGCGAGTGTATAGAGGAGTATTTGCGTCAATGTCAATTTATCATTTTATACAGTGAGACAAGCCATATGTACTCAATTGTCTAGATGGCTCAGCGGTAAAGATCTCTTTCTAAGTCCTTTACTCAACGAAACTGGCCGCTCTTTGAAGCTCACGCCGAGCCTGTTCGTGTACTTCGCGAACAATCTCTCCTGTAGGCTGGACCTTATTGATTAGCCCAACACCAGTTCCCCTACTCATGTTAGTCTAAACACAATTTGCAAGGCACAGACTACTCACGCCCAAGTATTAACGAGATAGCGAGCCTCCTCCTCTGAGTAATCCTCTTTGAGGCTCCGTTGGCATTCTTCCAGACTTGCTCCCGCGAGGAACTTCTCATGGACAGGGCCAACAATGGCACGTCCGTCGTAGAGGGGCCCCCAAAGAGGACTGTTGACTATCCTGTCATTGAACGTGGACCTGAATCATGTAAATCATCGGCTCATTCTCTGGGGCAGAGCGTAACCATACTTGAAAGTTGACACGCCACCATCCACAGCCTCAAGGACTTTCTTCTTTCGGATCTCAGGATAGTTTGATTCGGGCGCAACAGTGAACTGCAAATTAGCCTATCAGGAAAACACGAACCGATCCAGCTTTCACTTACTTTTGTTCCCATAACAACACCCTCGGCACCTATATATTATCAGTCTGTCTATGTAAACCATGGTGTCACTGATAGTACTCACCCAGAGCCAATGCTCCAGCAACACCTCGCCCATCAGCAATACCTCCTGCGGCCACGATGCTTATTGGTCGGTCAGGAAACTCTCTATCCAGCATATCTCTAACTTCAGGTACCAAGCTCACAATGCCGGATCCTTGACGAAACTGGTGGCCTCCAGCATCTGCACCCTGAGTCACGAGCACATCCGCACCGTCTTGGACTGCCTCTCGCGCTGCAGCAACATTACCAACCTGGACAAACACAACCGGAGGATAACCCAGAGCCTTGAGGCTAGGGATAATCTTGCTATGAGGCCTAAGGTCTCCATCTGGAGCAAACAACCATATTGCCGCAGGACGATACTTGACTATAAGTGGCAGAGCCGTCTCCTCAAAGTAGCTCAAGGAGCTATGACTTGTTATGAAGCTAGCTCCGACACGGAGTGGCCCATCAGAAGGCTGATCGGCTTCGAGAAGTTCCTGGGCTTCATCGAAGTGGCCAACAAGTCTATTGATGTGCTCCGAGTTTGGCTCAATGTAGGCCAACGAGGGGAGGAATCCTGTTGTTGAATGTCAGGCCAGCTTAGAATGGTATGAATCACATATGTTGGAGTGAGAATACCAAGGCCGCCAGCTTTTGTAACCTCAGCCGCCATGAGAGGCGTAGCAATGCCGAGCATGGGCGCATTGCTGATGAGGGGACTCTTCGTCCAAGGGAAACGGTTGAGAAGCTGTGAAGAGCTCATTTTGATGATCCGATATAGCGCTGTAAACTCGAGCTTGAAGAGATTCAATGACAATTGAGTTGTATGTACATGGAGCGGTCCAGCTGCAACTCATCCTTTGCAGAGAACCGAGACGTACCCTCAGCTGACGCTGATTTGTCATACGCCGGGAGTTGATACTGTTTGATCTCTCTGCCGCTACGTACATACATAGATAGACCCAGCTGAGATTTAATCATTTCTTATAAGTAATAATATGTTCCAATTTGTGAGTACGACCATCGCATGTATTAACGCCTTGGCCAAGTAGAGTTATTTAAAACCGCTCCACAACCTCAGGTGGTTTGTTGTTAAGAATCACATCAATCTCCTTCAAAATCTCTGGAGTCAACTTTTTGACAACAGCCACAGCTCTGACGTTCTCATACACCTGCTCAGGACTGCTAGCGCCCGTTATAGCAGAGCTAACATTCTTATTGCTGAGTACCCAGGCCAAGGCGAGCTGACTCTGTTTGAAACCAAGTCTGTCCGCAATAGGCTTCAGTTGGTTGACCTGCTCAATAATAGCCGTCCAGGTATCTTTCCCTGTTTGCTTCCAGAAACCATTAACCCACTGGATCTCTTCGTTGGCGAAGCGAGAGTCACCAGGAATGCCGTCACTGTATTTTCCAGACAGGATGCCTTGGCGCATAGGTGAGAATACAGTCAGACCAAGGCCAACTTCACGATACAAGTGGGCATATTCCTGCTCGACCTTGACTCGATCCAGCATGTTATAAGCGGGTTGCTCCATAATTGGGCCTATCAGACCCAGTTTGTCTGCATATCGCCACGCCTGTGCGATCTCATCGGCATTCCACATCGAAGTTCCCCAGTAGAACGCCTGTTGGCTAAGTCAGTCCGTGTGATGCAGCATCACCAGTGAAATGGTCGGGTTTGTTACCTTTCCTTGATCTATAATGTGATTGAACGCACGAACGATCTCTTCCATGGGCGTTCGACGATCAGGCCTGTGCGCGTAAATGAGATCGACATACTCGAGATCCAACCGCTTGAGAGCACCGTTAATCCCCTCGACAATGTGCTTTCTTGAAAGTCCCTTGTTGTTGACGGGGTTGTCTCCAAACGCTCCTCCCCAGTAGAGCTATACGGAGTTTCTTAGTATCATTACCTGATCAAACATGCATCTATGGCACAAGTATGGTGGGTTACCTTGGTAGAGACTACCAGATCGTTTCGTTTCCAACCGAACTTCTTGATAGCCTCACCCATCACAATCTCGGATTCACCATTGGAGTATTCTTCGGCACAGTCGAAGAAGTTGACACCGCAGTCATAGGCGGCCTTCATGCATTCAAAGGTACGTTCTGTAGAACCAATCAGTCAATATCCCCTTGAGTCTGTCCCTTTGAATGCTGGCCTTTATCAATGTGGCCACCATATGTCAACCATCCTCCGAGAGAGATTGCAGATACCTGAAGACCTGAGCGGCCCAGGAAGCGGTACTCCATCTCGGGGATGTCTTCTGGCTTAGCCATTGCCGTGACTATGACTTGATGGTTGGGCTCTGGAGAGGGCTGATTGTGGTATATAGTGATAGTGCTGCAGTTGTCTGTGTCAGCGCAAGCTCATCTTGCGCCTTTGGCGGGATTTAGAGCTCTTTGTCATGTCATCAGTAATCAAGCTACAACCCTTTTAGGTAGACCGATACTGCCGACTGTCCTTCCTATTTCTGATAGCTGTCTCACGCGGGGTATCCTTTATTATGGTTTCTTTTTAATGATTGACTGATAACTCAATTTCATAGAGTCTGGGCCAATGCCTCGAAGCATGTGACAACAAACAACACAGGCACAGCATTTCCTCAATAACTGAGACCACTGATGGATGATCCCATCCTTTTAACACTACATATATTAGCTCCTAATAACGTTAGACATCGCTGTTGACTCACTGCAATCAATCAGTACTCACTCCGGTTACCCTGTACTACTAAAATACCTCCAATATTGATGATGGTAATAGACATCCTTTGCTATGTATTGGTAGCCGAAAACTGACCCATTGGCTTGGGCATTGGCATAGAACGGAGTTTGTTACATCCGAAATACGTGGTCTAGAACCTGATGCCAGACCAGATGTCATTACGTGAAACCCAGCTCTTACACGACAACTTAAGAGCTCCAACACTAAACTTCATGGATTGACTCGGCAATGCTACGAACCGAGTACAGTTGTGTCACACCCATGGTCATGTTTTGATTCGATGGCAATGATCAATAAGACAAACAATACAGTTTATGGCGTACGAATGCCTCAAGCACACCTAAGTGGCCACGGAAATCATGTAAATATTTTGACTGGCAAGAATGAATGAATTTACCATGTTCGAGATTGTCATTGGCCGATCTTGAGCTGGAAGTACGAACGAGTGTGTACATCTAGCTTCTAATTGGACCAATCCGAATTTATACAGGTCTTGTGAGCGCTAGGTTGGCATTTCGGAGATTTCGCAGGGAAGAGGAAACCAAATCTCCGAGTGACGAGTGACACGCCTGTTTCTCGCAGAGAGAAGAAGATAATAATTAGATCGCTGGAAACAGGGAACATCACTTATGACGAGGTTCTGTAATTTCAAAATCCAGGTTCTGCATTCTGAGCGGAATGCCAAAGCCATACTTAGGACCTAGGTTGGCATTCAAACTGTAGGTATGAGGTACTTAGAGACGTCGTGACACTGACCAGGCAACGGCTTCAAGAGGCGAACCCAGCTTCAAGCACGTAACATGATGTGGTTTATATTGCGGTCCGCAAGCTGGCAAATGGGTCATGTTATGATGCAGCATGCCATCATTGCCCGGGTACATAGCAAGAGGATTTGGTCAGTTGAAATCGTAAGTCAAGGCAACGAACAGGACATTGCCACTGCAGTTCCACGTAAAGCAGTTGTGACTAGAACATAATTCACTCGATTGAGCCGTCCAAGGGGCCGTTGAATGAGCTCGGTGTGGCGAAGATTTACGTGTGCAGCGATTGTGTGCTGGCAACTGTGGCGAGTATTGGCTCGTAAGGAACCTGCAATTACTGAAATCTTACGGATACAGCTGACAGACTACAACAGATCGATGGCGCAGCAAGGGACACACGACACAGGAGAAAAGGGAGGTGGATGTATGTTGAGATCCCAGTTGATGAGGACAGGCCGACAGGGCATAACAAGGGAAGAATTAGAGCCGCTTCTAGCGGGGACCCCTGGTCAAGATATCTCTCTTCTGGGCCAGTTGCTCTGTTGGGACTGGGGTAGCTTAGCAAACTTGCAAACTTGCATTATGTATTTTGTGGTGACATATTGGATATTTAATCTCACGATTGAGACTTTGCTCGAGAATCACACGGTGGAACAGGGACACAAATGTCTGCAGAACACCCCAAAAATACATTTTATACAGAGTATATTGCTTCGTATACGATAAATGAAGTGAGGCAAAAGAAGACTGGAAATAAGGATTGGAATTTGGACCGGATGAATGGGCAACGGAACTATTCCACCATGAGCTAAGTGCCATGGGTCAGTCCAGTGATAGACGGGCGCTAGCAACGTCTGAACTCTTGGTGTGGCTTGTTGCGTCCCGTCGTGGATGCATGCTTTTCTTCAAAATGTACACTAACAATACCCTTTGGCAGGGAGAACGGTCGAATGAATCGCTAGACTGGACTGTAATAGCAGGAGAGAAGAATCTCAAACGAACGAACAGTTCCGAAGCTTGAACCTTGATATCCACTAGGCACATAGTTGAGGATGTCGGATCTTGCGGTCAAGGGCATGAGTAGAAGCGCGGCATTTTGTTGATGCGATGCAACGAGGAGCCCTGCCTTGTGTTGTACATACACGAAATAGTGCCAAGCACACACGTAGAAGCACACGTACATACGGATACACAAGGATGCACAAGCTCCCCATGCACAGGTCGTCGATCTATTTGCTATCTGACCATGCTCGAAATTGGACTTCGTCTATTGACCGGCTGCAGGGTCTTGAGTGACAATGGCCAGAAGCAGTTTCTCGCCGACAAGAACCTTGAATCTCAACATCCAAACCCATGTCGATAGAATCACAGACCAGATGATGGATAGCCAATGTTAAAGCAAGGTACCAGGCAGTACCTGACAAGAGGCTGGGAGATTGCCCTTGGGCCAAGGTAGAGTTTTGTACCCCGGCTCTGCCGTTGGGGCATCCCGAGTACTCCACTGTCTAGTGGGCAGCGCCGAGTCAAGTCCTTTCATTCATTCTTCTGAAAGAGCACAGACGGACGCCCGGAGCGGTAGGGAGTTGTACGGGCGAATGTCGTGATGAGATCACATCGCAAGGCCTTTGCTGTTGCCAGAGCGGACGGTGTAAATAATTCGGTGATCAGTCCTCAAGACATCTCCATCAAGGCCTCATCGACGCATCTGCTTCTGAAGTGAAGACGCATGAGCTTGAACAACTACTCACCGATAACTTGACGTCGACGGCTGCGTGTCATTCCCATTGGCATTGCGCAGGTGATGTCTTCAAGGCGTCGCTGGCAATAAACTTTTCATGCCCATTGTCTCTTGACCCGCGACTCGAGGTAGGATTGGATGCGACTATCGTTGCTTTTTCATGCTTGGGAGCGAAACAATACCATTGACTCAAGGGAAGGGAACTAGAGCTGCAAGAGAGACTCACGGGAAGGGTTGAGAGAGAATCTAAACTCAAGTTGATTTAGACACTCCTAAATCAAACCATGCACAGTGTTATTCGGTACCTACTGTTGAGGAGTTTGAGAATGATATTTTACTCCATGATCCATGAGTTTTGTATGGGCTAGAGCCCAGAGCATGCTCACAGTGCTGAACCTTGAGCCTTAAACAACGGACACTCCTTACCTACTGAATCCGGCTGGTCTTGGTCTGGCCTAGACCCTCTGGAAGTCGGGGCTGGCAGCCAAATTGATTGTCGACTCCTGGTTGGCGTATGCTTTCAGGCCCCTTCGCTTGTTTCTGTAGCGCTTCCATGCCTGTGGCTGGGGGCCGGGGGTTCCCTAGCAGTGGAGTTGTCGCTGATTTCTTTGAGGTGAGGTGCCTGGGCTAGCCCGGCCTGGCGTTGGATTGTATGGCCTGGGCTTCTCGTTGGCTCAGGTCAGGTCAGGTCCGCGCTTGGGGCCCGGGGGCAGGTGCTTCTACTCTCTCCCCGTCCCCGTCCCATCTCTTGCTTCTCTTTCCCCTTTCCCAAACTTGATCTCCCCATCAACGTTACCGACGTCGCCTTCGATCTCTCTTGGGGCCTTCCCCTTCGACCGCCTTTCCTTTCGACTCGAATCGATCGCCCTTGAGCTGCCTGATTCTATTCTTTTTTGGCATCTCTTCTTTTAATTGAGGTGAGTCAATTTGATTTTGACTTCGATTTACTGGAGGTGGTCTGTTCAGCGTTGTTGTGGTCCCTCCGACAAAGAGGCAGCTCCCGAGCCGTGGATATCGGGTTGGTTCCAGCGTCTTGTTGTGTGCAGCACTTTGCCAATTCTTTCTGGCCAAACCGTTGCATTCGAACTCTTTCAGCATACTTCAAGAGTATGCAACGCTTGATCGCTGTGTCGCCTCATTTCTTATACATTGCGTCTAAAAGGATCTTCTCGGCATCGCCTTTTTAGGGGGTTCTACTGCGACTGGCGGCTGTGCCCTTGGACTGGAGGTGTCTATTTTACCGCGCCTCCAATCAACATCCCAGTACCGTGCCAACAGGACAGCCCAACCTGGTCAATCCATCGCCTCATCCTTCAGTCGTCCAACCGCGAGCAGCGCCACAGCTTCCGTTTCTTTTCCTTCTTCATACACTCGCGTACATGCTGCATCGCCATCATCAGTTTCATCAAAACTAACCGCTGCCTCGCGCACCTTCTTTGTAGGCATCGTTTTATTGCACCAGTTTCGACATTGAGCACGAGTTACGCCCTTATCCAAACGACCGATCCTCCTGCATCTGTTTCGATATATTGCAACGGTGGTCCTCTGACCGCCTTCGCCGCCTAAATGGCTTCGTCATCATCCAACGTGGTTGGTGTTCACTACCGAGTTGGCAAGAAGATTGGAGAGGGATCTTTTGGCGTTATTTTTGAAGGCACCAATTTACTCAACAATCAACAAGTCGCTATCAAGTTTGTTAGTACAGCAATAGCCCGGCGTTTCTGTGCTGCCATGGTGTTGGCTTTTCTGACCTTGCATTAGGAACCTCGCAAGAGTGATGCTCCCCAACTGCGAGATGAGTACCGGACTTATAAGATCCTCGTGGGCTGCCGTGAGAAGACCCGTTTCCAAACAATACAGTTCGCATGTGCTAATACAGATTCAGCTGGTATTCCCAATGTTTACTACTTCGGCCAGGAGGGTCTCCACAACATTCTCGTGATCGACTTGCTCGGTCCTTCCCTTGAGGATCTTTTCGATCACTGTGGCCGAAGATTCTCCATTAAGACGGTTGTCATGGTTGCCAAGCAAATGCTTTCGAGGGTTCAGACCATTCACGAGAAGAATCTCATTTACCGCGACATCAAGCCCGACAACTTCCTCATTGGGCGCCCTGGCACCAAGGCTTCCAGCGTTATCCATGTGGTTGACTTCGGCATGGCCAAGCAGTACCGTGACCCGAAGACGAAGCAACATATCCCATACCGCGAGCGAAAGTCCCTTTCTGGAACTGCACGATACATGAGTATCAACACCCATCTGGGCCGTGAGCAGTCCCGCCGAGACGATCTCGAAGCTCTTGGTCATGTCTTCTTGTACTTTCTTCGAGGTGGTCTTCCTTGGCAGGGATTGAAGGCGGCCACCAACAAGCAGAAATATGAGAAGATTGGCGAGAAGAAGCAGACAACTGCTATCAAGGATCTCTGTGAGGGTTTCCCCGAGGAATTCTCCAAGTATTTGACGTATGTCCGAAATCTGGGCTTCGAGGATACTCCTGACTACGATTACCTCCGGGAGCTCTTCACACAGGCTCTCAAGAACACTGGCGAGGTTGAGGATGGCGAGTATGACTGGATGAAGATTTCTAAGGATTCGGGAAAGGGATGGGATTCGAAGAACCACAGCGGCGCGTACCTCCACAACCCCAACGTGCGGCCTGGCCCCTCTCAGATGGAGCTGCACAGCGGCCACCGTCCCGGGAATACCACCTCTCACCAACAAGCACAAAACCTTACTGTCGGCCGTTTAAACGCCGCGCAACCCCCTCCTCCGTCTCCGATCAAGCAGATGGGCAAGCAGAGAGATCGGCCAAGCGCCCCCGGCGCCTTGTCAGCGCAGAGGGGGAGCGGGGTTGGGGGTCTTCGGGACATGGCCACGCCCACTGGCTCGACCCAGGCTCAGTTCCAGAACAGTGCCCAGAACCTGCCTCAGCAGCCGAGGACGTCCCAACAAGGCCAGGCGACCCAGCCCGCTCAGGCTAGCGGTCAACAGGCCAATCCTCAGCCCAGTGGCTTCCAGAAGTTGATGAAGACTCTATGCTGTGGTTAAGCGTACTCTGGTATACAGCTAAGAATTTTCTTTGTTTCTTCATTGCTGCGGCGTTTTGCATCAGGATCTGTATTATGTCGACAGACTCCGGTTCAAGAGGGTTGCCCGATTTATTCAGAACCGGGTTGTGGTTGATGGTTGAAATGCCCAACTGAAGCTCAGTCCTGTTTATAGATGGATGAGGTGGTGGATGCCTAGGCACAGTAGAGCTTACCTCGACCGAGTTGGTTCGAGTCACAAACAAAGTCCAGGGCCTTTCGCCCATGCATCTTGGTTACCTTCAAAAGCGCACTGTTTTCGAACTCGAACCCCATCATCTGGGCATTATAGAGCCCTTTGGCCGCCAACGAACCGTTCTTAGCAGTCGATATACTTGCATGACACCCTTTGAAGCGGAAGCAGATCTCGTTTGGGACTACGGCGGAGGGCACTCCTTTCTCTTGTCTGGCAAGCCATTACGAAATATACTAAAACCACGTTTAATCTTCAGCGCAGCGCAGCAAGGCGCAAGGAGACGGTGCAGGGCAGCATTTTTGGGTTTGTTTGGGTTGTTTCTTCTCTTTTTTCTTATGACGCTGTCCATAATAACTTTGTGTAATCGCTCACGAGACGAAAGCTATCATCGGTGTGCCTGATGGCACCCAGTCTTGCCTGGTGTAGATGGAGAGATCAGTTAGCGTGGGGATGAATTTGAAGTTTACAGGCTTGGTGATTAGTTGTGAAACGAAGATAGAGCACTATAGGGAGTTGTCGTTCTTTTGGCAATTTTATAATGGGAAAAGAAAAAGGCGTCGCCATCTTTATCACAGTCCTCAGTTCTACCTTTTCGAGTATGCATTTAGGTACACGATATAATAACCATCATCATGTGCATGTAACATTACACGGCCATCGCCATTGCAAGATGACCTCCCCGCCGTAGCTTGAATGCCCAACGATCTCTTTTATCCTTTTCTGGTACGCAATCCATCAACACCCGACCCGATAAACGACATGTTGACTCTTCCTGGACTACTGAAGCCTAAGACTCAACTCGCAAACAAAAATTGATCGACCAATTACTCTAAGTGAGCTTCTGCTTAATGAAGAATGATCGAAGGTGGGAAAGCTGCCAGGTGCAGGTGATGCCAAGCACGATAAGCTGGATGATGATCCATCGAATGACACGGGCGTTTGTAGACTCGGATTGATCTCGGAACTCGGCCTCTCGCTCCTGTGCACACACTGTCAGTTTTCTGCTCTCATAAAAACATGTTTACGGTGGCACATACACGCTGGAATACTTGTTCTCTGCGGATATCAGCAAGACGAGCGTTGAGGTCCTTGACACGTGATGTGATATCCTGGATCTTTCCCTTATCGCTGCTCTCGATTTGGTTGGTCTCACCAATGACCAAGTCGAGAGTCAACTTGATGCCGCCATTTGGGTTCTTGGCGGAGAGCCACGAAGTGCGGCCAGAGCTGGACGAAGGGGTGAAGCAGATCTTGTGGTCGCCAGCATCGGCGGCGGAGAATGTAAAGCGGCCAGAAGCAGCGCCGCGCTGAGAAACAACACGATGATCGTTGTCGAATATTTCCTGTTAGCTATTATTAGGAAAAGTCCGAAAGACAGTGCAATATGCTTGTGGACAGCTGTCCATGAAAAACATACGTCGACGTTGATGTAGATGCTGATACCGTCATGCTTTACCCAAGCTGATACTCGGTCATCCCACTCCTCAGCAGTGTAATGTCCAACGACAAGTGTATCCTTGGGCAACTCCTCGTAAAAGCATCTGGGGGTTGTGCCGTCGATGAAGAAATGCAGCGCATTCGCAGCGGCGCTGAGCGACAGGAGAGGAAGTAGGAATTTCATGATGGCGACTGCTACAGCACTGATGTCCTTGGCGAAATTGCACGGGTCGGTTTATTGTTAGGTACTTTAAGGAAAATGTCGGTGATTGGAACAAAAAAACAACGTGACGAAGTCCAATGCTTGAAGTTGTTGTAGCTGTTCCCCCCTTTGGCTCTGGCTTCGACGTTGGCGCCCGCGAAGCTGCCACGTTCAATGATCGGCTTTGGGCCAGGGGGTGATCTAGCACTGTCACGTGCAGATAACGCAACCCGTTCCGGATTCTGATCCTGGGCGAAGACGGCGCATCCTACTATGTGATCCTCAGCAGTTACTCCGTGCTCCGAATTAATTCGAGTCAACCCCAAATTTTTTGACGCGTCAACCAAACACCAGCGGTTTGATCTCAACGAAGAGCATCAATAAACGAAATACGGACCGATAAATTATTGTTAGAAGTGGACCACGTGCTTGAATTTGATGACCTTGGTGATGGAAGCTCGAATTTAACGGATTATTGGACCAGTTACACTTGTCCTTCTTTCTTTTCGACAATCTACCTCCACGACAAACTTCCACGATGACCTCTTCCGACGTTCGCGATGTGCTAAACCTGGGTGATGGCGTATCAGGTCTGAGGCCGAGCAAGAAGCAAAAGATTGCTGCACCAAGGCCAAACTTGAAGGGTTTGGCTCGTGAGGTACACAATCTTGGGGGCGACAACCCCATTGCTATTGTCCCTGAAGTTACACATTTCAAGAAGCGACGCTTTGCAAGTCGCAAACCTGCAGCGAGATGGGAGATGCGATCGTTCAAAAACTCGGCGCGTAGCGATTCAGATTTCACTTTGCGGCACTGGAGGAGGAAGGATGAGAAGCAAGATGGTAGCGACGTATCACCGGAACAGACGAGCCAAGGAGAACAGCCACAACTATCCAGAGATGGAACGGAAGATTCTGCGTTTGCAAAATACAACGTGCAGGTTTCAGTCCCGCAGTATAGCGAAGGCCAGTACCAGCAGTCATTACAACACAATGACTGGACCAAGGAGGAAACTGATTACTTGCTCGAGTTGGCGCGCGACTTTGACCTTCGATGGCCTCTGATCTGGGACCGCTACGAATGGAATCCTCCCGCGACGAACGGAGAGGCTGATGCCGACGGTGATGAGAGTAAGGCCATCGTTCCAGCAACACGGCCACGTTCTCTGGAAGACCTCAAAGCAAGATACTACGAAGTCGCTTCCAAGATGATGGCAGCGCAAAAGCCTGTGCAGTACATGACGCAGCCCGAATTCTCTCTGCATGAACTCATGGCGCATTTCAATCCACAGCAGGAGAAATTAAGAAAGGAGTTTGCGCTCAACGCCTTGACCCGGTCGCGCGAAGAAGCTCGTGAAGAGGAATCGCTATTGCTGGAGATTAAGCGTATTCTGGCACGTAGTGAGCGGTTCAACGAAGAACGTCGCGAGTTGTATAATCGCCTCGATTATCCTCGAGCGGACACTGACATCAATGCCTTCAAATCTTCTGCTGGCTTGCAGAACCTTCTTCAAAACCTAATGACCGCTGACAAGTCCAAGAAGCGCAAGTCGTTGATGCCTGGCGATGGTACCAGCCCTTCTGGCACCGCACCACCGCAAACAGCGGCTGCTGCGTCTACCGCCGCTACCGCCGCCGCTGCGGCGCAAGAAGCTGGGAGACGGGAAAGCACAGCTGCGTCCACAGGGCCTCGTGATTCTACTGGACCTGCCGCTACACCAACAGCTTCGAACAACAAAAAGGGTCAGCCACAGCAACAACAGGAGCGCCGTAAGCTTTCGACACAGGAGGAGCTATTGTACGGTGTGACACATCATGATCGATTGGGCTCTGGGCCGACTTTCCGAACCGAGAGAATCAATAAGCTGTTCTCACACAAGTCTAATCAACAACAGAACCGCATCACAAATGTTCTCAACGAACTGGACGTGCCCAACAAACTTGCCATGCCCACCGCGGCTACGACACATCAGTACGAACAGCTCCTTGCGGCTGTCAATAGTCTGCTTGATGCCCGCAAGGTATCGGACAAGCTTGATGCCGAGATCAAGGTTGAACAGGCCAAAAAAGCAGAACGGGAAAAGGCTATGGCCCCCCCTGAATCTGACTCCACAGTCGAAAAGGACAAAGCAGACCAGGACACAGGGACCGGCAACAACTCAGAGGCAGGAGCTGCTGCTGGAGCGACCACCGGGAAAGCAGATGGCGACGCCACATCTGCACTTGGAGATGCAAACAAGGATGCCTCAGAAATAGCAGCCCCTACTATTGAGGCCTCGGATGCCTCGAGCAAGGAAACAGAACTGCTCAATGAAATCGACAAGAACGGGCGTCCTGGTAGCAGCGGTGCCGCGCACAAGAGAAGTGCCAGCGTTCTGAGTAGTGTCAGCGACAAGAGCAATAAAAGACAGAAGAAGTAGGGCAATGTACATGTATCCTCGAAGCACCACGGTACATAGCTCTACGCGCCAGTGACTTGCTGCACGCGACCTGCTGCAGCTAACGTTCCTGCAGGAACACAGGCATCTTTGCACCGACCTGATGGCTAGATCTGCCAGGACCGGCAGTTGTTGGTTTGAGATATGTCATACCGTGGACAAGGGGCTCCGGCGAGACAGGGTTGCACCTAATTTTGTATGTGTACCTGAGAAGGGAGATGTCTAGAGGCTAGGACGTCATACATACCATCCCTTCAACAAATCTTTGCTGTGGTGAAGCGCCGCCTGTGGAACTAAGCTGTGCGACTGTTCAAGACATTGCATAACCCATAGTCCAGACGTGCATCTTTTGAGGAAGAACCTGGGGTGTGGGCACATGGGCGTCTCGACCACGTGGGGCAGGAATGATATTGCAACTACACATTGTGTTTGCAAACAAGTGCTCCTTCAAAGGACAGACTTGAAACGGCCAGGGATCCGCGCCATTAAAGCATCCTGCGAGGGACACAATGGGCGCTAGGAAACATGATAAACAGTAGGAATGAGGTTGTGTTGAAAAACATGCAGCTCATCGGCGGCTACAGTGAGGCTGCATCCTAATTTAGCAACATGTTCCTATAATTATATCTCCAGCTCCCTGGAAAGCGACCCGTGTCCCTGGTAAAAGACGACCCCTAGAGCAGATACATGAACGACCAGGGCGTGTAGGCCATCCAATGCCTCGGGCCCGCATGACTTACATACAACTTGCTTGCTGTCGACCCTCGACTTGCCTAAACGGGCCCAGGAGCGCCAATCGAGTGGCTCAGATCGACCGAGATAGTGCTGCCGCTCCTCTGCAACCTGGTTCTTTGGCGCCGGAGACAAATAGATGATGATGATGGGGCGTGTCTCCTGAAAAGGAGAGTGTGCATGGCCTCTAGATCACAGGAACCTCGTTGAACAAAGGCCAGCGCTTGCGAAAGATGAAGTCATCTCGGGCGAGACGCCCAGTACTATTCTCGCATGCTGCATGTTGTGGTCGGCGTCTATGGTCCAAGAATAGACTCAACTCGTGGCATCCCAACATGCAGGTATGATGATTCGCATCAAAATATCTGATCTAAGATTAGATTGACCCTTGTTAAGCGCCAAGATCTTGGTGATTCTGGAAAGCTGCGAGATAGGATGCGACGTAAGGCTGGCGCTTAGCAGGCGGCTAGCTGTGGACGTATGAAGCATTATTGGATACTGAGCACGTGCAGTTAGCACAGAATCGCTGTCAATATATTTTTAGATGAAACAAGTGTTGTATAATTAGAAGTGCACTTGTCGGGATATATTAAATGGTTCAAGACTTGCTTCATGGTGTTGAGGCTCCTTGAGTGACGTCTTCAGCATCCATCTACACAACACATGATTGGCTGCTGAAATATATGCCTGTTCCTCATGGTGCAACCTGTCCTGGAAGCAGGGTCTCCGATAAGTACGGAAGACCCAGGGAATTTGAACATATAGTTCAGAGGTATTATAGGGCTGATGTACGTGCCTCTACACTCATGATGGCGCTCATGCACGCCCAGGTATCAAGTCGAGAAGAGACAAGAAGACAGAACAACATCAGCGTTAGTCCGAGGGTTTTCTTGGAGTGAGGGTGGCCTCGACATCTTACTGAATGTTGTCTCCTTTCTCCATCCATGCCTTTCCAACAGGGATAAATCGATGCATTCGGATATGAGGCGAGAACAGTAGTGTGTGCTATTCAGTGTGCCATCGGCCAACATCATGCATCTCACTTCATATGCGCCACCGCGGCGTGATGCTTTGAAGGACAACGCAGAAGACAGTATTCGGTGCACGATAGTGGCAGAGTGGCATATTTCAAGATAAGGCATCATACGAAGGCCACATCCCATCCAACAAATCCATCGCTAACAAACCATTCAAGGCTATCCATAAACTAGGCAAAGCATTACATGAAGGGTTTGGCTTCGCCTTGTTGGCCTTCCGGGATCTCATAGTATGCCGTTGACTGTTTGCGGCTTGGCTCCAACGTGGACACTCAATCACGCCACGCTTGATCATGATAGTTATTTTCAATTGCACATCTTCCGCGGACGCCGGCGGCACTTTCGAGGGCGTTTGTGTCAAAAGAACAAAGCGCCTAAGCATAGAAAGGAGGGACATCTTGAAACCAATAGCCAGGGTCAGTTTTCCTAAAATTTGACCCGTAGCTCAGAAGTAATCTCTTACTTGGGCAGTGTTGATAGACTAGGATGCAACTCGGCAGTCGACTACACTTCGGCAGCCTTCAGAAGCACATTCGCAACGAGAAAAGCCCCAGTGCTCGCTATATTCCGTGCTGATTACATAAATGAAGCGAACATGCCGTATAACATGCAATGATCGCCTACAATGCTATCTTTCCAGTCACAGGTTGAGTATATTACCCGCAAGGGTAGTATTCGGACCCGCTGACGGAGTTATTTTTGCCATGCAATGCTCTTTGGCCTATCATGCTGATCAATCACTGGACCTCCGCATGTCGAGATGCTACTTGACTGTTGCCGGCCTGCTCTGATCACGGATCAGATTGGATGAGTTACCTCGAAACTGTTTCTCATCACGAGAGAAACTTCGCGAAAATGTGACCTGGAGTGAACACCCTTGCTGATTGTCGGAGGTTTGCCAAAACCCCTTGTCAATGGGATGAAGTGAGTGGAATCCGCTGCCAGAATCAGCCCTCCGCTTCCCCGCGCTTTCATTTCGAAAGTTGCAGCACCGCTGTCGTGAGGTCGCAACCAACACGGCGGTGTGCCTACGAGAAGGCAGAGTGCAGTAATATAGACCTGGCTATTACCTGCTTGGCCATGGGTTTGGAGATAGAGGCGCTAAAATCCCATCATTCCGTTCTTGGGGCATTAGCTATCTGCTGTGACAATTTTAGTCACGACGGGCCAACCCCTTGTCTTCAATAATGAGCCAATCACAGGTAGGAGCCGGCTTGTTTCCATCACAGTGAACAAGGAATAGCTGATAGCGTCCCTAGCCATTGGCGGCACAGGAGTCAAAACGCACAATAGGTGAGTTAGATGCTGCAGCTAGACTGAGGCGTGGCAAGCACTGATTTAGATCTGGCCCCAAGCGAAATGTGATGCATGCAGCGAAAGGTCAGGCAGGGAGTGTCAAATACTTAGCATTGTTGGTCAATGATGTTCTGTTGGCGGAGAGCAACAAAGACAAGAATAGGAACATCGGCAATCGATGAGCCAATCAAATTCTTTTAGTCTGGGGCGTTATGCCGTTTACCATGACGTGAAATGTGACCAGGCATTCGAAGCCAACTAACGGCACGCAGACATTGAAATGTGACAGAGTCCAGGGCCCATGCTGGCTCACCAGCTGAGACTGAGCATGTTTTCCAAGAATGGGCTGTTTTGAGGGATGCGTGTCGGTAACCTTTTGCGCTTAAGATATTTTTGGTGCTGCTTCAGTTGGGTCGGCATCAAGTTGCGTGGCCACTCATCGGTGACAAAATACGGGCGTACAATATCCAGCTGAGCAACTCTCTTAGACATTCAGGAGAGGCCCCAGTATCAAATAGGGTTATGAGTGTTGGATGAGGCCGCCAAACAAGGGTGACCTCCAACCTCCCCACACAAATGTATCAACTCTCGAAGTGATTTGAGCTAGACGCAGGACCAGCCTCAATTATGCCAGGAACGAGCTGGGATATGATACTGGCATATCCCATAACACATACGTACGTTCGAGCTGTTATTGCGCGTCTCGGTAAATAGATTATAGCATATAGAAAGCTCAACAAACTGTCAGGCTCGCGCATGTCATTCCCAAGCATTAATCGGCTCACACGGGTTGAGGGTGTCCAAAGTCTGCCTGTGAATTGAAGACTGGGCCAAGTCCTGGCACAGCCGCGGACGGCAGCGATTGACCGCACGAGACAGGTCTTAGCGTGTTAGACGCGGCGTTAATGGTTCTGTCTCGCCTAAGGGGCCTGCCTGGACAGCCACATCCTTGCAAATGCCCTGATCTGGTTCCTGACAGAAGCTGCTGATTGGCTACTGGGGCGAGGAGGCGCAGAGTCCCGACACCACATCCGCCAACATGCGGTGGACGGTAGGATAAAGATTTGTGGTTGGCTCAGGAGACACAGTTCGCTTTTCGAAGCCGGTGTTGCTCAAAAGTCCAGTGATGTGAAAGGCCTCTCTGATCTCTCGTCAGGCGAACCTAGCAATAAGAGAGGACAAGCAAGCCCTTAATAGATTCAAGAGACTGGAAAGACGTGGTATAGCGACAACCTTGACTTTTACAGTTGCTGGATTGAAGCTGAGATTCAGTTGGAAGAGGAGTGGAGTAGCAGCCGGTGTGGTTGCCAGTGCCGCGGCAAGAGCGAACGGGGCGCCGATATTCTCCACCCAACCGTACCGCAGGGAAGAGGCCCGTTAGGTTAGGTTTCCAGGGCTAACTTCAAGAGTACTAGCGGTGTTTCCCAGTTAGGTTGGCAGTTCGTCGTCGTTTTGAGATTGTACGAGAAAAGCAGGTGCCAGCTCCTACCACGTAGGAAATTTGTATGGAAGTTCGCAAAAGGTTAACTTAGGTACCTTATGCTCTGTAGTTCAGCTTTAGCGAGAGCATAGTAGAATCAACTAAGGTAGAGAGAAATAAGATCACGCCAAGCTTGACTACGCGAAATCTCTTGCGATTATTCTTGAGTAAATATATAGTGAGAATACTTAGACTCATCTCCAGGCACAATATGCGTACTTTGGTAAGGCATCATACATGGCTTCGTCAGCAATTCTGCATATTATGGCTGTGTTGCTGGAATGATATTGGCGATAGCATGGATCTCCCACCTCGAATAGGTGGCTCTGTTCTTGAATGCTTGACTTGCGGATGAAGAAGCTGGTCTACGTTTTCCCAGAAAAGTACTCGAAGGTATAGCACTCATATAGATATCTGATATAATAGAACTCGTCAAGAAAGCGAGATTACATCAGAAGAGAATCAATGATATGCGCGAAAGGACAGCTCCTGTGGGTACGAAGGATTTAGGAAGACAGTCAGCAGCTCTAGTTTGCTCGGCTAGGCTTGTTTGGAGAGTCGCGCGACTAGGTTGGCGTCAGTTACAGGATTACAGGAGTCCAACACGAAGTTTTATCTTGCTAGGCTTGCATCCCTATTTCTCTCTGGAGTTGATCTCTTTGGAGGTATACAAGGGTCGCCCATTGGATCCGGGAGTATTACCCCAAGGGCGATCCTGGTGCGGGTACTGTACACGCTTGGGGTCGTTGCCGCGTAGGAAGCATCTGACTGGACTGCTGTTACCGAGTCGTGCGTATCCTTTTGAGGTGAGGTGAAGTGCTTCTGTCAGAGATCGGCCGGCAGCGGATGACATTCCTTGTTTTGAACTCAAGGGCTAGGGTTTGGCGGCGGCGCCGACAGTGTTATGGGTGGTGATGATGATAATGGAGCGGGAAGAAAAGCTTGTGAAAGGCACATCGCGAAGTGGAGTGTCATGCCAAGAGGCGTAAATTTAGGTGATTGATGTGCAGTGGCAGTGGATGGGTGCTCGCGGCACAGTCTTCTGAGTATTATCATTGTCGCGCATGAGATAGACGAGATGACTCAGACAATTGAAACGACCAACAACTAACTACCTCCCTAGGTAAGGTACCTTAATTACTAAATTACCTTATCCTAGAAGTAGATTCGGGGATAACTCTCAGAACGATTGATTCGAATTTCGAATGACATGTAATAGTCATCTTCCATTTGTGCCATGGGCCCTTGACTTTATCTCGTCTAATGCGCTTAAACAAATCGGCATTGTTCGTGTTTATGCTATTCTAGAGGTACGATATTGCGAAGTTCGCTTTTCAAAGCCGCCCAACCTGAAGAAAGACCGCGGCAGAGCAACGCGCGGTGCGGTCCTTGATCCGCACCCGAGGGTGTCTGGCTAAACACACACCGTACTAAGCGTAGAGGAGTCCGTTAGCGGCCCTTGTCACTTCTCGACTCTAGTCTCTGGGCGGTCGAGGGCGGCGCCGTCGTCACTCAGCCAGTCGCGCGGCCCATGGCGACAGTTGAAAAGCGCCCAGTGAAGTGTGAGCGCGCCAGAATGATCAATAATGCGAGAAAAGTGCAGTGCGAGAGCTGAGTTGATGAGAATGAAATGAAAGGGCGGACGCTGAGGATGCTGAACGCTCTGCATACATGCAAGCGAAACGCCAACGCAAGCGATAATACCAGTTGCAATAAAGAATGAAACAGGAAGTGCAAATAGTCGATCGGAAAGCACGGCGGTATTTGAGGACGGAGTGATTCCGTACTCAGGGCCTTACTACGTGTGTTGGTTGATATGGATGGATGGACGGACAGACAGATAGAGTACGGGTCTGTCTCCTCCAGGGTTATGGCTGGAGATGGTTTTCCAACATTTGGATCCATCATAGAAAACCCCATCTAATTCTGGGCGAGGGAGGCATTAATTGATTTGCCAGGAGGATCGTCCTCGACCGGGTAGTGACGTGATATGCCCGATCACAATTGGGGATAGCATTGCGTATCGGGCTGAATTCGAGGTTGAGAATGAGGTTGAGGTTGCTCAGACCCTTTGAGGCGAGCAGAGCCATCCCTCCGCGACAGGCCAGGGTACGCACTTTACCGTACTCTGCAGTTCCGGCGCAGGTACCTTTGGGGCTGTAGGTACTTGAGGTCTCATTGACGAGGTACCCGATGCCGACCGCACCCAGTAGGCGAGTGACGCCGTATGAAGCGCCACGCCGCCGCGACCTCGGAGCAGTGCTCTTGGGGTTGGAAACTCGAGCACACAAAGAAGATATGGATGATTGGTGTTTTTAAAGAATGGCTTTGTTGGTAGATACGAGTTTTATGATGTTTTGGCTAGAAAGGAGAAGTGCTGGCTGTCTGCCTCTCAGTTGCGCCTTGACATGGATGCAAAAACATGTTCCAAACCCTACCATCCTCAATCATACTGGAGATCATGTTAGCCGCATCGAAAGCAAACACGCACTGAAACCTGCTCCATCCACTCGTTCGGTAAAAGACTAGCCAACTGATGAGCGCGTGGATGAAGGATACTGCACATCACTGTAGTCTTTAGTTCAAGTGGCTGTTGGAATCTATCCTGCTATACGACCGCCATCAAAGTCCATCAATCACCAGCAGCACGAGGCCACAAAGCACCAGCACCAAAAGGCTAACAATACATACACTACTACCAACCGCGCGCCCCGGCTACTGTAACTTAGCTTGCGCTCCCACGTCTCCTCCACTCTTCTTCGTGGGTCCATTTCCACGTCCAAGGGTCCCCCTGGCCCCCAGTCTCTTGATTCATCCACCCCCTAATTAGTGAGGGTGAGGTGTGAGGATTGGAGGTGTGAGATGTTGTGCTTTTTCTTCTTACAGCGAAAGTTCTGTTTCGAGTCTCAAACTCCACAAGGCTCTCCCAAGCTACCTCGCTGCACTTCAATTCACATAACCTCAATTCAACAGAGTTGACCTGCTATCCTCTTCTTTAGTGATGAATTGATCGAGGTGGCTAACACGAGATGAAACAAATTTGGGCTTCTAGTGTTACTCGAATCTAAATTGAATCTGTCTGTCTGATTGTCCCTTACTTGTCTGGCCATGCTCCCAAGACTGTCAGTCACCGTTTAATGTCCCTGTCATTGCCGCCGTCTCTCTTTAGCTTGACTTGACTTGACATGACTTCGACTTGAGCCTGGCTTCTATTCTAGCTTTCGTCTCCTCGTGTTGCTGGCTCCTCTTACTCTAGAGACCCTGCACTCTCCCTCTCTATCATATCCTACCCAGGTTCCCACACCCTCACTTCATCTTGGATCTCATTCTAATCTCGATCCTTCTCTTCCTCTTCCTCTTCCTCTTCCCCCTTCATCGTTCAGTCTTTTTTGACTTCGACACTTCCCCTCCCCTCCACCTAATTCCAAGGACCCCCCTCCCTCCCTCCCTCTCTCTCCCGTCCCGCCAGGCCAGCCCAGGCCTGACTGATCTGAGCTCCCCGCCACGAACACCCCCAGCCAGGTTTTTTTTTTCGCCGATTACAGACGCTCTTCAAGTGTTAATCGCGCGTCAAAAACCTACCGACGCCCCAAGCGCCGTGACTCTCGTCATTTCCAAACCTCAACCACCCGACTTTTCGCTACGGATACTCTTGGAGCAACTACGCTTTCAACCTTATCTTTTATCTGCGAGCGCACATGTCGAAAAGGCTTTCAGGTCACTAACTCCGTTGATTCACGCTCGTTACGTTGGTTATAGCTGCCAAGTTCAATCTCGGTCTCAAGCCCAAATTAGAAAGAGAAATCAGTCTGGCTACTGTCTCATCTCGCCCACTGGATCAAATCACCTTACCCAAATTCAACTTCTTTAACTTCCAATCTCAGCGTCATTCAATCCCAACCACAAATTACTTTCCGCCACGTACGGCCTCAATTTTGGATCATAGAATTGTAACGGCAAGGACTGACTGTTGATCAATTTACTTGTTTTGGTGGATATTCGACTGAGCCCGTTCGTCTGAGCCTGCTGCCTTCTCCAAGGCCACCCAGTTTGCTTCAGCTGTCCCGATCTCAGCGACACCATCATCATTAATCAACAGGCACTTCAGTCAGTTACATATTGTTCAGCGAGTCCAGCCCCCAGCCTCGCGGCTTTCACGGCCACCTGCGGAACGTCCGGAGTGACTCCAATTGCGCCTCGTTTCCACGTTCTGGGGAAACTGCTCTGAGTTTGCAGGCTTCTAGGCTTGGCTGTGTGGCCTCTTGGCGTCCCTTACGACTCACTTGTTCCCTTGTGCTGTGCACCATCGGCGAGTCGGTCTATAATGTCAACTTTTACCGCCCTTAATGGGGGCTCACCCAGGACTACAGATCCGCCTACTGTGACGATAGAGAAGCCAGCCATGGATGAGCGCGCACTTAGCACATCGACATCTCAGCCTCCACCTACACCAGAAGTTTCATCAAATCAAATTCCCAGCCAAAGTTCGGATCGACCACCGTTCCAGTCACCCGGTTATCCTGATGTAGAAGGGTCTCACAAGCGAAAGCGGTCTGATTCTGTTGAACTTCGTCGTGAGCATGCTGTGCATGCTCACACACCGGAATCCGCTCACCCTCATCACGAATCGCGAGAGCCTTATGGAACCCCCTCAAGAGATTACCGTCCTTATGGCGACGAGCACCGAGACAAAGAGTCTTGGTATTCTCATCAGGCACGCGATGAGCGAAGTTACGACTCACAGCAAAATTCGGCTACCACTCCTCATGGCCAAACAGAGGAGCAGATTGGTGATGCGCTTCGCAGGGCTACCGGTCAGATGGACCATGGTGACTACTCAAATGCCAGCCCAGAAGGTGATGACCATTCCATGATATATGGTGGTCAATACGGATCCGAGCAGAGGCGTGACGGGGTTTTGCAGCACGATCCAAAAAAGAGAAAGAGGAACTTCAGTAACAGAACCAAGACGGGTTGCCTGACCTGTCGGAAGCGCAAGAAGAAGTGCGATGAGCAGAAGCCCGAGTGTAAGTCATTTATATAAGTCATTTGATCCATAACTGACAGAAAGGTAGGCGGAAACTGCCTTCGCGGAAGTTTTGTATGTGCAGGTTATCCACCTCAGCGCGGGCCAGGATGGCAGAAGCCGGACAACAAGGCTCCTGCAGTTCCCCTTGAATCTAAGGACCCAACGTACATCCCCCCGGGAGCTTATGGGATGCCACAGCAAAACCCTTACGGTAATCAACCTGTGAAGCGCGAATCCCTGCCACCTTATCGTGGCCAGGCTCTTCGCATAGACCCCCCACAAGGCCGCCCTTTGGTGACCGACGACGACCGGCCAACAGCATCAACATTGCCCAGCGCGTCTGTGGCCAGTCCGGAAAACAAACTCTCTGCTCTTCCTTATACTCCTGCAAACGTTTTCCCAACTCCAGTCAGCGCAAATCCTCAACCACCGCCACCCTTCGGAGAAAGGATGGCAAAGGAATACCAGCGTGTGCCTCCGCTGCACGATCTCAGCAGGACGGAACCGGAGTCTGCCCATTTAGGGAACCAGCTTCCACAGATTAATATACTTCACCCAACGAGAACCAACAGTCCTGCTCCTCCCCCGCCGGCACCGACATCAAATGCCCAAGTGGCTGCTCAGCTGGCTTTATCGCACTCGCAGTTCCCTCAGAGACGAACTCAAAAAGAGGAGATGTTGTCTGGGCGACATTACTATCCTTTCGACAAGGAGCTTTGCTTGGAGCGTGAGCGTTGCTCTGCAGCTTGCTGGAGGTTCAACAATCTTACCACTCCCCCTACTAACGGTGTATCTCCCGAAGAGCGTGCTCGCCTATTCCTCGAAATTCTGCAGCCTCGTGATCCCGTTCGAGTTTCTCCCACAGAAGCTTCCCCAGTCACCAATGTTGGCCGCGTAGGCAGGCATGTTGCTGTTGAGACACCCTTCATTTGCGATTACGGTTACAACATCACCATTGGCCATCACGTTGTCATTGGACGCAACTGCACGATCAATGATGTATGCGAGGTCAAGATTGGCGACAACTGTGTTATTGGACCAAATGTCAACATTTTCACGGCAGGGCTTCCCATTGACCCCAAGAAACGCCAGGGCGGTCAAGGACCTCAGATGGGCAAACCTATCACCATCGAGCAGGACTGCTGGATTGGCGGAGGTGCCATTATTCTTCCAGGGAGGACCATCGGCAAGGGCAGCACTGTTGGTGCCGGATCAATTGTCACCAAGGTAAGCTTACAAAGACAGGTCGATAAAAAAAGCCGACAGCTAACTCATAGCAGGATGTTCCTCCTTTCACCATTGTAGCTGGGAACCCCGCGAGGGTCCTACGCGGCATCGCTTCTTAATGCTTATATTTGGCGTTGCCTGTTTTCTTTCTTTTTCACCTTGAGACACGATACCCAGTGTATTCGCATGTGTAAAGTTCGCACTGTTGATGGCCGCCCGGCCATAAAGTTACAAAACGGTCAACGTTATACAAGTGGAGCGAAGCCTTTCAAAAGCCTCAGCATTGCATTTATGACCGATTTTTCTTTTATCTCTCTGTCTTTTTGACTATATTGGAAGGATTTGCTATTGGAGTGGGAGCCGAGTGCGACGGGAAAAGCAAATATTGAATGGAGGCGCCATAAGTTTTAATATGCGGAAATACGGGCCGCTATGGGGAGGTAGAAAACCTCATGTGACGAGACGGAGCGACGGACGTGTTGATGAATTGGGATGGTTGTGTTTGTTTTTTCTGTTTCTGGTTCGTGTTGCATGTGCTACGACTTATGAGAGATAAACAAGCCGGGTCGAGACCTGCAGGAAGATATCCATCCACGTTATTGAATGTAAGCATTTTACAATTTTAAATGCCTCTTGAGGTTTATTTGATGTACTTTATGATCCCAATCGGTGCACTAGCTAGCCAATGTGAGCTGTCATGAGGTTGCAATGAATCCTTCTTTTAACAGTGGCAGCAAGATGCGACCTGTTCCTCGGCCATTCGCGATGACAACAATTTCGCATCCTGACCCAGCTCTTGTGCTTGGTTGGTTGCCATAGTAATTCATCGGTGTTTGTGTCTGTATGCGACCGTGTATGCAGCCTCAGGATTGACCGATGGAAAACTTGTTGTTTGTTAGTGAGCACTGGGGAGTCAAAGGGCGTAAGTTTGAACCAGAACTAACCCATTCGAAGCCATCGTTAGGGCCGAAGAAACTGTTCAATGGGAAGAATTCTTCACAATTGCTGGGGTAATTAAAATCTGCCATTGTAAAGTCTTGGATATCACTGCTTGAAGTCGACTCGCTGTAGGAGTATGCTGTGTTCATCGTACCCATAATCTTCACTTCAGATGTTGTACTTGGTGTCGTGGTGCGGCTTAGAATCGCTCGGATGACCCTTGCGCCGTGTCGTGCGTCTTTGGAGTGACTCGCGCGAGTTTCCCATGTCTTGCAGGTGTTTTCCAGTATCTGCGTACGTTGTCTTCGGTTTTGTGGCCTACGCTTGAATTAGTCATGCTCAGAGATGGTAGGAGGAAGACATACGTTATGTCGGTTGACTCGTGAAGGTCCAAACATAAAATCATAGACGCGACAAGAAAATCATGCAGAGTCAGGCTCGACAGCAAGAAGCGGTCTTCGTACATGCGGCCTCCTTCTTGAATCTCATGCTCAAACTCGAGATGAATCTCGATAATCCGAAGAGCGGCAGTGCGACAGAGTTCACGAGATGCTTTGTACATTTCCTGGTTCTTCTCGGCAGTAAGGTAAGGCCGGTGGAGGACACAAATTGTCTTGAGATATGACACTTCTATGATTAATCTGTGCATGATGGTATAGGCCGGAATATCAAATGGGGTGGTGGCGATGGGGCGAACGCGCAAACATTCAGGGACACTGTTGTGAAATACTTCCAACTCAGCTTGGAGAGCCATAGTCTCCTCGTAAGGCGGAGACTCGACTCGAAGAACATGCCGGAGGACACGGCGTAGTAAACGGCAGAGATGAGATTTTGTCTGCCATGCCAACATGGGAGTGGGATCTGTTGGGGGGCGAGACTCAGGTACTTCCGAATCCTCGTCAAAGTCATCGTCTGATAAATTTCGAGGATGCCCGGCGTCGCAGACTTCTTGATATACCATAGGAGGCATACCGAGCTGGAAGGAGAAAAGTAGATCTGAAGTCTGTACAGTAAACCACGTCCGCCTTCTCATCTCAGCCTCAAATGGTTTGATATTCGGGGACACTCTCGCCGCATCGAGGTGATAGCCTCTACGCTGAGCAAGCCGAACGGCGAGTGAATAGAGGGACCATATAGTAGCCTCTGAGTCCTTTCTCTTGGCGTTGACCGCATGAGCATACAGTGTGAGCGCCTCGACAGAATATGGTCTAGCTTTGAGATACTCCCCCGTAACCAGACATTGAGCAGAACGCTGTATGTAGAAATCTGGCCCTTGAAGCAGCGCGAAATGGGGTTGCTGAATTTTGCACACCATCGTACCGAGACTGAGAACAGAGAACATTATACTCAGCCATAAGAAGTTGGAGTTGTGAGGGCAAGCCCAGAAAAGTTCATAACGCCGCCAAAAATGACGCTCGTGAATGAAGGGTACAGCTAGGAACTTGGCCTGGAAGTACGCTTTGACAAGAATATCGGCTTCTTGACGAGACGGGACGCTGTTGAGAATCTCGCTCATAGCGATTGGGGAGATTCCTCCCATTGCAATGTCTGGCGCAGGAGATAAAGTCTCAGGCTCGCCGTGATGATCGGGCTCGTCTTGCGTACTGAGAACACTCTGAATATCATGAATACTCTTGAACACGGCCTCCCAAGATGTTTCCCCGTGGTATGCAACATCAGACCCCTCTTCAACTACCTGCGGAGAGGGCAAGTTCGTATCCTCCGCCATTGCAATGCTGGGATGGACGCTTGAAGCTCCTGAAGCCTTGGCCAGACGCATCACGATTTCTTCAAGTTTAGCCATTTTGAGTTGCATCTCTTCCTTGTCTGCGAATACATTTGCATCTCCATATACACACGATCTTGGATCGCCACGCTTGTGGCAGGCACCGCAAGAGGGCTTTCCACGGTCACATTTCGACTTGCGTTTCTGACACGCCATACATGAGACAGGCTTTCGATTGCGCGTGACTTTGTGGTTGTCTGTTGCTCGGAAAACTCCGGTGAGATGCTTCATGTTAGAGTCAGGCATATTTGAAGATATGTTCACCCAATAAGCTCTGATGTGTCTTTCACCAAGATAGAATAGTTCCAACGGGGAGTTTAGCAAAGAGTCCAGATAGTGATGTGAAGGAGTTTGATTGACAAGTTGACATGGGCTGAGAGAAACAATGCTTCTACAAAAACGTTTGAGATAAGGCTCTCCGAGCGAAACTGTGTTGTGGTGGTTCTCGTCTCGTCGTAATAGAATGTAGGTTGACTCGAGATTAGATTGGGTGTTTGAATCGAGCGGGGATAGCCTCCACTACAACAATGATCTCAATCCGTTACGCCACACAAAGCCTAGACCTAACCGTAGTGAGGGTTATGATAGGTACAGATGCTATATGAGACAAAAAAGAGTGAGTAACCCAAGAAAAGAAGACACCGAGTTGAGCTTGGTAAATAAATACTCGAGCTACCCGAACTCGAAGAGAGTAGAATGCGTAGCAAATGAGATCAGGTCGTAGCCTAACAAAGCATGATCCAATTAGGTAGTATCTAAAAATCTACGTCAAATCATATTGTACAGATACGATTTTCCTATTCTCAAAAATTCAACCGTAAATATGCGACTTCCAAGAACAAATGCCCATTCACCCTTAAACACAAAATCCTCCCTTGTTCAGTCGTACAATCAAAAGTCCCGAAATGAGATGTAAAGGTTACATAATATGCCAATAGTAATACATGTTGCAATCGTCAATCCGCACCACCTCAACTTCGCTATGCTATCATGTTATCAAATCATTGAGAGTGGTGTTGCTCCAGCCTCTTCTTGTTCTCGTCAATAATCTTTTCCATCGTTTCAAGTGCCCGAGTCTGATCCTTAAGTCTCGAAAATGCCTTGAAGGTATATGCGTCAGGCTTGTACCCAGCCGCCTCAAGGTCCTGTAGCGTGCCCACCGTCTGTGACAGATTCTGCATTGACGCATAGCCCTTCACGAGGGTATTCCAAGTCACGTCGTTGGGTTCCAGATTGTGCTCCCGCATGACCTGAAGCATTTGCTCCCCTAGCATTTTCTCTCTTCGCATCAAAAGACCATGCAAGAGGATAGTGAATGTGAAAAGGCTTGGCGCTGGGTGAGCCTGTATGCCATCAGTAGGCGACGTTGTTTCAATGCCCTCTTCCTTGGTCTTGGAAGTTAACGTGCTGCGAAGCATGTCACCGAAAACCTGTAGCGCTGGGCGGAGTAGAGACTTTTGCCCGAGCATGACCTGGATCAATGTGTCATGGACCACGCTCCCTTGATCTTCCACAAGCTCTCGACCCCAATTCTTTTCAGTCCCATGCTCCTCTAGACGGGATTTGAAGAAGCTGTAAAACGACATTAAATCGTAAGGTCGATAGAGGGTCTTGACGTATGCACGTAGCATGATAGCTAGAGTCTCTGCGTTGGGCTTCTGTCGGGGCGCCCTGCGCTCAAAGAACTCATTTACAACTGGAACAATGGTCGTCCTAAACCCCCACTCTCTTCTAGGGCCAGACCTGAATTTCTCAATACCGTCAACATCTTCCTGGCTGAGAATTAGGGGCAGAGTGTCGGGCAGCAGCCATTGCAGAGGCTCCAGGTCGAATTTCTTGGCATAGATGCGAAGCATGGTCCCAAAGATGGGAACGGTCCATGGCGGTGGATACTGCCTCTCACGGCTCTCCATCTCTGCAAAGTAGAAGATAGAATGGAGTGTGTTGTTTAGCACATCAACGTATGGTACTTTAGCCGCTCGAGCGACGTCGAGTGCAAGCTGTACATTGGATGCTTTAAGGCTGGCCTTTGCGCCTCTGAAAACAGTGGTATAGCACCGTTTGTCCAGCTCAACGCCGTTCTCTGCGAGCAGCAGCGGAAGCCGAACTGCTTCTGCAATATCTCCCTGTAAACAGAGTGATTCGACCAGAGACGTGAAGTTGATCAAGTTAGGGGAGAAGCCGCGCTCAAGAAAATACTCAAGAGCCCGCTGAGGCGGAAAACTTTCGTCAGATGTGGACCATCCATTTTTCGCTTGCCTAGAAAGTAGCAAAGTCGTGACAACGCTCGCGAACCCAGCTGAGTTAAGATCGTGGCCTTTGTCTGCAATCTCGCGAAGAAGTTCAAATGCCTTGGATTTGTACGCACTGCTACTCGCAAGCTTCCTCGCGAAGTGCAAAAGTGTATTTCGATGTAACTTGATGCCCGACTTTTGTAAAATTTGGAGCATCTCAACCGCTTGCTCAAGGGGCAGATTCTTTCCGAGACGACCCAGGGTAGACTGACGGATTGGAACGTGGCCAGAGGGAAGATCCTCAACGAGCTTTGCAAAAAGCTCGAGTACCTCGTCAGCCTTCGTAACACGATCGCGCATAATCTTGACGTTGTTCAATTTGAGATTCGAGATGCAAAAATGGGCAACATCGAGAATTGCATAACCTTGAGGTAAGGGATCCAGCGTAGACTCGAGGACTTGGACGGCCTTTCCTGGACATGAATGCAGAGTCGATAGCATTGCAGTTGGCCATATTTTCTTCCGAGATTCAATGTCCAGTCCATGCCAGGCCTTTCTCATATCTGAAGTACTCTCCAGTTCGTACAAGAATTTCCCGTGGTCGAGCCATGGCCATGATCTGGGCTTCACAGGGGCCTCAAGCAGTTTAATTCTTCGCTTCCAGATGTTAAACTGCCGTCTTACGGCAACCAACTCATCCCCAGAGTGCTGGTGACGCAAATAACCCCATTGGTTATATGTTTCTTGCCTGCTCTTCTTCTTTCTCTCTATAGCCTTGCGTTGCTCTTCGGTAGCCTTTCGCGTAAATTCCGGGATTTTCCGATGCCTTTGTTGATGGGAGTTTTTGCCTCGCAGGCATCTCTTTCTTGATGCGAGTCTATGTATATGACTAGATGCCCTGACCCTTTCCTGAATCTGCTTGCGATCTCGTAGTGAGGGGGGAGTGTATGTCTGCGTCTTGGGAGGGTTCGGGGTTGCATTACGAGGACGTAGTTGTGATAATATTTGAGAGCCAACTTCCGAGACGGATGGCTGTGTATCGAGATGGTAGGAGCGAATCAATCTTGAGCGACTTCTCGTAGTGTTGTATCGTAATGCGAGAAAAACAGCTCTTCGAGTCCATGCTTGGGGCGTTATAGGAAGCTCAAGCCTTGTACAGGCGCGGAGTACAAGGGCCGTTGGCATATCCTCCGAATCGGCATCAACTTGAGGCCAATCGTCTGCATAGTGATCGCTAGACGAGTTGCGAATTCGCCGTAGTCGCTGGTAAGAGCTGAATGTCGAGGTCGCTAAATTGCTCTTAATTGCGAAATTTTTCAGATTTCTGCCGAAGTCGCTCAAGGCGCCTCTATAATTTTAGCTCTCTTCTGCGCTTAAGGTAGGGATGTTTATTAGGGGCGTATTCAGTGGCGACCCCTGCCGGACTCTTTCCAGTGAGTGGCCAGGGCGCTTGATTTGAGTCGCAGCGGCTCTGCGGGTATAGAGTGATGGATGGACGCGCTTAAGGATGTCCATCTTGAATTCCCACCTATTTCGCACCCCCGCCAACCTCGAATCTCCATAACATAAATATCATTTCAGGTTCACTCCGGTTTCACACTCTTTAAGCGCCCGTATACCGTTTCAAGACAACCTGACACCATGTCTTCATCACACGCCAGCCTCAGCGCTGCCTCAGACGACCGAAAAGCTAGGCTCGCGAAGCTCAAGAACCTCAAGCGCAAGCAACCTGGAGACGAAATTGTTGCACCAGAATCAGAAAGAGCCCAATCCCCTCCCGTAGAGCCAGATGTCTCACGACTCCATGTCTCTGGCCGCAACTACGACCCTGAAACCAGAGGTCCTAAGCTTGGCTTTGAGCAGGACCCAACCCTCAATCTTGACAAGCCAACGCTCGAAGAACAAGCTGCCGAAGTGGAAGCAGAGGTCAAGCAAAAGGCGGCAGAAGAAGCCCAAGACGATCAAGGTGTCGATTTATTCAAGCTACAGCCGAAGAAGCCGAACTGGGATTTGAAAAGGGAACTTGATAGGAAAATGGAGGTTCTCAACGTTCGAACCGACAACGCCATTGCGCGCTTAGTCCGTGATCGTATCACGGGTGCACAAAAGGCTGCGGCAAAGAGAGACGCGGTTGAGGACGCTCAAGGCACTGGAGAAGCAACTGGCATGGATGGTGTGGCATTGGTAGAAGGCTTGAGGGTCAGGGAAAAGGAGGAGGAGGAGGAAGAGCGTCGCGAACGGGAAGAAGATGCTGCGCTAGGTGTATAAAAAAGCAACATCTAGCCTTTAGACGTCGAGGTTTTGCCTCGCCGTCCTGTTTATTACATCTTAGGGGTCTGGCGCATTGTGCGATGACGGTTACACTATATCTACATTATACCCAACAATTCATTGTCTTCCACCCTTCATAGCTTGCGTCATAGCCAATCGTTGACTGAAAGGACTCAAGCTTCGTTCTCGTGCTTGATCCCCAGGACCCGGCCCTCCGTGTCCATGTCTTCTGTCATCAAACCTTCCACGAGGTGGCAGTCTCTCACGGTCATGTCTAGTACTGGATCGATCTGGCCTCTCATCACGTCTGCCTCTCGGTTGGGGCGACCTTGGGCTCCCAGAACGTTGACGACGAAGGCTATGTGGACTCCGAGACTTCGATGGGTATTCCCTAGGATGCGTCGCTGGCGCGCTCCCCTTGACAGAAGGTAAAGGGTCCCGGGACCTGTACTGGTCGCGACGGTCAGAATCTTCAGGAGAGGGGCTGCTACCAGAGTCGGAACGCCTGTACCGAGCTTCCACACGAGGGCTTCGGCTACGATTCAGGCTAGGACTGCGGCTGCGACTGCGGCTGTCATCTTGCCTGCCACGCTGTGAGTTGTCTAAATAGGGACTTCGACTTCGTGGCGACTGAGCAGGGGATCTGGCCCTGTCTTTACCAGGTGATGGTGATCGCGGAGCGGTAGTGGAGATGGTAGAAACTGAATGAGAAGACACTGATCTATGACGCTTTATGTTTGGCTCAATCAGCCCATCGTCTCTCTGTTCTCGCTCGCGCTCGCGGGCGCGTTCGGCTTCCAATTTAGCCAGCTCTTCATCCGCCACACCTTTCCTGTAGGGCTGTTAGTAAATAAACAGACCTTTGCTGCCTTTAACCAACTTTTTCTCAAGAGGGTTCAGTGTCTCATTTGTGAGCTTGGGCACCAGTTTGGGGTTTCGAAACTGCTGAGATCGCGATGGACGCGACACGTAGGGACGCTCTTGGGCAGTTGCTTTACACTCATATGAGTAGTGGCGTTCTGGGATGGTCAGTATGATTGCAGAATCACATCAACGTCAAAACATATCTCTCTTTAGGCATTTCTGGCACTGGACGCTAGACGGTGTCGACCGGGATGGGCCACCACGGCCTCTATAGGTGAACATATGGAAATCGAAATGGTCTCCGTGCAGTGAAGAACTTCTCAAACTATCGTGTACAAATGTGTAAAAAAGATGGCGCCTTCGTAGGTATTTGTTATACGAACGGCAAAAGAACTGATGCAATTATTGAGTCGCGATTGCTTGGATGACCTCCTGGTGATATCTTTGAGTCACGTGACACACATTCAGCTGAAGGCAGGTACTTCAATAGCACTTGCCTCGGACTACCCATGCTAGGGCAAGTCTAAAGGGGGGAATAAAAAATGACGCCTAGATAGGTGGATCGCCAGCGAATTATGGTGTAGCTGGGGTCGTTTATTTTTTTTCCCCGGAGACAAGTATTTACAGATTGTTAGTACTTGCTTAGTGCCTAAGTACCTATCTTAGGTAAGGTAGGTTGAGACACTGAGTTCAGGAAGCTGAAGCACTACACCGCGCCATTGATATATGCAACGAGGTAGAGGAGTACATCTAAATCTAACTGCCCTTGCGATGACGCCAAAACGAGATTCGGGGCTGAATAGTGTATGCGTTCAGGCCAACTTGAGGTTGCAATTGGAATTACATATACTGACGACTTGTGCGATGCCCTCTTGTTTCACCTACTAATATTTACGGTTGATGGTAATAAAAACCGCACAAGATACTGGAGCGGTCGCGGGAAGTGGTTTGGATCATAATGCTGAATCAAGAAGCGTGAGTATTATTAGTGTCAGTTGGCATTCAGCTTCTTCATCGTGTCTATTAATCTTATAGTGCGGTATTTCATATGAGACATTACCTGAGCTCCGTTGTTGATAACTTCTGAATACCGACCGATATGGCTGGACCTTTTTCTCTGCTGTGCCTTCTGGGTCACAGTAGTGTTCCACAATTTCAACCCTACAGCCGATGTAAAGCTCAGGTTTGAGCATACTACCTTAGGTATCAAGGTCAGCCCAGATCGTCTTAAAAACTCTTCAGCTTTGATCCTGTTTATGAGGAAGGTCATTGACGACACGGGCACCCTCACGGGCACCCTGGTGTGATAAGGCGCAGATTGTTCATGGGCTTCCTGCCTAGAAACACCCTTGGCAACCAGTTTCATGACAATACTTTCCGTGCACATGAAAGGCAGTTGCTCCTGGACACGCGTGGCAATCGCCTGAGGACAAATGACGATGCCCGTCAGTGACACTGTCCAGACTGTCGATGATAGCATCGGTGAGAATGAACGTCTCCGGCAAGTCAATTCGAATAGCACTGTCATCTAGTGAACCCTCCATCCATCGTGCTGCGAGTGTGCCTGCAGTGTTTCTTTTCTTAGACACAAACCCTTGGGCAAGGGTACCTAGAGGTTCTCTCTGAACTCATTGGATTCCTCTTGAACGCCATGGCATTTGATCCCACCTGCCCAACTTCAAGAGGCTTTTCCGCTTCCTGCCACAAGGCAACATGGCGGATATCTCCGGCTCTTTTGCGCTTTAGCACCAAGATCACAGATTGCGTTGGCGACAAGCAGGTCAACTTTGTGGGTGTAGGTATGTTTGGGTCGACACCTCATAACATGCAGGAAAGTTGGTCTTCTTGCACAAGAGTGCGTTGAGCTAGTCACACTTAGAACCGCCGCCTCGAAGAACATCGCGGAACGAAGCTTGAGTTCCTATAGTTCCTTGTGCGCCTGATACATCTGCTCCGGTCTCTTGCAGCCTGACACACAATGCTTACAGTATAGTAGCAGCGTACTTCGAACTTGTTCAATACTCTCTAGGTCGAAACAAGATTTTCAGCCCATTGAGCTACCCGCTTGCCAACTAGACGCCCATTAGCACTGTCTCAAGAATGTGTACTAAGCCTGACATATAGCATTATGAATACCCGGGTACCTGTTATCAATTGAACTAGCAAGTGAAATCAGCGTGAGGTTCTATCGGTTCACATAGCCGTGAGAAATACCTGGCTGCAGATGCGTGTATGCAAGAGTGGTTGTTGCTTGCATAGATTTGAGATAACCTTGGCTAGGTAGTCCTGGAAGGAGAAGGTCCAGGGCGTTACGCATGAGAATGAGTTTAGTATTATCAGTTTTGAAGCAGCTTGTTGCCTGGTCTCACTCGTTAGTCCTTTCAACACGGCGTCTATGCACAAGATGAGGTACCTAATCAAGGTGACTGAGTATTGGATTATTTATCTTATCCCGTAATGCATAATACTAGCAGCAGCTGGTGCAACAGCTCCGAAGGCATGGACATGAGCCATGACGTCGTGACGGCGAATCAACTCCTCAGCTCTAGCAGTCTCGAAGTCTTGGTCTGTAACTTCGAGATGCTGCTTCATCTGCTCGAGGGCGTCCGTGGTGATAGCCAAGCTCTTTCTCAGACCGACGAGTAGCAACCAGAGCCTGCGCCATTGTAAGTGGCGAGAGCGTTGACTAAAGAGTTGTGCCATCTCTGGGTTGCAGTATTTCGCCGTCAAAGACGTCTGATATGTATTCGTACAGAGACTGCATTGCATTCGACTTGTCAGTCGCCATTCTTACCTCGTTTTGAGAAGTATTTGGTCAATTGATGGTTCCAGAGAAGCATGAGGACGAACTAGTTCCAGCATAGTAGGTAGGTAGGCTGGCTACCCCTAGCTGGTAGGGCACCTGAGGCTTACCTACTGACTTCAAGGTTGCCCACTTGAAAGAAGAACAAGAGCCCCGGAATAACAATGTCCCGCGATAACAATACCTTTGCTTACCCACGTAATTCTTATGGTCTATCATATCCAGGTACAAAGGTATTAGAGCAGCAGCAATCCTACCTTAGGTATTAGTATTGCATACCTGCATTTTCCCTCTCAGCACACGAGTAATATTGCAGCAAAATCTTGAAACAAGTCTTTAATAACAACTCTGGCAATCAGGAAAAGGGCCAGTGCACTCAACAGGCGTGATCAAAGCTTGAGTAAGAATAGCAGTGTTGACTTGGATACCACCTAGGCTTAGAGATAGGTCACCCATGGAAGCTTCGTAGTAGACTCCATTCCCAGGTACTACCAGGAAGATAAGGTAACCTTTTTGAATTCCTAGGCACTCTAAGGTAAATACCTTATGGATGTCCATCACGGGCTTCCTTGTCGCATTGAGTGCCGTCCACAGGTTCCCGCCCGGAATTTCTGCAACAACCTCCACTATAAAAAAGCGACACTTACCTGTGACTGGTCCGCCCCCTTTCATGTCAGGCGGGACGCATACGATTTTTAGTGATTCTTTCAGCGCCTCCCAGCGTATCCTCTCGCTGTGCCCTGCCGTGCCGCTCGCTCCACAGTGAAGTGGCAGCCCAGGGCAGGCGGCCAGACTGACTGACAATGAGACCCCATCCTTGTGACAACCTCCTCCCACGGCTCCCCCTCCAAAACTTCAACTAACCAACTACATCCAATCCAGCATACCAGCATCACATCACATCGCATTGCTCGTCTTTGCTGCCTTGTGCGCCTTGGGCCGCCTTTCTCAAGAATTGGCTGTCGTCAATTTTCAGTCGTCTTTCACTTTTCCGCCCTTTCGCCTGGTTCGGGACCTGGGCCTTGTAAGGATATTGCTTAACTTTCCTCTTGACCTCCATCCCCCGATTTCTGGTCCTGTCTCATTGCAACGAAGAGGCCGCATTGCAGTATCATAGGTTGGGCAGCCAAGAAGGCGTACGACAACCATCATCTTTTCCTCCGAACAGAATCAGTTGGGGAACAATGCATCTTACTTCACGACGATGAGCACTAAGACTCTGTTTTCTTTCTGCCGGTCCGCTTCCATTAAATTCGCTTCCTGATTTTCCTGATACTGTCCTTTCTGTTCCTGTCACCACCGCTGCAGTCTCAGCCGCAGCCTCATCTCGTACCTGGTCAACCATTGCTCCCAGTCTTCTGTCTCATATTCTTATCGACATTTCTACCGCCTGCACTACTGGATCGGCCTTGTAGCCTTGACCACAGCCCGTCATGGCTACTACCCAAATGTCTCCTGATCTTCCCAAACCCTCGTTTGCCAAGGTAAATATCACACCGTGCTTGGCTCCTCTATAAGTGGTCCTTATCTGTCGAAGGAGCCATTCTTTTTCGTTACCCGGTACTAATTCATGCTGCTCGACAGGTCGCTGCCTCCGTCTCCAAGGACTCCACACCTCCAGCGATTCGACGGATAGCCACACCATCTAAAGAAGCAACCATGAGCTCGACGACGATACCATCCACATCTACCGCGCCCGTAATTGCAAACGGCCGATCTGGTAAGGCACCGGTCGCAAGGGTGCCCTCGCTGCAACGGGAATTAAATCTCAACCTGGCCGATCACGGAAGCGGTGAAGACAGCCTCGAGGGATCTTTAAAGGACTTGAGCCTAAGGGACAAAGCCCCTAACCTTGTCGTGAACGGTAGTGGACCTTTGGCTCCTGAGAGGCCTGCAGTCGTCGTTGGTAGAGACAGCGGATCCGACGATTCTCAACGAGCTGATTCGAGTTCCGAACTCGGCACTAAGCCTCCTAGTCTGGATGGAAAGAGTATCACTTCAGGCACAACATTTGCACTTGATGAGAAGGAATCGCTAAGACCTGATGATAGCGCCAGTGTCAAGGCCGCTGCAGAAGATGACGACGCTTTCTCTGTACGCGGTTCATTAGTTGCTGGATCTCGCATGGGCTCAGAGGTAGCCGCACGAGCTCGAATGATTCACCTTGGCGATATTCCGGAGCGAAGGCTACCACAACCAGTTCCAGGCACCGCGGCTCAAGGAGTCCTGACTCCCCAGAGCTCATCATCTGAACAACCCCCAGGTGCACCCATGGGTGCTCCTGGCTCCTCAGATGCCCTTGGTGTCATCTATCGACAGGCGCCGGATGATAAACTTCTAGAAGCCATGGCATCGCCCAAGGACAGGCTCTTTCTATTGCGGTTGGAGAAACAGGTCATTGATTTTGTGCAGGATTCCAAGTACGTCTATGACCTCAAATTCCTTCATTTTGTACTAATCGTCTTTTTTAGGGAACCCTACATGGACCTTCCACCGTCTAACTCGTTTTGTAGAATGTTAACACACAAGCTGGCGGATTACTACCATATGACACATTCATTTGAGCCTCACGTGGGGTCTGTACGAATATTCAGGACGCCGTTTTGTCGAGTTCCCACCTCGCTGGCACTCATCAACCCCAGTCCAAGTGTGCCAAACAGCAGCACTCCGCCTCCTGTTGTCCTGCCCAAGAAGATTATGCGACGCGGCCAAGATAGTGAAGGCGGCCCAAGTGCTAGCCCCTCTAAGCCAACTTCTGAGACCGGCAGTGATGCTAAAGATAAGCCCACTGCGAACCAGAAGTACGTACAATTCCACGATATGTTAGCAATTACTCCAACTCACCAGCTTTAGACTCACCAGGGAAGAGCGAGAAGAGCTGTATAAATTAGCACGTGAGCGCATTTTTGGTAGCTCAGAAGACAGTGTCACGGGTAGGTAATGAAATAATCTCAGTCCGGAACGCTTTTTGACAGGAATAATAGAAGAGGGCGACAACGGCGTTTCAAGAGCCAGTTCAGTGTCTGCTAAGGACAAGTCCAATGTCGGAAAACGAGGTAAAACTGGCAAACAACGACGTGATGATTCGGACAGCTTTGATTCACGACATCAGTACACGCCGTATTGGGGGCCTCAGCAACAGACTTGGATATCCCAACCGCAGTACATGCCGCCGCCCAATACTCAATACGGCGCTCAAGCACCACCAGGGCCAGCATACCCAAATCAAGTCGCCCCTGTCTATACACATCAGGGTCCCGGATACCCTGCGATGCCAGCTATGCCACCAAACCAGCCATATCCTCAGTACTCAGTCCCGCCAGTAAGTTCCATATGAGAATAACATGAGCAGAATAGCGACTGATCTATTCCACTAGTATGCTCCTCAAGCTGCCCAACAGCGCTATCCTTCTGGCGGAAGCCCTATGACTAACTATGGTGCCCCTGTTCCTCCGGTTGGCCCGCAGCAACCTACGTGGCAACCGGGCCTTGCTCCTCCTACTCAATTCCAGGCGAGGGGAGGCACCCCAACCGGTCCTCAAGGGCACATGGGAATCCCTTATGCTTATGGACAGCTCCCAGCAAATATCAACCCCCATGACCCTAAGAGCCAGCATCCAATTCCCGGTAGTTATAATCGCAACCACGCCTTCAACCCGAAGACACAATCGTTTGTGCCTGGTGGTGGTGGCATGGCCCCTGTCCAGCCTCCACAGCCGCCATTCACTGCTCCCGGATCGCATCATGGCAGTCCTCAAGTTGGATCACCTCATCTAGCCTATCCTGGCGGTTATCAACAGCCAATGTCTCAGCCTTATGGGGGCGGATATGGCATGGTAAGGCAGGGGTCTAGCAACTCGATGCCTGCGTATTCTTCTCCTCGCGTTGCTCATATCCAACACGCACCGCCACCGCCGCCTGTGATGCCGCAGAATCCCCCACACATGGCTCCCCAGCCTCTCCCCCCTCATTATAATATCCCCAATCGACCTAACATCCCACAAGGACCTAGCCAGCCCTTCTCGCATTTGCCAACATATGGCAACCCCGCCACTTTACCCCAGAAACCAGCTACTGGAATTTAAACATTGTCATTGTAAAAAAGGGGGGAGCATGACATGGTGTTCACAAATTGGGAGAACCACAAGGCGTACACGGTATATTCAGCATCTTGGCGTTATCGGTGGACAGGATGGACGACATGAATTTGTAGGCCAAGGGCCAATTTACTAGACGAGTTCAATACCACTTTGATATAATTCTTTTTGGCGAGGGAGATCAAACCAGGACCTGGTGAGGAAGAAGATAGTTTTATATGACGATTGAATTCGATTCTATGGCCAGGAATGCCAGAATTTTCATGCCTACCACAACGCCATGATTTTATTGAAACAATTGACCCATGCTTCATCTCACATCCATGCATGCCAGGGGGAGATATCCTAGACTTTCCTTGTCTTCGGGACATCGCCTTGTTCTAACCTGGACTCCGATATCTAGTTCCCATTTCTTCTTTTCACGAAATCTCTTTACTCAGCAGGCTCACGAGGTTCCCTTGGCTCTCGGGGTTCACGCTGTTGGCCACCACCTCGACCGCCACCTCGGCCCCCTCGCTTGCCTCCCTGTCGGCCACCCTTCTCCTCCGATTTGCCCTCGCCCTCCTTCTCGTTGCTGGTCAGGTTGGCAACAGCCAACCGCTGGGACAGGTCGATCTGAGTGCGGATAGTGTTGGCCAGGTAGCTGACCATGAGAACGTCTTGAATGTGGTTGTTGAAATCATGCTCGATCTGCGAAGGATCAACCTTGGGGGCGAGAGACAGAGCGTTGAGAAGGTACTGGCCAACAGCGTTGTTGGGTTCCTCATCCTCATCCAGAACCCCGTTAATCCACTCACTCGCTCTATCGAGAAGGCTGATGGTCTGCTCGATTGATCGACCAAGACCCTCAATGTCAGAGACAAGGGGCGCTGTTCGGGACTCAGCGTCCTTTGCGCTGGCGATAGCCTCAAGAGCACTTCGGTCGGCATCGCCGTAGAGAATCTTGTGGGGGACCTGGATGAAAAGGCAACTGTCGGCAGCACGCTCAGCGTTCACAGCAACGGGGGCGCTGATATAGCATCGAGATTGTATGTCCTCGCCGGGCTCGGTAGAAATGGTCATGTGAATGGCGGGGTGGGGGAATGTGCCGGTGTCAGGGCTACCGAAGAAGTTCTGGATGAGGGCGCTGAAGCTGTTGAGCTCATGAGAGGTGGTGTACCAGCCGAGGAGGGACTCGCCCCTGTTGGCCTTCAGGGTCAAGGCGAGCATGTTCTTCTGGTACTCGACATCGACCTCGACCTGGTCCTCCTCCTCAGTATGGGGGATAGCGAAGCACGAGCGAACCTCGACTTCAGTGCCATCTTCAGATCGGGTACCGACGAGGGCGCCAATAACTCTGGTGGATTGCGTATCTCGGATGTCTCGTCGAACGGCGTGATCGAGGATAGAGAGGACGGCCTGTTGAGCAGAGAACAGATCATGTTAGCCAAGGTATCTTTCCTTTGACGAATGTCCTAATCTCGGAATAGAACACGAATAGTCAAGCGGAGAGGGGTCATCGCAATCGTACCTGAGGCTGGATGTTGACAGTGAGCGGGGCAAGGTTAGTCTGGATGCCCACGGTATTGGGCGCCAAAGGCCTCGCCAGGTGAATGAAGCTCTCAGAAGCAGCAGCGGCCATAGTGGGCAACTTTGAAGCTGAAGCTATTGGGAGAGGAGTGTAGATGTCTGCGGAGAAATGGGTGAGCCGGGCCGGGTCGTCTTTGGTCACTCTCGCGAAGCTGTCCTATAACAAATTTCGCCGATTTTGAAGAATTGCAGGTTTGGCGGGACGCCGCTGGGGTTGTGCGCGCTAAGATATGAGAGATAAGACGGTTCGTGGCGTTTGCGTTGAAAACCCCACCAAGCTGTGGCTTGACAATGCAAGGCTGAAGGTAGCCTCATAACTTTTTTTACAATTTTTGTTTGATGTCGATAGGCTCTTCAAAGCAACTAAACCGAACTCTTCACATTTTATGACATTCCACCAAATTAAAATCTGCTGGTAAACAGGATAATGCCGCCGCGCGGAAGAGGAGGAAACTTTAGAGGTCGTGGTGGTCGTGGCAGAGGAAGAGGTGGTCGAGGAGGTAAAGCGACAAGCCGATTTGGACCTAATCGAAGATTCGACGGAACTCGACTTGCAGACAATGATGAGTATGCTTCTAGATATGACCGATTACTGGGAAATTCACTGACATATGGTAGGTCCGAAAGCTCAGGGTCAGAGTCGGGATCTACGCCTGAAGATACAGTCATGGAGGACATCGATTCAGAGGACGACGACGATGAACATACAACATCGTCAAAGCCATACATGGCCCTTCTTCAGAGTTTCAATAACGAAAGCAGTGCACCAAATGCAAAACGACGAAAATTGGACCACAAAAAGTCCACTCAATCTCAAACTGAAGAAGACTCCTCCGGGGAAGAATCACACGCAGATGACCAAGATGAAGACACCGAAAAAGATATCGACCGTTCTGAGGACGAGGCTGAAGAACAAGTCGAGGAGAAATTGGACGATGAAGATGATTCGGAAGACGAAGAAAACCCAACAGATCCTTTCGACGTACACTTTGCGCACCCCAATGACAATACTGTCTCACAAAGAGTCAAGTCCGTACAAAAGAACGATTGGGCAACGAAACGAGAATTACTACACAATATGAGAGCAACTATCTTGTACCCAGGGTCAGATACAGGGTCTGAAATACCAAAACCTATTGCTGGCTTGGAAGGCCTACAACTCAAGCAGAAGCTTAGAGAGACTTCCTCTCGCAAGATTGGAGACTTCGATGCCCTTCAGCGCAACTTGGGCCCTTTGATCTTCAATTATAACGATGTACTGTTTTGTGATCGCACAGTACAGAACTCAGACTCATTGCGAGAGTTGGCATGTCTACATGCTCTCAACCATGTCTTCAAGTGAGTTGATCAATTCTACATTTCATAAAAGCCCTAGTCGCTAACGAAGGAAGAACTCGAGATCGTGTTATCAAGAATAACTACAAATTGGCCAAGGAGGGCCAAGATACCGACCTAGAATTACGAGATCAAGGCTTTACCCGTCCCAAAGTGCTCTTCCTCTTACCAACACGTAACTCAGCTCTTCGAATGGTGAACATGATCCGTGATATCTGTGAGCCAGATCAGCAAGAGAACCGCAAGCGATTTGACGATGGTTATGTCGACAAAGAGGCTAAGTTTGGCGCCGATAGACCGGCTGACTTCAAGGATCTTTTTGAGGGAAGTGATGATGACATGTTCCGTCTGGGCATGAAGTTCACTCGCAAGACAATCAAGTACTTTGCGCAATTCTACAACTCAGACATACTCTTCGCTAGTCCTCTCGGTCTTCGTATGGCTATCGGCTCTGAGGATGATAAGAAGCTTGACTTTGACTTCCTGAGCTCTGTTGAGATGGTCATTGTTGATCAAGCGGATGCACTTCTCATGCAAAATTGGGAACACGTCGAATTCATCTTTGAACATATGAACCTCCAGCCCAAGGATGCACATGGTTGTGACTTTAGTCGTGTAAGAAGTTGGTATTTGGAAGACTGGGCAAAATATTTCAGACAGACTATCATCATGTCTGCCTTCAACACCCCCGAGCTGTCCGAGCTTCTCCGACTACACTGTCACAACTGGGCTGGAAAAGTCCGGCTGCAGCCCGAGTATCCGGGCATGTTGTCGCAACTCGGTATCAAGGCGAAGCAAACCTTCTCAAGGTTCCAGTCTAGCTCGGTCGATAAGGATCCTGATGCGCGATTCGAGTATTTCACTTCTGCCATTGTCCCCTCACTTGCCAAGCGGGCAAAGGATGCTACTGGAACGCTCGTTTTTATCCCCTCCTATCTGGACTTTGTCCGAGTGAGGAACTACTTTGCAACGTCAAGTGCGGTCGAAAATGTCACTTTTGGGGCCATCTCCGAATATGCAGACGTACCAGAAGCCTCGCGGGCGCGGTCACATTTCCTCAACGGCCGCCATCGCGTTCTGCTCTACACTGAGCGAGCACATCATTTCCGACGATATCAATTCCGTGGTGTGCAGCGAGTCATATTCTACGGGTTACCTGACAACCCCATCTTCTATACTGAGATTGCGGGTGGATATCTTAGCAAGAGTGAGCAGGACCTCAGACTTGAACCTGGTCAGGGAACTGTCAAGGTTGTGTTTTCAAAGTACGATGTAATGAAGTTGGAACGGATCGTGGGTTCCAAGAGAGTTGGCAAGATGATTCAGGATCGCGGCGATACCTTTGAATTCATCTAAATGCATCTTGTATCAGGGAGCATGTTTGTATGTTTGAAAAGTTAGTAGAGCTAGGACAGCGTATCAAGTCCGCCTTTTCAAAAGCACCGTGGTTAAGCAAAACCATAATTGTGTCATGATATAATAATTTATACAGCTTTTGTACAGAGCTTCACCTCTTTCGTAATATGATATACATGTCGCTTCTATGGCGAGTTCTTCTGTTGCGCTGCCTTTCTCACCGACTCCGGTACGATACCAGCGGCCATTTCCTTTGCCCGCTCGGCATTCTTGTCTGCCGCCTTCTCGGCCTCGACTTCAGCCAAACTACTCTCATCCCGTGAGGGTCCAGTCTTCTCACCGGTCTTCAAAATCATAAACCTCCGCACCATCTCCTCAAACGGCACCTCGCCGCGGAACTGTGTGACTTTCTTGATATTGGTTCTGGTGACAGGAGTATGCTCTTGCCCTAGCATTCGGTCGCGGGCAACTGTCTTGGCAGTCATCATGAAGCGTGAGTCCTTTGGGCCGTCGACGAATTCAAGTATGGCACTCTCGCCCTGATCATATGTGTTCTTGGACTCGGTGCGCACGACGCGAGTATAGCCTCCCTCTCGGGTCAAATATCGGGTTCGCAGCTCGCCTAGCAGTTTAGGTAGGGTTATGGTGGGTGTCTAGCGAAGAACCTTACTGTTAGCATGGCCTTTCTGAATAAACCTTCTTGCGGTATACATACATATAGGATACCCTGTGCTGATCTGCGAGCAGGCTCGTTGTCCCTCTTCGCCAGTGTGATGAGCTTCTCTGCCATGCGCTGAGCTTCCTTTGCCTTGGCGTAAGTTGTGTGGATATGTTCGAATTGGACGAGTTGAGTGACCAGACCGCGCAGCAAGGCCACACGGGCTGCTGAATTGCGACTCAGATGTCGGTACTTGACAGTACCACCAGCCATTGTGGCAGATGGTTATAGTGGCAACTGACTGGGGAGGGGTACCAACTCAATTGAAAAGCGGTACTGGAGTTATTAAAGGTGTTTTCGATAGTTCTTCGCTTTGCACGTGGGCAGCTCCAAATCCGTCCAAGATACGGTATCTTGGTGGTCAGTTTTGGTGGAGTGAAATTTTTGGCTGGGCCTTTTTCGGAGCCGGCTTGTCTTGTCCGCCGACAGAGCCTCTGCGCTACGTCAACCCACCACCAACAGAACCTCTTCAACAGCTCTCCAAAGGGAAAATCGCACGCGTCACGAGGGCAATTGGGCTCGCGCACGCTATGAAACGTTGTATCTAAGCTTCATTCGACCCTCACTCTCGGATTGGTCGTCTCTGATACATCAAGAACCCGGCAAATTACCGCATCTCGGTCAACCGGGCAAAGCTCTACATCATGGGCTTCACCACTGGTTTTGTACGCAACTCGATGAGCCAGGCTGAAATAATCTTGCAAAAGATCGTACGCTAACTTCGAATGTTAGACTGGCGGCGTCACTCTCACTCTCTCCCTCGCCTACCTCTCTGTGCTTGCTCACCAGCGCACCCGCGAGCAACAAGGCTCTGCCCTTCGCGCACAAGCTCTCGCTATCCAAGGGTTGATCGATCCTCTTCCACCACTACCTCCGCCCACAAGGTCTGAAGTCGCCGCTGCTCAGAGGGCTCAGACCGTTGAGATTGCCAAGGATCGATGGAACACCGAAGTTGAAAACGCCGTGCGATGGGTGCAGCACACTGACTGGGTTCAAGTGCGCGAAGGCCTCGAAGATACTGCATCACGGCTATGGGCCCGAGCCTTTGGCGTTAGCCCCTCGGAAGCTGTTGGCGAGGCTGGGCAAAAGGTTACGGAGACTGAGCAACAGGCCAAGCCCATCATAAAACAGGGGGCTGCTAAGCTTGGTGATGCTAGTGGAAAGGTAGCGGCAGCGGCCAAAGGCGCTTTCCAGAAGGCCAAGGCTGAGAGCAAGGATTTCGCCAGTGTTGTTCTAGATCACAGCAAGGATAAGGAGAATGTCGATATCGCTCAAGACGACGGTACTCTTTCAGCACTGACTCCCGTGGAGAGGGCGCTTCAGCAACGATTCAGCAAACCTGAGGACAAGGTGAACAAGACAGTGGAAGAGGCGCTGAATGACAGATACAAGCCCATGGACGCGAGAGATAACACCCAATTGAGAGGGGTCTAAAGGAAAGTCGTTGAACAAAAGGTGGGCTGGTTGACGATGAGTGGGTGAACGGTGTGAATATTTGTTGTACATTGCTATCTGTACCACCATTTCTTAGAGTCACCCGAATAGAAACCAAGCTTGGCAACGCTTGGTATGATAAACTGAGTTGTTGTATTAAGTGAGTAATGTGATAAAAGCTACTGATCACCTCTCAATGCGAACTACCTATATACAGACCCCTTATTTGCAAGCAACTCCTTTCTCTATGCGGTTGACTGCGGTTTTCCCCTTACATATACCAATAATTCATATACCAACACTGGACTTATAAACGAAGGATTATGACTGGCGATGACTCCAAAGGAGGGGCAAGCAACTGCAAAAGCCATTACAGTGAGGGCCACCACAGCAAAAGTCATCATGATAAGAGCAGTAGGCCGGAGACAGGCACCAGGGCTACTGAGGACCTATACGGCATGGAGTCGGGGGCCAACAAAAAGAAGAAGCGCTGCCATCATCGTCCCAAGCCTAAGCCGAGACTCCCAACTGACTTCCTTGCCCTTCTGTGCTGGGATTCTTGGCTCCCGTGGCCGATTGATTCCAAGAAAACCCAGATTGACAAAACATCGCGCAAGCACAAGAGGTCTAGGAAGAGAACATCTCACTCGGGCACCTCATATCGTGTGCAATCTTGGGTTCGGGAGGTGTCTTCTCAAGTGACACCCTCCGTTCCCACGATACCGCCAACTGTGGCATCTCTAGCACCATCAGCTCCCCCTTCACATTCAGTTTCGTCATCCTCCGGGCCTCATCAAGAAGCCGAGGCTGCAGAGGCTGCTTCGAATAACGGTAAGAATATGGATAGAGGTGCACTCACATCATGTAATGCTAACTTTAGTGAAAAGGGCGGACCAAGAAACAACTCAGTGCCAGTGCTATTAATCCAACACAGTGCTCATCGACATAGCAGGAGTTTTGGTGCGGCTTGAAGGATAACAGTTCACACAACTGATCAGTATATGTAGGAGGCTGATGGGACAGCAGTGGGACTTTTGGTCGACGAAGATCCGAGACAGAAGCAGATGGTTGAGTGTTGGAGACAAAGACGAAAAGAACAGCAACGCCTGCACCGTGAAGAGCACCAGAGACTTACCTATGCAAACAAGAAAAAGCAATCGGCATGGACATTTGGCATCGATAAGAATGCAGGCGGATAGACGGCCACCTTCTCTGTATGAAACAGAAAGTGTGTATGCGCGGAGGGCAACAAACTGTGTGTTAACAGGTGACGGTCCTGAAAGTAGAGCAAAACGGCCTGCAGGTCAAATGGTGGTGTCCAACTATGAGCCCAGTGCTTGATATCAAGAAATGGGACCTCGCAGTGTCTTCTGATGCCCAGCATGATAGGTGACGAACTTCCGAGAAACGACGTTGCCTATGACAGCTACAGCTGGTCCCTTTGATGATGGGAGATATTCCGTACTCTATATTTATCTGTTCAGATTCGCTTTTTGTTTTCGAGTGCTCCGATAAGAAATAATCCATACATCAGCTTAACTTCTCGTTTGAATTTCTGTTATTGCATTCCCGTTTCCATGGTTGAGTCAATCCACTGTGTCTTAGAGCGTGGTCAGCAAATGACGAGAGCTAGCCAAAGAGGAATTAAGATGCTATCAAAACGATAAACCAAAACTCTGGAGGCTTATGGCACGCAACTCCCTGTCTACCTACTCGAATCCCGGGCAATGTACTTATAGTAAGGTAATTGAACACTGCCCACCTCAGTTCGGCGGGCTTCTTTTCACGCACCATTTGTATTCAGAGTTTTGCATCACAAGCCTTAGACTTGATATGTATCCGAGTCGGCAACCTAAGTCAGAAAAAGGTTCACAGAACTGGATAACGCCGGCCTGGGAAAAAGGCGTCAGTTACGGCTCTGCTCGTTGATGCTTAAAGTTAAACGGCCGCAACAAACCTAAAGGTAAGTTACCTTCTCACATAAGGTATGTACCATTATTCTCAGAAGCATTTTGTTTTCTGTGCTTCATCCATTACTCACCAACAGCATGCTTTTCGGCACACAGAAAACCGACCTCGACGTATTGTTGAATCGTCCACGTCCCACCAAATGGCAAGAATTCTGGTCTAACCCGTGCATATTTCTTGCGCATTTCTTATACACTCGTCGTCGCATTATCCGCGAGCCTCCCGCAAATCCCATCTCTATTGTGTGCATATCAGACACGCATAATTCTCAACCTCATCTGCCCTTCGGAGATATACTCATTCACGCCGGAGATCTTACACAGTCAGGATCGTTAGGGGAGCTAAAGGCTACTATTGCTTGGCTCAACTCTCAACCACACACACATAAGGTTGTCGTGGCAGGAAACCACGACTTACTGCTCGATCAAGGCTGTGATCGTCGGGGGCAAGCAGCAGCTGAAAGAGAATGCCTAGACTGGGGAGACTGCGTTTATCTTGAGAATGAGACCACAACCGTTGCCTGCGACAGCGGACGAAGTTTGAAGATATATGGATGCCCTCTATCACCTCGCCACGGAAACTGGTCGTTTCAATACCCGCGAAGCAAAGATGTTTGGTCAGGTACTGTTCCGAACGATATTGATGTTCTCGTCACTCACGGCCCTCCTTTTGCCCATCTCGATCTTAATCTCGGATGTTATTATCTTCTTCAAGCGCTTTGGCGCACCCGTCCTCTGCTGCATGTTTTCGGGCATGTACATGAAGGATATGGGCAGGAATCTGTGGTTTTTGATAGACTGCAGAAGACATATGAGAAGGCTTTATGTGATGGAAACTTATGGAGTTTAATGAAGCTATTCAAGGAGTTTTTGAGATCGCTACCAATGAGAAAGAAGCAGGTGACGACGACCTGTCAGCTTGTGAACCCAGCAATGGTCGGCGGACTAAGAGATAATGAGAAGAGACAACCAATCAAAGTTATTATTTAATTATCTTGTCGAAGTGACTAAAAGAGCACCTGAGTGCCTTGATTTCCGCCCTAAACAAAGGCCACATGTGGCTCAGTAACAATTATGTTCATAGCCAGAAACTCAGCGCTTCGGAATCTGTCCTCTGGCATTTCACCAGAAGAGTTTGGGATGGTGATTGGCTCATCCAGACGACGCACAGCCTTGGCCCAGGATGGTTGAAGTTCAAGAACTACTTCACGGGCACGCAGTTCCGCCTCGGCTTCTGCACCAGCAATGATCGCAGGACATCCCCGTGGTAAGCCTCTTTCGATGAGTCGGTTGAAGACCTTTGCGAGGTAGTGGGTGAGAACAGCAAGGATCGCATAGCGGGCTGGGTCTGTATCTTCAGGATCCGGGATAGCCTTCACAGACCATGTAGATTGGTTGAAGAAGTACTCCATCTCAGAGCGAAGCCCGGCGGTATGTCCAACGACGAGGTACTCGTACATTCGGTAGAGGGACGCGACAGGGTTCTTTCCCTTGGTAAGAGCTGGCTTTCCCTGGCGCTCATGTCGTTGATCGAGCAACCAAGCAACTTTCGGAGCATCGTGCATTTGGCCAGAAGAGGAGAGACAGTTGAGGTTCTGGTAGACAGCACGGATTGCTGGAAGACAAGGCATGGTGGACGCTTCTATGAAACAGTTAGATTCTTTCTTGTCTGTGTTAAGTATCCCTTCGGAAGTTCCATTGATGTCCTTCACACATACCTTTTTGACCATACGTGAATTTCTAGAGCTGTTAGTTCTAAGTTTGAGAAAATGAGGTTCTAATGCAAGAATGAAAGTAATATACCTAGAGCATGAATCAACACCTTTGACCGGCACTGGCTCACAGCTGCAATGTTCTGCCTAACGCCTCTGAATTACCTAGCCTCCCATTCTAATATCTGCATCAACTTTGGTCATCACCCATAATCATTTAAACAGCTTGTATTTTGCACGACGACAGCACCATGGGACAGGCTGCGTCCAGGTGGACGCAGAGAAGAGGTGCAGATACACTGCGCGAGCTAATTCCCCAGAAGACGCCTGGTCATGATGTTCCAGCTCCAAACTTTCGACGTGCAACTCTCCTTGCAGCTCTTTCAAACGTGGCGGCTGCGATCAACAAGAAACATGGAAACGTCACCATCATCGCTGTTGGCGGCGCAGTCAACACCATTTATCTGCAGTCTCGTGAGGCTGCGCACGATGTCGACTTCTTCAACGACAATCTGACACCTGAAGACTTCGAGCACCTTGTGGCGGGCATCCGGTCTGCATCAAAGAAGGACAAGACATTGACTTCAGACTGGCTCAACAACCGCACTGTATTCTTTATCCCAAAGGATAAACAACGAACGCTCTCGCAGCAAGCATATGAACAGCGGGAAGTCATTTTCGAGGAGCCTGGCTCAACTGTACTCGCTGCGCCTTGGGAATATGCATTCTGCTGTAAGATCGACCGCCTTTCTGGAGCTGGGCTTCATACTCCTGAGTCATACGATGCGAGCGATGCTGTTGAATATTTGCACCGTTACTTGACTAAGCTGAAGCTTAAAAATATTCCAAAATCAACCGTCCAGGCCTAGTATGCTCAGTTTTCGCTTGAATGGAATGCCAAGACAGACGAAGTTCTTCAGTCTAATAACGATTTATTTGTAAAGCGCTTTGGGGTCAAGGCCCCCATCATCTAATGCTTTGCGCACTACAAAACGCAGGTACGAAAGTCATGCATATAGGCCATCAAGAAACATTGCTAACTACGAGAAAGCAGACTCTCTGTGCTTCCACGATCCGAGGAAATGCCAAACATTGAATCACGCGATAAGGAGCTTGTTCGGTAATATGGCATGTCTTTGCGGTGGCATCTCCGGAGAAACCCCCACTTGTTCCGGCCTACCGGCAGCGGCCGGAAAGAAGAGCGTCAAGGGCGGGGCGGGGCACGGAATTAGAAAAGTCGGGGCCGTTATTGGCCTGCGGGGTTTGGGGCTGGCAGTTTTCCACGGCTTCTTGAGATGAGGTAGTCAATGGATTGATCTAATGGATCTTTGGAAGACTTTAGACGCGTTCCGGGAGATTTGACATATAATTCGGAGTTCCATCATACCTAAGACTAGAATCTGGTGACAGTTGATCGAATTGTCTTATCCATCACAACGGCTCCTCCGAGTCAACCCTTGTAAGAAAATGTCCCCAAACAGAAGGATTCCGAGGTTCTTTTAAGGGTCTCTCTGCTGGTTCGATGACAGTGAAGCGAGGTCGGCAGTCGCCGGCGCAGCTCAGCTAAGACAGTTGAGGAAATTTTCCAGTGGCAATCGGTAGCGATTGGGCGATATTATGGAGTCGGGGGGTGATTGATTCCTCTGATTGGGCAGAACAGACTTTCCGAACTTGACCGACCACGCCGCGTGCACATGCGCAAGAAGGAAATCGCTGACGGGCTCAGTTATACCAGCGCTCTCATTGGCAATTGCTGTTCTATCTCAGGTTCTAGTCCCCAACACCCGACCTTTATTATCTTTTCCCTCCCCAACTTCCATCTTGTCTTACTCTGCTCCTTCAGATCCTCTCGATACCCCTTGTCTTACTGTTCGTGATTTGCGTTGTTTCATCTTCCAATCGTCATCCTTCCGACCTGTCCCGCCATCACAAGGACCCCCAGTTGACCGTTGAATTTTTGGCCACCTTACGCCCGAGGCCCGCCATCTGCTTCGCCCTGAAACTTTCGCTCTTCATCCCTACAAAACCAACCATCTTCTGTCCAAAACACCATCAGCCGTAATCGCCATCATGTCTTTCTCCAGCCTTGTTCAGGACTTGAGCCTTCGCGACTCCAATGGCGCTCGCCGCCCTCAGATCCCCGGTCCCCGCTCATCCGTCTCGACTCTCGATGACCGAGCTTCACACGTCTCGCGTGCTATGTCCTACACCAGCACTGCTGCCACCAGCGTTAGCATTTCCGGCGACATTTCAAGCCAGCTTCATGGTGGTTACTTCCACCCTCTGGCCCGGTCATGGCAGGCCGAGCGCCAACTCACAAAGGTATGTAGCGTAATTGAGCCCTTAGTCACTAAGACCGAGGTGTCTAACAGGATGTATATAGTCCATGCTCATCTACCCTCTCTTCGTCACCGACGGCGAAGGCGACATGATTCTCGTCCCTTCTCTGCCCGGCCAGCACCAGCTCAGCTGTGACAAGCTGATTCCCTTCCTCGAGCCCCTCGTTCATAAGGGCCTCCGCTCTGTTATGCTCTTTGGTGTCCCCATGCAAACTGGTACAAAGGACGCTCTGGGTACCGCCGCCGACGACCCCGAAGGACCTGTCATCAAGGCCATTCAAATCATTCGCCGCCGTTTCCCTCAGCTCTTCATCTGCTGTGATGTCTGTCTTTGCGAGTACACTTCTCATGGCCACTGCGGTATTCTCCGTGATGATGGCAGTCTGAACAACCAGTTATCTGTCGACCGTATCTCTGATGTCGCCATCGCTTATGCGAAGGCTGGTGCTCACTGCGTAGCTCCTTCAGACATGAACGACGGCCGCATTCGCGCCATCAAGCTTAAACTAATTGAGGAGGGAATTGCCCACAAGACCGTTCTTATGTCATACTCAGCCAAGTTCTCAGGCTGCTTGTATGGCCCCTTCCGAGATGCCGCCGGCTCAGCACCTTCATTTGGTGACCGCAAGTGCTACCAGCTTCCTCCCGGTGGTCGTGGCCTCGCACGACGTGCCATCGTGCGAGATATCAATGAGGGAGCCGATATTATTATGGTGAAGCCTGCTAGTCAGTATCTCGACATTATCAGTGATGCCAAGGATCTGGGTAAAGATCTTCCCGTGGCTGCATACCAGGTCAGTGGCGAGTATGCTATGATACATGCCGGAGCCAAGGCTGGAGTCTTTGATCTCAAGGCAATGGCTTTCGAGTCAACAGAAGGCATTCTTCGAGCTGGCGCTACTATTGTGGTCAGCTACTTCACCCCTGACTTCCTCGACTGGCTCGAAAACTAGGGATTGCAAATTCTACATGTGATACAATGAGATTTATCTTAGGGCGTTGGCAGGTGTTTTGGACGAAAATGTGGGCGTTTCATAAATCAAGGAAGGGAACAAGGGATTTGATTATATCACATCAAAAGGGACTATACGAATGGAATCAAGAAGCGCTCGCTAAGGAAAGACAATATACATACGAACTTGGTGTTAAATCCAATTGACTTGATGTCACTGATGCTTGTTCATATATGACACTGATAAACTCAGCAACTTCAACAAATATAGCTAGGTAATGGGTTGACAGGACTGCAGGCTGAGTCGACGATCAAATACAGATTGTATAGCGCGGTGGGCCATGAAAAGGAAATGTAGCGTATCTGTCAGGCTCTACTAATGCCGCTGGGGTTCGGTTTTGGATGAATGGCAAGCACAGATGACGTGTCGTCTGTTCAGCTCGTCTGTCAAGATGAGGTCGGCGAGAAACTAGATGGCTGGCAGTGAAGCGTGATAGTGATAGTCGTGTAGATCACAGCACACTTTGAAACCATGGGCAGAAGCAGGTCCACAGGGCGATGTTTGCAAGATTAGTAGATGCGAGATAGGACCTGGCAAGCTTATATGTTTTACGGTACGAGGTAGTGAGGATTGGTACCTTGTGGTCAGTTAGCTACTTACGGTATTTGGTAGACTGAAGCAGATATAAAATCATCGATGCCGAGGTATACAGTGCATAACACATCATGCATAGATTCAAAATACGGTATCAAGACGCAACATGAACACTGTCTATTCGCCAGCCCCTAACGTCCGTCACCCAAAGACTGGCCACCCCCACAGACCGGCCACC